CCGCATCCTCGTCTACTTCGTGCTCTTCGGTTGACTTCGGGTACAATCCGTTCACTTCGTATGGTCTACTTCTTGGCTCGGGCAACCAGGTGTGGCATCCGCCCATGCTTCCCCCTGACCAATCTCCACGTTTCATACATCCGCCCATGCTTCCCCCCGACCAATCTCCATGTTTCATACATCCACCTATGCTACTCCCTGACCAATCATCCGGTATGTTCCTTCACCCACCCATGCTTCACCAAGACGACACGGACACGATACGAGCCCAGTTGACAACCTAGGGCAAGGCAAATAACTCAGCTATGCCCGGGCTAGTCAGATATTTCAGGCGACCCATGCTTATGGGCTCAGAAATATACCTATGGCGGTGGGCCGATGGCTGTATAATAGCCCCGTGGTGGTGGGCCGATCGCTCAGAACACTACCTATGGAGGTCGGCCTATCGCTCAGAACCCTACCTATGGGGTTGTGCCAATGGCTGTATAATAGCACCGTGGCGGTGGGCTGATCGCTCAGAAATATACCTATGGCGGTGGGCCCATCGCTCAGAACACTACCTATGGAGGTCGGCCCATCGCTCAGAACACTACCTATGGCGGTGGGCCGATGGCTGTATAATAGCACCGTGGTGGTGGGCCGATGGCTGTATAATAGCACCGTGGTGGTGGGCCGATCGCTCAGAACACTACCTATGGCGGTGGGCCCATCGCTCAGAACACTACCTATGGCGGTCGGCCCACTGCTCAGAACACTACCTATGGCGGTGGGCCGATGGCTGTATAATAGCACCGTGGCCGATCGCTCAGAACACTACCTATGGAGGTCGGCCCATCGCTCAGAACACTACCTATGGTGGTGGGCCGATCGCTCAGAACACTACCTATGGCGGTGGGCCGATCACTCAGAACACTACCTATGGTGGTCGGCCCATCGCTCAGAACACTACCTATGGCGGTGGGCCGATGGCTGTATAATAGCACCGTGGCAGTGGGCCGATCACTCAGAAATATACCTATGGCAGTAGGCCGATCGCTCAGAACACTGCCTATGGCGGTCGGCCCACCGCTCAGAACACTACCTATGGCGGTGGGCCGATGGCTGTATAATAGCACTGTGGTGGTGGGCCGATCGCTCAGAACACTACCTATGGCGGTGGGCCGATCGCTCAGAACACTACCTATGGCGGTGGGCCGATGGCTGTATAATAGCACCGTGGTGGTGGGCCGATCGCTCAGAAATATACCTATGGCGGTAGGCCGATCGCTCAGAACACTACATATGGTGGTGGGCCGACAGCTCTATAATAGCCCCAGTGGCGGTGGGCCGATCACTCAGAACACTACCTATGGTGGTCGGCCCATCGCTCAGTACTACCACGGTGGCGGTGGGCCGATGGCTGTATAATAGCACCATGGCGATGGGCCGATCGCTCAGAACACTACCTATGGCAGTCGGCCGATGGCTCAGAACAGCTCCAATGGTGGTGGGCCGATGGCTGTACAATAGCCCCGTGGCGGTGGGCTGATCGCTCAGAAATATCCCTATGGCGGTGGGCCGATCGCTTAGAACACTACCTATGGCGGTGGGCCGATCGCTCAGAACACTACCTATGGCGGTGGGCCAATGGCTGTATAATAGCCCTAGTGGCGGTGGGCCGATCGCTCAGAACACTACCTATGGTGGTGGGCCAATGGCTGTGTAATAGCCCCATGGCGGTGGGCCGATCGCTCAGAACACTACCTATGGCGGTGGGCCGATGGCTGTATAATAGCCCCGTGGCAGTGGGCCGATCGCTCAAAAATACACCTATGGTGGTGGGCCCATCGCTCAGAACTATCACCGCGGTGGTGGGCCCATGCCTGTATAATAGTTGCATCATGGTGGTGGGCCGATCGCTCAGAAATACTCCTATGGCGGTGGGCCCATCGCTCCAGCATTCCCTTCATCGCCATGAGCCGATCGCTGACAGCTCCTTACACAGACCGATGGGCCGACGTCCGCTGGCTGTCCAGTTCATGACAATGTCAGGGTAAATGGGAGTCCAGTTCACAAACATGACTGAATGGGCTGTGCTGGCATGCAGGGGGTGGAAAGGAAGGCCAAGGACCACGAAACCAGAACCTGAAGAAGGATGGTGATAAGGGCAAGTCGGGCACGAGTGCAAACACAGCTGTCAGCAGCAACACGGACGTGCACGCATTCACGGCAACCTTCGACAGTGCAGCACTTGCTCGTAGCCACACAGCTGATGGAAACATCCGGATCGAGGTCTATGACAGCAGTGCAACACGTCACATTTCCCCATATCGCGACACGTTCACGGCATTTGAGGCAACCCCTCCAAAGCCAATCACAGCAGTTGATGGCCGGGCATTCCACGCAACAGGTCAGGGAACCGTCGCCCTAAAGGTTCCAAATGGTGATCAGTGGACAACTGTCATGCTACAAGATGTGCTGTATGCACCCGATATAGCCTTCGCACTCATTTCCGTTGCGCGTGCCGATGCTGCAGGGTATTCTGCCATCTTTGAGCAAGGAGAGTGTCATATCATCTCCCGCAGCAAAGGACGAATTGTCGGCCGCATCCCATCAAACAATGGCCTCTTTCATGTTGAGCATGCATGTACAACAGCTGGAATAGTTCTATTGCCACCTGGAGATGTTGTTGAGCATGGACTGGTGATGACATCAGTCATGGATTTTCATCGTCGCATGGGCCATATCTCACCTATGATCGCTGAACGCCTAGTGCGTGAAGGAAGAGTCGAAGGTGTCCGTTTGACAGACAGTGCAAAGCCGGGTACGGACCAATGCGAGTCGTGCATCCAGGCAAAAATCATGCGTCACCCCATGCCGAAGGAGCGTGACGGTGCACGCGCCAAAGAACTAGGCGACAGAGTTCACTCAGACGTATGGGGACCTGCGCGTACTGAGACGATAGGCGGGAAGAAATACTTTACCTCGTTCACAAACGATGCAACACGCTGGACCGAATTGTACCTGCTGCATGCGAAGTCCGGTACCTTCCAGGCCTACAAGTCCTATGAGGCGAAGCTCAGTACACAGGATGGCAAAACTGTAAAGGCCTTGCAGTCCGATCGAGGGGGCAAATATATGAGTGCTGACTTCAAAGCTCACCTTGCTGCGAAAGGCACGGCCTCCCGTCTTACAGTGCATGACACCCTGCAACACAATGGGCTTGCAGAGCATATCAATCGAACACTTCTGGAGCATGCGCGGGCAATGTTGATTGCCTTAGGCTTGCCGAAGAGTCTCTGGGGCGAGGCAATAATGCACGCAACTTGGTTGAAGAACCAAACGTCAACTCGTGCACTGGAGGGGAAAACACCATATGAGGTGCGCTACAGCAAAGTCCCAGACCTCGGCAACATCCACGAGTTCAGTGCAAAAGTGTGGGTATGCATCGAAGATGCCGGGAAACTTGATTCCAAGGCACACGAGGGCCGATTCATCGGTCACAGTGAGGAGAGCAAGGGGTACCACGTGTACTGGCCAGACAAGCACAGCATAACCCAGGGGGCACCCACCGGGACTTTCTGTGACTCCAACCCCTGTGGTTGTTGTCCCTCCACTGGTGTATGGGGTCCATTTCTATCTTTTTCAAGCACTTTCGCTCAACTTTCTGACTACACATAACCTGGGCCACTTTGTGCGCTCAGAATCTCGGGATATGTTCTTCACATGTGTATACAGTACCTCCGGCAAAACTTTGAGATATTCCTCCGCTGTTCGAGTTCACAGCCGTTGTCAAGGGCAGTGGCGTTCAGGCTTTGGACCCGATGAGATAAGATAAAGAACATGACCGTGACGCCGTGCATCTCTTTCCTTCATATCTTCCAATGCAAATGTCAGGCATTTCCATCCTGAATCCTGGATATCCACCCGTACTACTCGCGCTCAGAACCGGTGAACAAGCATGGGCACATTACAATTCATCATCTGAGAAGTATGAAGACCAATGTCCCTATCCATTGCTCTCTCTGTCCTCCCACAGCATCGGGTCAACCTCGGACCATATGGAAGTACAACACACTGTTCCACATCACTATGGAGCACTCGAAAGAGGACGGAATGCTACCACCAATCGCCCCGCAACTTCTCGTGGACATGCATATCTCACGAGCCGAAGAAGCATTCATGGAGATTGACGAGCAGGTTACTGAAGAGTGGAGGTTGGAAAATGAAATTCCGAATACTGATGTGATAGAAGAGACGCGCGAAGGGCTCGCGCAGAAGAGGAATAGAGCACCGTCGACAGTAGTTAAACAGCCTCGCAGGAAGGCGGCAAGGTATGGTACTTAGTAGTAGATCTATCGCGTTATCTCATCTATTTCCATATCGGGCTCGGGGGGTAGGAGATCCAGTGCACGGGGTCCTCCTCTTCACTTTTTCGGGTTGAGGTCGATAATTTCCCGGCTGGTTGCCCCCTGGCATAACCGTGGAATGAAATGTCAAGTTCGTCCATGAAACAGTCATTTCGGATGACACTCAGCCCGAGAGGGCGAGGGCGACAGGCGGTCCGAGTGTGTCCAAAACGCTGTCAGTACCAGCGCCAGAAGAGGAAATGGCATCACGCACCATCGATCCCCCGACCCCTGCCACTCCAACTCCTCTGTCATCACCTCCTGAAGCACCAGCTCCTGAGGCACCAAGCGGCAGAGGACATCGTGTTCGCAAGGCATCCGCATATGTCCAGCGATTGAACGATGGATCTGGTGTCGCTGACGGACGCCTGAGCCAGTCGAAATACCCAAAAGGTTTGCAACCTGGTGACCTGATGGGAGCTGTGGCCATTGAGGCAGAAAGCAAGGATGAAGTTGAGTCGATCTTCATGATGCCAGCATTGATGGAGACTCCTAGACAGGATCCAGCTTCTCTGAATGAAGCCATGCAGAGCACAGAATGGCCGAAATGGACGGAAGCAATAGCGAAGGAGATGCAAAACCTTGATAGTCATGGCACATACACACTGGTCGAGCCACCTAAGAACACTAACATTGTAGGATCCAAATTCGTCTTCCGCATCAAACACAACGCGGAAGGTGAAATCGAGTCCTACAAGGCTCGTCTCGTGGCTCAGGGATTTACACAGGTGCCAGGGATCGACTTCAATGAGACATTTGCCCCAGTGGCCAAGCTCGCGTCGATTCGCCTGATTCTCACGCTCGCCGCACACTACGACTGGGAGCTGCACCAGATGGACGTCAAGGGGGTGTACCTGAACGGGGATCTCGAGGAAGAGATTTATATGTGGCAGCCTCCTGGGCAAGCTGAACCTGGGAAAGAGCACCTTGTCTGCAGGCTCAAGCGACCTCTGTATGGGCTAAAGCAGAGCGGTCGTCAGTTCCACAAGAAGATTTCTGGTGAACTTGGCAGCATGGGACTCACCAGGAGCAAGGTCGACCACTGCATCTTCTGGCTTCGCAATGAAGAAGATGTCCTCATCTTGCTCATCGCGCTTTCCGTTGACGACTCGACCATTGCAGGCACCAAGGCGGCGGTTTTCTGGTTCAAGCGAGAGATCAGCATGCATTTCGAGATGTCAGATCTCGGAGAGATGCACTGGATCTTAGGGATCGAAGTGCGGCGTGACCGCGATGCGCGCACATTGTCTCTGTCGCAGTGTGCGTATATCGACATGATTCTCGCGCGTTTCAACCTCCAGGACGCGAAGTCATTGACTACACCACTTGACCCCGGGACTGTCCTCAGCATCCACCAATGCCCCTCCACTCCTCGTCAGTTTGAAGACATGAAGAACATACCATATCGCGAAGCGATCGGTTCGCTCATGTACGCGGCACTTGGGACGCGCCCTGACATTGCATACGCTGTAACGGCTCTCTCGCAATTCATGAAGAATCCAGGACGGCCGCACTGGGAAGCAGCAAAGAGGGTTTTTAGGTACCTCGCAGGAACGAGGGAGAGATGGCTGACATTCGGAGAGACAACGGATGGCGTGGAAGGCTTCTCGGACGCGGACTGGGGATCGGCCGAGCACAGGCACTCGATTAGCAGGTATGTGTTCCTCCTTGATGGCGACGCGGTCTCATGGTCTGCTAAGAAGCAGAATGTTGTCGCGTTATCAAGCACCGAGGCGGAATACATCGCGATAACTCACGCGACAAAGGAAGCACTCTGGCTTCATTCCCTCCTCGCCGATGTCCTCCACCCTGACATCCTCCGCTACCCGGTGCGCTTGCACAGCGACAACAAGTCAGCGATTGCCCTTGCTAAGGACGATGCTTACCACGCACATACCAAACACATCGACATCCGCTTTCATTTCATCCGCGAGACCGTCGAGAATGGCCAGGTCATTCTGCAATACCGCCGTACTGAAGACATGCCGGCAGACATATTCACAAAGGTTCTGCCGCGCATCAAGGTCGAACATCTCTCGCGCCTCATTGGGCTGCACGAGAATTGAGAGGGCGTGTTGGGATATTGCAATTCATCGTGCGCGCCCTTCGTGGCATTCTTGTTCTCATCGGGAAAGGTAATCGAGATTCTAAACAAGATGGACAATAAGTAAAGTAAAGTGACCATTCTACGATTTTCGAATGCTCTTGTATCATACATAACAATAGCGTACTCACTACATAAGTAGCGTACTCGTACTACTTCCCCCTCAGTTCCTTACGGACAAGAGAACTGAGGGTGAGTTTATTAACTGCCGATTACCTTATGATTACTTACTGACTGCATACCTAGCCTACGATTATTCTACATAGGTATGCTTCAATATATTCTCAGTTCCTTACGGACAAGAGAACTGAGGCCTACGATTATTCTACATAGCCCGCAACTCGTAATCTCTACACCCTCAGTGCAGAAAAAAGCAACATATAAGCTCCAGAATGCCATGTATTCTGAGAGAATTAACTGCAGTGTCTGACTTTTACAGACTAGAATTTGATGGCATTTGATCACATAATTTCTTGGCATGATGAGTTTGGTGACTGTAAACAGACTTCTATGGACTTTACCTGACCATGGTGCCAAAATTTTGAATCCCATTGACCTCAACCCGACAACACCAGACTATAATTGACTTCCGGTTTTTACTGAGTGTGACCCGTGACTGAACCTGAGGTCGTTTCGCTACAGTAGTTGAAATGCCAGTTACTCATGTCATGCAGCGACAGGGCGCATACTTGCGTCGCCATATTGTTCTCCTGGCAGGCACGCGAGCAAGGATTTTGGCGCAAAGTCGTTACCAGGATTTCTCGCCGAAATGTCTCAATATTCTCCATATTCTACTTGCCCACCTCCGTCTTCTGACTGACCCACGGTCTACCCCCTGAAACACGAGAGCTTCTGCTACGTGTTCACGACTCCACCTCTATGTTCAACCACCGCAACGACACGCGCAAGCGTGGCGGTTGCCGCACCATCCCATTTGCCGTCAAACTAGCAGCTTCACGGCGTGTGTCCTCAAATCATCAGACACCAGGTGAGCAAAACCAGCATATTTTTGTTCTTTTCTCATAATGCTAACGTTCACCAGGTCCGCCGGTATCTGCCTGCACGGACGCCAGCACTCCCAGTGCGGCCCCGTGCGTGTAGGCAGGGCTCAAAGCGAGCTTCTCGTCGAGTGCACACCATGGTACCCGTGCGTGCTCCTCGGGTCCCTCAACCGGCGGTGAGCAACTTGCGCCGTCTCCCACTGTGGTCCCCCTCCTGTGCCTGCATTGGAGCCGCTGTAGCAGCGCGCATCCGGCGGGGCTCAGTATCCGGGTGGTGCTATGTGAATTTTGCGTTGATTTATGGTACAACATTCTATCTAGAATTCTACTGCTCCTGACTAGACTTGACTCCGTTGCAATGCAGCCAGTTCTTCCTTGAAACTCTTGAGATGATCTATCGCCGCGGTGATCTGCGATTCCAGCTCAGGCGTCTTGGGTGTCTTCCCCTTCAGTTCACGCACCACCTGTCCCTGCTCCGCGACCTTCTGCTCCCAAGCAAGCACCTCTGCCGACTTTGGCGTTGGGGTAGCGTCCTGCGCAGCGGCAGCGGCAGCCTTATCAGCAGCTTTCTTTGCCGCTGTCGTCTTCCGCTTCGACATACCCGGCACGACATGCGTCGCGTCGGCGCTCGGCTCAGGGGAGGGGTCCACTGGCTTATTCCCGCCGAACTTGACACGCCACACATTCGCCATCTTCTCGTCAATACGCTTGAAGAGATGCTCGGGCGTACCAACGCGGTGTCCAGGGAAGATGTCGTTCGCTAATACTTGTGGCACTGCCCGCGCGGGGGCGTTCAGCTGCTCGAGGATCGACGCCTCAGTCGTCGGCATGAACGGGTGAATGAGCACGGAGAGCACATAGATTAGGTTAATCGCGCGCGCGACTACCTGCGCACAGCGCTTCGGGTTCTCCATCATCAATGTCTTGTTAAGGTGCGAAGACTGTAGGTACAAGTTCCCCCGCGCGGAGAGCAACATGACCGTCTGCAGGCCGAGACGAAGTTTGACGGACTCCATGGCGTCGATGTAGTCCTTCAACAGGCCGTTAACCTCGGAAACGAAGTCGGCATCTACGTCGTCGTTCGGGGAATAAGGGCCAGGCGCATCACCGCCGTCGGGCACAACACTGTTGTATTGCGACACCACGAACTTCAAGACTCGGTTGATGAAGTTACCGAAGCTACGTGGGGACGCGTAAATAACGAGGAAGTGAGATGCGTGATCACGAACTCACTTGTTCAGCAGCACGTTGTTATTGGCTGCAATCTGTATTGCCGACATTAGAGAAATTAAAAACCCTTTGGGAGTCCACTTACGCAATCGGCCCATGAGAACATGGCGTCCGCGGTCTCCGGCCTAGTCGAGATCAAGTAGTACCTCCATACAGAGGTTGGGATACCTGTCTCTCTGGCAGCAGGTCCGAACACGCCACGATTATGGCTCTTTGAGAACTTTCCGCCTTCATAATTCAGGTATTCTATCAAGCGAATATCAGCGAATTGTTTGATCTGACGAAACAAGCGATCGAACATTACCTGTAGTAGACAGATGGAACAGAGACGTCCATGGGCGACCGTCGCCAATTTGCACGGAGGGGAAGAAGATTGTGTGGAAGTACACGTTGTCCTTGCCCATGAACTGGTACAAGCGGACGTTTTCCTGGTTGAACCACCACTTTTTCCACTCCGACGTGTAGTTCGCAGTGATGCTGGGGTATCCAATGCAAGCATCAAACTACAGAAGTTTCAGTCCGCATGCTGTGATTTAGTGATTAACCACGCGTACCCAAACGTCTGCGCTGTATCAGCCAACGAAGCATGTCCAATGGCAACAGGCACTCACACATAACCTTCCCCTTCATCCCATGGTCGTCTCCATCCACGATGGGAACCGGAACACCCCACGTCAGGTCGCGCGTGACCGGGCTCGGGCGCAGGCCACCCTTAAGCCGCGCATCGATGAGCTGACCGTCCGAGTTGATGACTGCATTCGGTGACCATTTGCCTGCTTTCCACGATTTGCGGATCCACTCCTCGGTGCGCGATTGCAGGGAATCGAGCTTGACGTACATGTGGTCCGAAGAGCGTGTCGTCACCTTGTGAGTTTTATCGATCAGGCAGCGCGGGTTGATCAGCTCTACGGCGTCGAGCGTCCGTCCGCACGCATCACATTGGTCGCCGCGGCCGTCCTAGAGATCATGTTAATAACTTCATTATGGATAAGAGTCTAATTACGCACGTCCGCTCCGCAATAAGGACACGTCCCTTCTACAAAACGATCTGCGAGGAACCTGAAAATCCTGTAAGTCGTCGAATTTCAGGCCAACGCACAGGACGCACTTTTTACAGCCTTCGCAATATGTCTGTTCTTTAGTCTGCCTCTCTAGGTAACCATTCTTGGCAAGGTTCAAGTATATCTCTTGACAGATCCTGGAAATGAAGAACTCAACAACGTTTAAGACAACCCACTACACTGAAAACCCACTCAGTGTGCAATGGCGTGGAGGTGCGACCGAAGTGGTCGAAGCTGTAGACTTGAGGTATTGAGTTGTTGTCGTGCCTTATACCGAGTACACACACCTCAGTTCGAACCACTTGTACGTCTCGACATGAAGGGTGTTGTACTTGTCGCACAGCTCCCGCGGCGAGATGCCCTCTTTCAGAGCTTGCGTCTCTGTCGCAGTCCCGTACTCGTCGGTGCCGCAGATGTACAACGTTCTACGATTTCTAGTTCCTGAGAAGTGGAGGGTTGAGTGATGGAAGGTGCATAACGCATGCGTGGCCTACGGTTGTAACTGTGCACGAATAATTTACAGTGAGTATGTCACACGACTCGAGCAGAGAAGCTAAACACACCGAGCAAATACATCAGCGCTCAGCGTGCTCCCAATGATGTTACCTGCCCCATCGATCTTCCTCAGCACTCGAACACTCGTCGCTGCCGGTCGAGCTTACCCAGATGCGGGACATTATTACAGTATGGTAGCGCAGAGGTAATCAACACATTGGATTCGCCATCCTTGGGCAGTCTGAAAGCAGCTCTTCAGCTCGATATTCACGATGGAACATAGATTTTATACATCTTGTCTTTGTGCGATGGGATCTCTCGTCGGAGACCCTCCGCTTGCCGGATGTTTTGTGTCATTTTAGACCTTGGGAGGGAGAAGCTTGGAATTGATTGCACAACAGAAATCGATTGAAAATGAGGAGAATGCAGCAGGGGAGTGCAAGGTATACTGAGGTCGAGAGAGCAGTGGAGAGCAAGTGGAGAGAGATGTGAGATCTGACTCGGGGTACGTAGATTAACTTTCGAGTCATCTAGATCTACTGACCGACTCCGAGTCGCAACTTCAAGTTGATCAGTTTGAGTCATTAATGCATTACGTCACAATCTAGTATAGGAGGGAACAAAAAATGAGACCAACTTGTTAAGCCGACAGCAAAGAACAAGTCCCACTCAAACTGACCAGCCTTAATCTTGCTCACCGGCAGATCCCAGTTTCACCGCATAACAGCGACGCAATAATTATACTGTACGAGCAGAAAATAGCAAATATCATGCGAAAGCAAGGAGGGTTGCACGCATGCAAGAGTGACTATACGAGACCATATTAAACGTACTGTAGAATTTACTAGCAACGAGGCGGGCTCGACCCTGCCAGTGGCGGCGGTGGTCCGCTGGACCTACTAAGGCGACATGTCTTCGTCCTCGTCGCTTTCGGGCCATTCTCCCATCCCGTCAACAACTCCCGCTTTCTCCATCTCCTTGAACTTTGCGAAGAATGCCTTGTAACTCATGCTGAGCGGCGGCGGGACCTCGGGGATGGGCGGGTCAGAGATATACTGCGGACGGGAGAGCTGCAGTGCAGGTTCTGGCGGTTTTTTTGGACAACGAAATCAACGGAGTCGAGGATATGCGCGGTCCCGAACTTCGTGAGGTCATCAAATGGCTGGGCATTTGCACTGTCCTCTGTGACCTGTGATGCCATCATGCGAGTCCATTTCCGAGAGATGTGTGCTTCTTGGGAGAGCAACTGAGCACGCCTGCAAGCTCGTGCGACAGGATAGGAAAAGAGATGGTATAAGGTTGTCATTTCTGAGGGAATCGGAGCAAGCTGGCCAACGTGGATATGATATGGTTTGCACATTGTCTTGAGCACATGCGACTTAAATGGAACAGTCTTGTCTACAAGGTGGGGGTGATCTTCTTGGAAATGTATTGAAACCTGTCCATGATGTGCAAACATTTGGAAACACCCTGGTAAGCATACTAAAGTCAGTCTTTATTTCTATAGTGGAATTATTCAATGTGTAAATCTTACCTTGCACAGGACAAGGCAAGTTCACCCTGACCAAATGGCTAAGTTCCACATGTGACTCCAGTTCAAGGTATGTTCCTTGAATGCGACCAGCACACTTCTGGAAGTGACACTCAAAGTCTCTCTCCTGCAATAGCTGGTAAGCACTGTCGTGATTGTTCTGATGAGTTCTGTTCAATGTTACCTGTCGTCTGGCTGCTTGCAGATGAAGTTGCATATGCTAGAAAATGTAAACTTAGTCAGTTAAATGGATTAATACACATCTGAACATGTCTGAAGCCATCACAGGTGATTATCGCAATGCCAGACAAACCTGGAAGGTAAAATTCAGTGCTTAATTGTCTTAGTGTTGATACAAAATAATGAAGATAAACATAGAGTACAGCATCAAAACCCATAAAGGTGCTGTATGCACACAGTATCAAACATAGACAGCCTGATGATCATGCTTTTGATGATATAAGAAAAACTCGCACCTGATAGAGTGCACCCCAGCTGTTCAACTCTGCCTTACAGTTCTCCCATTCACAACTAATTGGAATTGGTTGCATGATCTCCTTAGCAATGTCAATAATGCTCTCTAATGAAAGGACCACTGTCATTGGAAAATTCTGCTTGGACTGATGAGTTGCATTAATTTGTGTGTGTGATGAAAATATTGGAAATTGCTGCAAGGCAACATCAGATATGAAAATGAACAATGCAAATAACGATACACACAATTCATTATGCAGAGAGAGTGACTATGATGATGGACAGGGTAAAAGGGGAGGAGAAAAGTAAGATAAAGTCAACATGTTGTGACATGTCACATGCCTGACTAAATATAAGTATTGGTCAGCCACATCAGGAAAACCCAACTTTTCCTTAGGTACTTTTTGCTCTGACAACCCTTATTTGAGGCTATAATTTCTCAAATAAGTCTCAATATGTTTGATTTCAGACACTTAAATAATAACTATAAGTCCATTTAGGGCAGTTAAGTGTTCTCTTAAGAAAAAGTTGGGTATTCTGCGGTCACAGGTCACACCCCTGGCCGGGTTGGGGTAAATGCTACTACTGTAGGTTTTCGACCAATCCGGACAGTCACAGGTCACAAGGACCTTGGCCTGTCCGGAATCCGACACTCTGTCCGCGGTCACACAGGTGGTGTCCGAATGTGACCATTCGCTGTTTCAGGCGGATTTTCTCAGGCCTGCAACGCGAGGACACTCACAATGTGCAGAGAATGCTGCAATACTAATGACAGGAAGGCTGACCACAGTTAGCCTTTAACACCCCCATCCGTGGCAGCAAATAGCTGCAGGTTGGCCGGCCTGATGGCCGGCAGGTGTCTGCAAGGTGTCTGCAATATGTCATGCGTCCGCTGTCACGTCCGGCCTGTCCGGATTGTTGCAAAACTGTCTGTGGTCACACCCCCGTCCGGATTGGTCGAAAAGCTACAGTATGCCTGACCGCACACCCCCTCTAATCGGTGCCTTGCTATACCTCCGTCCACTTTGCTCCATTTAACTACCTCATAGGTATCCTAGATAGTATATTTGTACCCTTTTCGAGCTTGCACAATGGATGAGTATTAGTTGAGTCCATCATTTTTCGTCACGCTCAAGTCACCCTCGACCTCCTGCCGTGATGAACTTTGGTGGGACTCCTGCCTTTTGGGGTGTTGTTACTATGGGTGACACATGTGTGACCGCCGATTAGGAGGGTGCGCCGACTGAACTGTCAGGGTACATCAGGAAAACCCAACTTTCTCTTATGGACTTATTTAGACTTTTGGGTCTGAGAACCCTTATTTAAGGCCATAAGTGTTCAAATAAGTCGAATTTCAGACACTCAGGGAATATGCCTTAGGCCCTTTTTGTCCTTATGTCCTTAAATAAGGACCATAAGTCCATTTAAGTTATTTAAGTGTCCTTTTAAGGAAAAGTGGGGTTTTCCTGATGTAATGGGCTCCTGGGAAACATCACACCATGCATTGCATCACAAAACATGCCTGACCTGAAGGTGGAACAGTGACCTAGAGCTAACAGACAATCAGAACTTGGTTTAAGTAAATGGAATGATTCACAGCATACATTGTGCGCACTTTTCTTGGAAAATTACATAACAGGCAATGAACATAAGATGGTTGCCTCACAGAAAGGCAGCTCTCTAAGATGGTTTCGCAAAGAGCATGCCAATGTAAGAGGCAGTAGGCAATGAGTAACAACAATGCTATTATGACAGGTAGACCACAATGTGAGAAAATAAACACTACCCGGCTCCGAACTAGACCCCTACCACCGTAAGCTCCGTCTTACTCAGATGCCCAATAGTCTCATCAGAGAGCTGCAGATGAGCCTTGACAAGCGCGGGAGGGGTGAGCGCAAGCCACTTCATGACCATCCAACAACTCGGTCATTCAAGAACGAGCATCAAGAAGAGAGTGCGCGCACCTGGTTCAAGCTAATATCTTGGAACCGGTCTGGATACTCTCGAGCGTCAGTGGGGGACGAGGGGAAACGTAGCGATAGAGCACTCCCACCCACCTGTCTTCAGTATCTCCAGGAGGCGCAACGTGGTATTACCGGTATTCTCAATGTAGTGACCTGTCCGCTATCAGTGAGACCACAAACCACACGAGAAACGGGCGCTAGATTTCACCGTATGGCGCCGGAACGTATGCAATATCGCCGCCCTGCAGATGGAGATAAATACGACGCTGGGATCACCTGTCAGCGAACCACGACGCACTTGATAATCAAACGTCCTCGCGTCGCTGGTGGCAGCAAATAGGGTCATACGACCGGTTCCCTCGCTATGTCAGTATCACCATCAGTGTTAGGGAAAGCATAGATGGATAGATGACGTGCATGAAGAAGGTCCATTCGTCTTGGGTTGGATGCCACTGGAGACATTTATCAAGAGCGCTTGAACATCCATGGGGTCCCAAACACGCACGTGCAGTTCCCTCAATGCGCCAGGCTCCAGAACGACTTCAGCAACTGCGATGGTTTTCGACACGTTGAAGGTCGTAGAGTCTGCGATCTTGACTGAACCTCCAGGGAATTGCTTAGAGGGGATCTGGGAGAAAGGGAACGTATACGGTTCTTGCGTCATGCCTTGAGGGCTCACGGGTGGTTGAGCGTCATCGGAAGGAGGATCTGGCGGCGCATCAATAAGCTCATCGCATCGTAGGAAAATGTAGAGGTGAATTCGAACCACTCGGGAATATGTAGAGTTCCTGGCCGGGTATGTGGTCAAACGCGGATTCTGTTGTCTGGAAGTTCTTCGCCAAGACTTCTTTCGGAACGTGGGCGAGCCAGTCTGTCAGCTGCATAGACAGTTGAAGTCTGAACGGACAGACACATGATATCATATTGCTACGGGAGGATACATACCAGAAAGGTTCCACCCTCGTCGAAAGTACCGTTATCGAACACCTGTACAAGATGAACGCATGACCTTTACAGACGGGAGAAGAGCACGTACGAGAAGAAACTCCGTGCCATTGGGGCAGTCGGCGGTGGCTTGCAAGGAATGCGGTTGCCCAGCAGGGAAGTACCATAGATCACCTTCGTTCTTCAGATAGCGAGCTCATTAACGGAGTTCCGAGGTTTAGATTGCCACAACGCACCGCCGTTGCGACGTAGTTCTGGCCGTCAGCCGTAATTGTCGAAATTTGCGTGGAGCCCTGGATCTCGATAATGAGCAACTGGTGATCTATGATGTAGCTTACGCGAACCTTCAGCACATACGCCCACTATGTGTCGCCAATGTCAGCAGAGACGTTGAAGGAGGGCGCTGAACCTCACCTCGGCGGTCTTGTGCCAGTGCAACTCGCTGAAACCAGGACGACGCTGAGTTCGAAGGGGGCAGGATCATATTCTAATCACCGACCGAATAGCACCCACTTCCAGGCGCATATTTACTCCAGCCATTTCTATTGTGGCTAATGAGCACTTCGCATCCATATCGCAGATATTTCGTGTTACACACCTTTAGCGATGGGCATATCGTCGACTGGATAGATATTCAGCGGCAGAAAATACAGTCATGTCCGACCAGCTCACTGTTCTGCTGACGCGCCCAACCACCAGTTTGCAAGCGGTTATGGCTCAAGCTAAACGGCCACTTCGCATTTTCGCTGCACACAGTCCTTTGTATCAGCCAGCATGTATTCCTGGCGTAGCAAGACATACACAGATCCCTGATCGGTGGTCGGCGGTGCCAGGAGTGCAGAATTCTGTAACTCCAGTGGTATGTTCTGCGGCCCGAGGACACTGGCGCCGAGCGTACTGCGGATAGCCTGTGGAACGATGTCCGAGTCGAGTCCCCACAGCGGCGTGTTGGGGTCGTCGCTCGCGTAAGGTACAGTTGGACTGGGGAGCGGGGCCGATGTCGATGTAGATCCAAGCGGAGCAGACACTGCGGTCAATGTTAAGAGGATTGAACATAGTACAAACGCACGGAGTCTTGCGGGGAGAACCAGCGACATCTTGGAGAACGAGAACTTGCGATGAGCGACAAGGAATTGGTGGACTCGGAAGGAATTATCATCTTCCGCCTCGTCAGCCACCGTGAGTGCGACTGTCAGCATCACCAGATCGCGAAGGGATCCATAATGGTTAGCCGCAGATCAAGATACCGTGACATACTCTCGCAGTCCCTATCGCGTTCGGGATTTGCGCATAAGCATCGCACTACAGATCTCCAAGATGAAGTCCGTACCCGAACCATTAGGAGAACACGCACTGACAGGGCAATCGCTCACACTTCAGTAGCAACGCTCACTGTGTATGACTGGCAGATGCTTTTACACGTTGATGATAGCTGCTGTGATGAAGATTTATTAACTGACTCGTCAAATTCGAACAGCGGCAATTACCAGCAGCATACTTGTACAAATGTATTTCACACGGTCCTTCATGCATTCATTAGCTCGGACAGGATTCACTCTGTGAGGTAGATGACATACTCACATCATCATCGAAATTCTACTTTCCCACAGTAGCAGAGACGTAGAAGCAAGTCCCAAACGTCTTGCCTTGTTCTTCAATCGTCTAACGATATGTCACTCCCCGTGCAGTGGGCGTGCACAGCTAGCCCGACAACAACAATGCCTGAACCATTTTCAAATAGATTGTCATTGATATTTCTCCAAACCGGAGAAGATAACCTCAAGAATTTAAATACCCAAGAGCCTTAAAATGTCTTCGAACAAGCAACATGACGGCGAGAAACCGGCACACCGCCAGCGGTGACAATGAGCGCAGCTAGAGCACGTGCCACGGTCACACCGCGTCCCCAACCGCACCATCGACGAAAACACGATGTGCATTCGGACATATACACACTAAACTTACATAGCACAGAGCATCACTAGACCGACAGATAACGTGCGGGTAGAAAACGGGGGAGGGGGTGGCAAAACATCGAGTAGGGGGGACGAGAGCACGAGCGCGGACTGAATACAAATACAGATGGACGGGCCCGGAAAGGGGGATGGGGCACGCCATCGAGAGCAAGTTAGCGACGGGAACGTAGAAGAACAGGGCGTTTTAGCAGGTAGGCAAGAAAGGGGCATATACGTAGCACGAAACACGACGGACAAAACACGGTAGACGACACTGAACTGGGTACTAGACGATGCGAGTCACGAAAACAAGACAGACGAGGAGTCGAGCGGGATGTACGTTAACGCGACAGATGCGAGCGAAATTCGAACATCGTAAGCAATGTCCGGAAACGGAACTATCTACAAAGAGCAACGACAAAGTAAGCAGGGGTCGCATAGATGAGATGGGAGAGCAGCGAGATTATAGACTGGATAGCGAGAGAACTCCGAAGCACTGAAAGCGCGATGTGGATTTTGGGGCTATATGGGTTTGTGGGACAAGACAAAATAGCGAGAGGCACTAAGAGCGCGATGTGGGATTTAGAGCTATAGAGATTCGAGAGCTAGATGAGAGGAGATGGGAGAGCGACGAGATTCGAAGTCCAGCACAGCGATCTGTAGAGTGAATCCATTATTGAGCGGTTTCGAACGTATATCTTGAGGGGTCTTGAGAGAGGAAACCAGCATGAGTCCGAGCCTATAAACCGCCCGCCGTCACTCAACACGTGTGGGGCACGCCGAGTAGCAGGGAAATCCAGAGATCCTTCGCGCTCACTCCATAGAAGAGCTGGAGCCAGAGGAACGACTCCCGCGCCTCCGGCCCTGGGGAGCGCCGCCGTGGGCAGGCATCTGCTGGGCATACTGCTCCAAGAGCCTGCCGGTGGACGTAGAGGCGGACGCGGACATGGACGCGCCGCCCTGGACCCTGCGCGAACTGATGTCGTTCACGTCACGCATGTGCTCAGTCCCAGTGCGGGGGACAGGCTGAACGATGGGGGCAGGCGTGGCAGCGTGGCGAGCCTCCGGGGCATTCCCAGGGCGGGCCGGCGTGATGCGCGGAGGTGGCGGGGCGCCCACCATGCGCGAGCGCGCAGCGCTGGACGCAGACGACATGTGGCCTTGCGCAGGCGTACCAGGGCCAGAGGACGGCGCAGACGAGCTAGCCGGCCACAGTGCGTTCGGCAACCGCAAAGCGGGGGCAGTAGGCGGCGGGAACGAGGGCTGGCCGAACGAGGGCTGTCCGAACGAGGGCTGGCCGAACGAGGGCTGGCCGAACGTGGGCTGTCCGAAGGAGGTTTGGCCGAAGGAGGCCATCGAGGGCTGAGTGACCGGGGGCTGGCTGAACGAGGCCTGGGTGTAGGGGGGTTGCACGAAGGTGACCTGGCCGAAGGGCCTGCCGCGCTGGGGCGTCGGCATCTGCGGTGCGCCCTGAGGTGATATCGAAGGCGTGCCAGTGCTAGGGAGAGTAGAACTTCGAGCATGGCCCTGAGACGAGGCAGCTGGGTACGGAGATTGGCCCCTCCTGGTGCTGGAGCGCACGGTACTGGTCGTCAAGCGCATGTGTGCTTGCCCGATGACATGGCCCTGGTTCCTGAGCACAGGATCTATGTTATGCTCCTCGACCTGGCTGGCGGAAGTGGACAATGTCTGGCTCTGGCTAGCACCAGAGCCGCCGAGGGTCGGGGACTCCGTACTGGCATCGTCTTCGTCGCTCGAGGTTTCCGCGTCCTGGCGAGAGGTAGATCCTCTTGCCGCACGTCTGGCAATGAGCTCAGCCTTCGTAGGCCTCTTATTGCGCTTGCGAGGCCGCTTGTTTCCCTCGCCGTGGGAGTAGTCTACCACCCAGTAGCTGCCCTTGCCCGGCTCGGTGATAGGCCTAGCAACACGGCGGAAGAGCTTATTGAGGGATAGCTGGTGGCGGATCGAGTTCTGCACGAGCAGGGAACGAGAAAAGGAAACAGAAGTAATTATAAGCAAACGAAAAGGCGCTTTAAGTCTGATAACATGTCTGCTCACCTTCCAGGCCGTTTCGCTCTGGTTGTCCTCGAACCACTTGAAGCGCTCCTGTAGCGCATCATAGATTTCCTGCAAAGTAAGACGCATCTTTGGACTTCCATGGATTGCCAATTTGATCAGAGTCGGATACGGGTAGCTCGGCTTCTCACCAGGGGGCGGGTCGGCCAGCGAGAACAAACTGACTTCCTCTTCAGGTCCAAGTCCGAGCAGCTGCCTCAGATTGGGCGCAGGGTCTGGGATGTCCGGCTGCAGCGCGCGAGCTCCGCGGGGCGTCTGAGCCGCGGGTGGCGGAGAGGCGCCCGTCTGCGACGGGGCGGGCGTCGGCGCAGCGCTGAACGCGCGCTCAGGCTCCACGATAGACATACGTTCCACATCCGGGGTAGCAGTCGGAGTATAAGGGACAGCAGCGGACGGGCTGTTAGCGGCGGCCGTGGTAGTCCCCGCCGCCTGTGGCGTGCTCGGCGCGTCCAAAGACAGCGAGATCACGCGCGGACCTGAGTCTCCGCGGGGGTACGCGTGCGTACGAGGCCGATAATGAGATTGCCCCGTGGTCTGTGACGGCAACGCGTCGTAGCGCAGATGCTCGAGCCCAATGCGGCGGGCGGAGGCGTCGTACGCAGGATAGTGCTCACGCCTGAACCCCAGCCCCGCCTCCTCCATGTTTGCACCCTCCATTTGCACATCCTGGTCCCCCTGCGCGGAATTGTGTACGCTCGCGCCGGTAGACGGGCTTCCGTGGCTTACGCCGCTATGGTCACTGCCATGGCTGTGAATTGAGCCACTCGGGCTGCTCTCACCACTGCTAGGGCCACGCGGGCTCTGGCAGCCAATCAGATTAAGCCATGTACGATCAGATAAGAAAAAAAGAGGACGCACAGGCTGGGGGGCAGGAGGAGCTATGGGAGCAGCCATCTGCGCATGGTGGTTGACGAAAGCGGCTTGGTAGGGAACATGAACGCCCGTGGACGCGATCTGAGAGCGCTGGGATGACCTAGGGGAGCCCTGAGGGATGTATGGAAAGTCGTCCACGTAAACTGTGGCGCTCGCATTATAGGGACGAGGAGGACCGCTAACGGGCGGAATTTCGCCTGAAAGTGGTCCAGGGTGAGTCCCGCAGGCCAAGTGAGAAGCCTGAGGGGGCTGAGGGCCGTGGATTACGCGCCCCTCACCCGAAGGTGGGGAATCCGAGCCAGAACTATCTCTGCGAGATTGAGGGGCAGGATGGTCTGGAGAGGACGAGGAATTGGTGTTAGAGGTAGAGGTGAACGCACGGAAGCGCCCCGCGGCAGGATGTCTGTCCATGTTTGGCAACGGACCCACAAGCGGAAATGATGAATTAGTCAGTTGTAAAGGGCGTGAGAGCCGCCAGCCGACCAGACACCTGGACGAGTTAGCCTGTTAAAACGAAGAAATCAGGGGACGTTTCCGTGGGTTTTGCTTAAGTTATCTGTATGCGCAAGTGGGTCCGCACCTCTAAACATGCCTCCAGCAGTGTTTGGCTCCTCCGTACAAGTACCGTCGCTCACGACGCGCAACGCGAGCCGCGCACCAAGCAGCGTTGGAGGAAGTCTGGCCAACGCTGTCTTCGGCGTGCTCCTTTGCGTCTCTGCTTTGTTTATTCGTGCCTAGCAAAGCGATACACGCGCCGAGAGACCTACGATGATGGTGAGCAAGAGCACGCCGCGAGCAGCTGAAGAACGATACCTTACGGTCGCGACATGGTGGAGGGAGCGAACACGGAGAGGCCGAGCTTTGTTCGTCGCGTCGTGCGCGGTGAACAATGTTTCTCAAAAAGGCAAGTACCGACCTCCACCGCCCTGGCGCATTGAATTCACGGAGCTTGAACGGAATGCCAAGCCGCGATCTTAAACTTGTAATTAATGCTGTAAAATTCACCAAGTTCACCAGAGGAGAACGAAAGTCATGTACTCGATCCTGAGCTCGGGTTTAACTATTAAATAGCATGCATACTCACGCACAGAATAAAATTTCGATGCGTCGGTAGCCCCAGGAACACCATCTTAAGGGACTCTAGAGTCCGAGTCCATTCTCACCAGGGAAATTGCGACAGCCAAGTATCAGCCGTGCACGAAACGAGGATATCCCAAACGAGTTTCTTGACCAGTCTTACTGCACAACGAGGATCCCATGCGCGATTTCTCTCGTCGAGAACTTCGAAAGGCGGGCTCGCAGTACACCAAGCAGGCTGATGCGCCGCTGCGACAGGTAGCAATTTAAGTTAAACGGGCCTTGGACTTTGTTGACTGACAAGCTCGATGAGGTACACATTTCTTCGCAACTCACTGTCTCAGATAATGTGAATATTTTGTACAACTTATAATTTCGTGCAGTTGTTCGCCAATTCCCGGGCCGGGCGCCCGGGATCATCAAATTCGCTACACTTGAATTCCATCCTCTTTACTTTATTCTTCGTCTCTGAGATTATCGCAGCGATGAATTATACTGGTTACCCTTCGGAGCGCTCGGCGCAGCTTGGCGAATTTGTCTGTTTTGGATTTATTGGAATACTTATCGCGCATCGTCTGCAGCGATATAGAGTTCAGTCACTCACAGAGATGATGGCGTCACGAGCTCACTGAGCGGCGTTGAGCGAGTTGCAACTTGTACCCCTTCCGTACAATCAAAGTCTCTCAGATTTATTTAAACAAATGTCCGACGGCTTCACCAAAGCGACATGGAAAATCCCCTCTGTGACGCCAGAGTGGAACCTCGACGCTTGGTGCTACCTCCCCGACCAGCATAGCAAGCCGTGCCCTGTGATAATCATGTAATTTTCAGATTCAACCGCCGTAGGGAGTGCGAGGTGTCGTTCGCTCATGTTTCTTGCAGGGCGCACGGTTTCTCCGCAAACAAGTTGATGAGTCTCGCTCCGTACGCGGAGGCATTCGCTAAGTTGGGATACGCGGCGGTGGTGTTTGACTATCGCCGCTGGGGGGCTTCGGGTGAGTTTATCCAACGGTTTATTATCCTAGAGTTGAGCTCACGTCAGGCTCTAGACGGCCAACCGCGCAACTGTCTCTACGTCTCCGAGCAGCTTGAAGATTACCGCACGGTGATCAAGTACTGCAGACAGCGGTCGGAATTCGACCCGCAGCGGGTCATCCTTTGGGGTACAAGTTTCGCAGGTCTGCGGCTCTGCTAGATTTTGCATATATTTGCTCAATGTGCTTTCAAAGGTGGCCATGCCGTGAAGCTGGCAAGCGAGGTACGTATATCCCGTCATCCTTAACTTCGAACGCGCTCAACGCTGACGACACCCCCGACGCAGGCCGATCTCAACATCCTCGCAGCGATCTCCCAATGCCCGTATCTTGGCGCAGGTCTCCCGCTCGCGCTGAACTATGGCTTTATCATGACGTCCGTGTATGCCATCCTCGATCATGTCAAGCAAATGGTAGGATTGGCCCCCATCTATATCCCGGGGTGTGCAAAGCCCGGCAAAATCGGTGGCTTGACCACCCCCGGGACGTATGAAGATATGCACAAGCTCGTGCGTGACCCGAGGTCAGTCTAACTCACTGTGAATGCGACCCTAAGTTGACTGAGCGCGTTACTGGTAGCGACTACCCGAACCAGGTAAGCGGTTCGTCCGCCATCCATGCTGAATGACGTTCAGGATTTTATGCTGCGAAGGTCTCCGCGTCGAGCATGCTGGAGTTTGCTTTCTATAAACCCATCGCCACCGTGGGCCGCATCGCGTGTCCCGTGCTCATCGTAGGGCTTGAGCATGACAACCTGTGCCTTATTAATGGTCCAGTAGACGCGGCGCGCGCATCGGACAAGGTGGAGCTTCTCCGACTCGATGGCGGTGAGTACCACTTCTCCTTCTGTCTATGGGAGTCGCAGACTCATGTGCGTGCATGGCCCAAAGCCCATTTCGACCCGTATCCGGGGATGCCGTTCCATGAAGAGTCACTGAGCGCGCAGTTGACCTTCTTGCAGAAGCACGTTCCTCCCTAGTCGTTCCGCTTGATACCAGCAGCTGCATCCACGTAGATGTGAACTTCGACTGACTACGTCCCGGCTTTCATTCGCCTTGCTACTTCCTGTACCCTAGTCCTCTTGGAATTCACAGAAGTTACTCGTGTATCCGTTCTTGATCTGTATTATGTACACCAACCTTACATCTGAAGTCTTCCGGTGTCCACCGCGATACCCACCGGGCTGCAACTAGTAACCTAGGCAGTGCTCACGTCCAGCCCATCGCCGTGTGTGAGTAAGGTTGTGGCTTTACTTGTCGTCAATGAGCTCTGCTTCTCCTCCGCTTCTTCTTCGCAGGCTTTCTCACCGGACGATCCGATCCCCCGTGCATCTTGCCGGTCTCTTCACGCCGTATGTACATCTTACGCATCCATTCACGGGATTGGCGGGTTGAGTACGTCTCCCGCGGCTTCCTGTGGGGCATCCTTCCGTACTCCTTGATCTCCTCAGGTGTATGTGGCTGGAAGCGCACGGGGTGCAGCGAGACCTGGCTCCAGCCCTTTGCTTCCCCGCGCTCGCGAAACTCTGCGAATAATTTTTCTATACCGATAGCAAGGTGCACGTCGCGGAGCGTGAGCCCAGGACATACGCGCTCCATGTCAGGCACAGCATCGTCCGCGGCGCGCGGCGGCGGCAGCGCAGTGTGAGTGTGCATCAGGACTTGGACGGTGTTGGAGGTGCGACAGACATCCGCATGGTGCTGCGGGGGCGGTGGGTAGGGAGCGAGGGACAAAAAGGGGGGGGGCACGCACTTTCTCGCGATTTTGCAGATCCTTAAGCGCCTTCGCAAAGGCGACGGCGCTGTCCTCTTTGACGAAGCCCTCGAACAGCTTCCCTAGCTGGGGCACGTACACGTTCGTCGAGTTTGTGATGTCAAAGCAGTCGTCGGCCAGGACTTCAGCGTTGCCGATGATCCACCCGTGGTGGTAAAGAGGTACAAGGTATGTTGTGATATCCTCCTGCGTGAGGAATGGGCACGGATATGGCGGCCGAGGTGGCAAAGGAGGAACATCCGGAACCTGTGACCAACGGGCGGTGGGGTGTTCTTGATCCAGTTGTTAACGGCCATTCTCCGGACTCCCGTGGTCTGTACGTACCATAGACCGGTTCGTAAACAAAATTGCGTTGTGCGTCGTCAGGAAGCATCTTGAGAAAAGACTCGCCCTCCTTGTGATCGTTTGCGGACGCATCAGCGGGTTTCGATGGATGACCTACTGCACCACTGGGGCGAATTCGAATGTGCCGTAGAATGGACGTCTTCAACCTCGGGGTAGCAGAAGCGCCGAACCATCGCACCGAGCGAGCGAACATGGATTACTGAGAATGCTGGTTAAACTGTTAGCCTCTTCGAATCTCCGACTTATAAACGACATAAAACAAGGGACTCGTTATTGGAGTGACGCATACCTAATCAACTGAGTGGACAGCGTGGAAGAGGGGCCCCACCACCGTATGCACACTGTCAGGAGATAGCAAGTACAGTTACGAGAGTGCAATTATTTGAGACAGAAGACAGACAGACAGACAGACAAATAAAATTATGAGCGACACTTGTTGTATGGTGCCGTAATCGCGAGTCCAACTGTTAGAGCCTGACAGTCGACTGACAGAGTTCGGAGACAGGATGCATATGCATGAATCGCTAAGCGATTATCGCTTTTCAAGTTCATACGGTGACTCTCAGAAAACATATGGCACGTGATGTGTACTCGAGATCCAGATCGAACGCTGACGCTGATGTTGCTGAGGGCCCGTGCTCCCTTCTGTAATTAATTCAGCTTGACGTGCTCCCGACCCTGCATTGCTGCTAATCTATTGACAGTTGCTTGTTGCAGCTGCGCGATGGCGGGCTCCAGATTCGAATACGTAAAGAAATTCGAACTACCCGACCCGCTCTTACCCGGTACATTCTTGGTCTTGCGCATTGACGGCCACGCATTCCATCGGTGAGCATATGCAGGTCATATATATCAATGTCTTCATTTTATTCACCGTCTGTATGTCCAGACTGTCTGAGGAGCATAACTTCACGAAACCCAACGACGAGCGTGCACTTCAGTTGATGGATCGCGCGGCACGAGATGTCATGGACGAATTCAAGGACATAGTTCTCGCATTCGGAGAATCGGATGAGTTCAGGTTATCCTCCTCTTGATCATCTGCCGTGTTGTTACTGATCCATGCCAAGTGAAGCTTTCTCTTTCGCAGATCTACCACGCTCTACAACCGTCGTCACTCCAAGATCTTGACAAACGTGACTTCTCTTTTCACATCCTCATACGTCTACAACTGGTCCAGCTATCTCCCGGATACGCCATTGAAATATGCTCCTTGTTTTGATGGCCGAATAGTTCTGTACCCCTCCTCGAAAGAGGTCAGAGACTATTTCTCCTGGAGACAGGCAGACAGTAAGCCTTATTCGTCCCGCTTCACGTACCTGCGGCTGAATCGAGCTGATCACCAGCCTGAAGCTCATATCAATAACCTATATAATACTATATTTTGGGCACTCGTGCTTAAAGGTGGCTGCACTACAACACAAGCTCACGCGAGACTTCGGGTGCGTGTTCTTCTACGGAGTTGCGAAGTCCAGCAGCCTCACCTTCCGCGTAGGGCACAGTCTCCAGCACAAAGCACGAGATGCTCTTCTCGCAATTCGGAATCAACTATAATGAATTACCAGCGAGATTTAGGAAAGGTAGCATCCTCGTTAGACAAGAGGTACGTGGTTTCCTCGTCACCGTTGCGTCACCATAGCGTACCGTTGACTCCCGATGGAGGTTCATGCAGAAGTGGAAGTGGCCCCTAAGGCTACAGATAATGCAGAAGGTCCCGCCGCTGGTCAGTCAGCGAAAACCGCATCCGGTAAGGGCGCAGGGAAGCCGAAAGTCGAGACGACCGTGGAACTCCTCCACTGCGACATCATAGGGGACGAGTTTTGGAATGAGCGGCCATATCTTCTCGCCGAAAAATGACATTCAGAAAGTGTGTAGCATAGATAGTACTAATGAAACCCATATCAGAAGCTTCGAAGGATTTTGGAGAAATGTTCGCAACACATCTACTGACCACTGACCGGTGTGTACATGTGGCGGTGCTACGACTGAGTTCGTGAAGTTGCCAAAAGCGGGATGGGGTGACTCGACGCCTCGCCTCGACCAGCCCTAAGCTTTCCTGCTTCACACATCGCGCCCTCATCTCACAACGCCTCTTCTCTCACTCTAACGCTCACCACCGCCAGCAAACACTGACGTTCAGCGTCCACATCTACCACGACGATGAGCACTACGGCATACTCCGACTTCTTCAGGCGAAGGACTCTCGGGCGAGCGTCGTCGCCCCCGACGTGGGCGTGCTACGAGCAGATCCCATACGATGATGACTATAGCGATAGTGGGTCAGAGGATAACTCCTGTTCAGAGGACGAAGAGGACTACAGCCAACCCGTGCATGGCGGTGACAGCGATCGCGAACCGCCCGCCGTGCACGAGAGCGAGAAGCACGCTCAGCATGGTGACGGCGACATGGAGATTGATGTGGATGATGAGGCCGTCTCCGCACAGAAGATTGCGGACTTCAAGAAGGACGTGAAGGGCAAGCAGCGCGCCATTGAACCTGAGCATGAGAGCCCCAAGAAGCAGCACCGCAAGAAACATCGGCAGCAGGTATTCACTCTTCGTCCGATCCTGACCATACAGAGGAGCCAAGGGTTTGTGTGGAATCAGGTGGGTCTTAATGCCACCGCTGTTACATGTGCCTCCCATGCTGAGATATCGTTGTATTCAGGATTTGTTTGTCCCACCATACATCAAGGACCGATGTTCGTTTCTTGCCTTCTTTTCTCATTGCCCTTGCTCACTAATGCTGTCTGCTCCCTTCTCGCGATGCGTCATACGCTATGCCCTCGTTGTCTCCTGATGTGTAGACGTCGCTTCGACCTCCCCACCGAATGCGTCAGGATTCGTGTCCTCGTCCGTGTCGTCCACGAACTCCTCCATGATGGACTACGAGGTGGAGGTGGTAGAGATCCGAGTGAGGGAAGGAGAGCTGAAGGATATCATTCCTTGACTAGCATGCATTTGGCAGACGGATTATATGCCGGTTTGGCTCCGTCTTGCCTTGCTGCTAGATGTCTTCTCATTCCCCAAGTTTTCCATTTGACCTAATACCTCCTGTATCGACACTTCTCCCAACTGACTAGCCTCTGAACTTACGACGCATTCTTACTTTTACATACATGTTGTGTATACGAAACTCGATAGTCAATGCCTACTTGTGCTCGCGAAGCCTTAGACTGTCGCAAGTAAAGCGTCCTCAAATTCCTTTACGCGAGCAGCTTCTTTTGCCAGCTCTCGTTCCTTCTCCTTGATGGCTTCAGCCTCCCTCGTGATCTTGTACGAGGGCGTTGTGTAGGGCTTATAGTCCAAGTGCCGCTTGACGTAGAAACACATATACGCCTGCGAGTTGAGGCATGCCCCAAGACTCGAATGCGTGACTCTGAGATGGATGAGGAGATCCGTCAGCACGCAGATCCGGCGGCCCCTTGACGAAGATACTTACTTATCATCGTCGAACCGGTACCACTATCCGGAAGGTGAGAGACATGCACAATTGCCACCATTCGTGAGAGAAGGGTGTACGTACCTCGTCCTGGGAACGCGCGTAACACGTGTAGTGCCCGTTGTCTATTTGACCTTCGTGGCACACCACGGAAAACAGCTCGTACTCGTACAACGCCTCGGGCCCAATATGTCTGGTGGCCGGCAGCCACGGCAGTGCATGGTGCACCGCACATCCTGATCAGCGATAGAGTAAACGAGAAGTGAAGAAGGCACTCACGGAAAAGAAGTGGAGTGGCCCATTCCGCTTCCCTTCCCTTCTTCACTTTTTGTGTCCATGACGAGGCTGGTATATGGCGCCATGTTCAAGCTCGCTGGGATACGCACAGGAGCCTCGATCTTGTGAGCGGTGGTCTTATCTCCGGACTTGTGCTCAAAGCGCTGAGAGACGTATACGCGTAAGCAGGGATTGAGACAGGCTCTTGTACCGACCTTGAACTGAAAGCTGAGCACCGGCGGTAGTTTCCGGATGCTCAATCGTTTACTGCATTCCTGGATAAACAATTATCTCCAGCAAGTCGACGAGGCGCGCACAAAAGAACGCACATGAGAAGCTTTCTCACACTTCGCACAACTGTACTCGTTGGGCCCTAGCCTTTCCGGTTGGGTGAACCTGCATTAACGTTATGAGCGGCAGCATGGACGTCGTGGTGAGATACCGTACTTCTTGAGACACGAGGCAAGAGTCACTTGTTGTCCGACAGCCGTGCTACCCTTGTCCTTATCCTTGAGATCGAGACTGATGTCAAGCATCGGATCGGTCGTCGTCGTGACATTCCCGCATCGTTCACATTTGACGTCGCTTTGGAGAAGGCCAGCGAACGTCGAATGTATGATGCAAATGCATTGGAATATCGTTGAACCCCGGGAAGTCGCGTGGATTTGATTAAGTGCAGCTATGAAGAATTCATGCGCGTCTTGCTGTGCATATCCTGATAACTCCGATGAAGCGCGCCATGTCGTGGCGAGGAAGCTAGTTGGGCCATATGGTGTCGTGTTCTCCGAAAATATCTAGTGGGTCTTACTGTAGCTGGCAATCATACGGCGGATAAGGTATCTGTAACCCACCTCCGTAAACAGCTTATCCATCTCACAGCAAGTGCAATCCTTCGTCTTACACAGTTTTTGGTTGTGTTTGTCGCTCAAGAAGTAGTTCCGGAGTAGCGGGTTGGCCACAAAGGATTGGAGGATCACGTTTAGGAAGCACGTCTGACCAAGATTCAGGAGACCTCGTCGACCTTCGGACACCCATCATATGCCTGATGTGTTGAACTCATCCCCAGTAAGAGTAATAATGCGCGCACCTTGACATGAAAGATTGTCGGTCTGTCTAAGCATCGCCGTTTCTTGTTCATTGGGCATCCAGGCTTGAAATGGTTCGCGGGATTTTTTGTCGACTGCGAGATGTGAAAATCACTGAAAGGGGAGTTCGCTGCCAGTGCCTCAAAATGCTGGTACCTTGAAAGGAAGTATTCCTCTCTTCCGCCGCTATAGCTGCGGAGAAATACGCATGACTGATGCGGCTATCGTACACAAAATCATTGCATTCCGAACAATAGACGGATCCAGTCTTAGCGTCGACACCTGCAGAGCAATAGTCAGTCATCTCTCAGGGAAGTAGTTGCGGAAAGACATCGGTATGCCACCAGTACACCGAGCTGACAAAGTGCCCTCACTCTCAAGGAAATATACGAACAGAATTTGTGGTTAGTCTCCTGGAGATGCCGCTTGGCATGTGCTTTCGGCCAGCATCCGGAATATGAGCAATTTAAGCACACTACTGGACGTGAGAGTGCAGCTTCGCAAGTGCCACAGGCAGGCACTGCTGTCTGTGTGTAACACAAACGATCATCTATTCCGCCTGGAACCACAGTAACGTCAATACCCACCTTTCGCCGCTTTGCAGGGCGTATCGCATCATGTCTGCGCTGTGAATCCCATGAGATAATCCTTTTGTATTTTCGGAATATTGCTGTTTCTTCTGCCGTATTCGCTAAGGTGAAGGAAATATGAGGACATCCACTTCCCTCCATGGTCCTTGGAGTGTAGCCGACGATGAATATATGCAAGAAGTAATTCAATAAGATCGAATTCCACAGCGACCTTCTATGTGATGAGAGACATAGGGTATGTCGGCCGGGGGTGGGCGCGGAGGCGAATGCGAGAGACGAGCGTCTATGGTAACTGCTGGCCACGTGGTAACTATTGGTTCCCAAAACGGAAAACACGTTGCGGCTTGAGCTCAACCATACGAAAGTGAATCAAACTCGTTGATCCTTCACATTCATCCTACCCTGGTTTTCTATGCTGAACTACGATCTTACACGTGGAAAGAAGATCAGTTGCGCTTGGGAATCTCATTGTCTAACGAATGTCTCTGAAACCCACTCCTGGCAATACTAGGAAGAATCGATGACACTGCTTTCAAACTAGACAACCTCAGCAGCCGTTGTATGTTCTGCCATGCCACGCCGGATAATGGATTTGACGTTGTGTGGGAGGTAAAACACGCTTCGTGCTTTCTTTTAGTGTTCCTTTCGAGCCAGTCACACAGAATGATACGTATACCGTTTTCAAAGATAACAGACCTGCGACCGTCCAACATTTCCAGGTTATTCCTAAACGACACATTGGTCAGTGTTCACATCTGCCAGATACCTAACGTTTTACTTATGCACGCCATTTTGTAGAAAGTGTCAAGTGCTTAACGAAAGCCGACGCCGACATGGGTCCGTGATCGTGTATTGCCGACCGACGAATGACTACTCAACTACGTTCTGTAGTCAGAGAGATGGAATGGATAGGTCATCGTGTTTTGGAAGATTTGGATGTACCTGCCTCGGATCGTCGGTGAGTTTCTACCCGTCTTCTTGTGTTCTTCACTGGCTGAACTGCAAGGCAGACTCGGCTTTCATGTTCCTCCATTTAATTCTGTCAGCCACTTGCATCTTCACGTCCAAGCTCTTCCATACAAGTCTTCCCTCATGAAGTTGGAGTTCCTTCTTACTCCTGGACGGAATGGTTCAGACAAGGGTATCAGTTGGTTTGCTGACGTCGGCCAGACGGTGCGAATACTGGAGAAAGGTGGTCGTGTTAAGGTTTTGTCGTGTTGAATAAGCCCCAGCCTCCTACTTACTCTCTCAAGACCCCTGCAAGTACAGGCAGGCCCCTGTGCCTGTACTGAGGTGCGTATCCACGATACGCAGCGTCCATGCAGATTGGTCTTGAGGATCTCGTTGCGAACATTCGTAGTTGTTCTTTCTGATGGGTCGTTCGCGACGTCATTCCGTATACGTCCGAATACATCTGTGTTCTGATCTTCAAGACTCTGGACTCCAGTGGTCAGATCTGCGTACGCGGAAGTTCTTCTTGGTGTCATCTGAGCCTTAGAGTGTGCGTCTTCTATGCCTGTTCCATGCTATGATGCGGGAGTCCTCAAAATAGACCAGGCATCCGGTGAGAGCTCTCTTCTCGGTCAGCGCGATGCTGAAGGCGAACTATGTGCAGGCTGTCCACGTCGGTCAATTTCCGCCTTGGCCCATCTCAGGAAGTTGTTTACTGGTATCAAGGGACTTCTCCGTGATCAAGAACGGAATCATAGTCTATATCGACTGTCCAGGCAAATGTAATCCTTCTTTGGGCAGACTTTAACTATATGTGCTACCTTCTTAGTCTATTCATCCGTAGGCATGAGTATTCTAACGAATGACGGCACCGATCGGCAACTTTGTAGGTTCTAATGTTGGCGCGAGCGCTTTACTCACTTCCGTCATGCACTACTACGCCTCTCCAAAATTACGCAACATCTAGCGGAGCACCACTTTCTTCGTGTCAGACCGGAATAGTGCGCTTGAGCGGAAGCGCAACTCCGTTTCAAGAGGTTGACTCCACTTGGTTGAGTCCGTCCGTGGTCCAACATTAGCCTGATGAGCGGTATGACTCTGGCGGACACTGTCATCTCCGCATGGGTGCATGGGTTTCCGTTCATCTCCACAAGCAGGGCCCAAATTACATCTCTGCATGCGATCCACCCCTCGTCTTCACACGTGCAGTGCACGTCCTGCGAAATCGTTGCTACAAGAGGTTGGTATGGATGGGTGCGCAGATGACTCATAACACACAACATTAATGCACCTATCATAGGCCGGACATTACCAGCTTTACATCTACTGGGTCTATGAGCTAAATCTGTCAGGCAGGCAGGGCGTTTGCGTTGCACCAAATGACTTTGGGTATGGTGTCCTCCAGACTGGACATGGCGCACAAATCAGGCGAGTGCATCTTATGACTTGATGGTTCGGATTGACATGTGTTGGGCTGAAAATAAGCTGCCTCCAAACGCGGCCAGGATAAGCCGTCCGTCCTCTTCCGAGCTGTGCGCAATGGCACGCGCCGTTTCTAAATCCCTGTGCGATGACAGCATCATCACTGGTTCAGCGCCAGTCTTTCGCGAGCTCGGGCATATTCGAGGACTAAGCGGTTTTGAGTCGCACCTGACCTTCGCGCACATGCACTTGTCTTGAACTAGTATCTACGGGTACGGAATTTCCAGCCTCTCTATATCCAAGGTACGACTGATGCTATTAAACGTTGTCTGAACGTGAAGGTCTACACAGTCAAAGATTACTGTGGACGCTTCGCGAGCGCTTAGTCAGAGCTATTGTTGCCACAGAAGCTCATACGCCAAAAATAACCAGTGAGCTCTCAACACGATGCGCAGTCGGGGTAAGTATCCTCAGTGTCTATTCCGTTCCTCGCCGATGTAGATGTGACAATTTCTTCGGGCAAAGGTCGGGCTCGCAAATAATCACTCGCTGAACCGCCGAACCTTACCAGTTTGGTAGGTACCTCGTGAATGATTACAGTGCTCCGAGTCCATCGCACACTGTACGACGTCCTGAGAACAACTCCGGGATATCGGCATGCCAAATCTTCTTCGAGGTCTAGATCCAGGAATGTAGGCGGATCAGGGAAGACTCAAATGTCCGCGGAGGACAAGGTACTGAAGAAAGTATGCACCCGGTGCAAGAATAGCTACAACGCGAATGAAATATTGGGTAAGCCAGCATGGTTCTACACGTTCCGAAGATTCCCTCGCCTCATTAGTCGGCACGAACGCAGTCCCCGAGAACTCCTTCAAGAAAGTTTATGTTCCAGTACTCGCTGCCGATTTTTTGGATATGTGGCCAGGCAGAAGTATAAATGCTCTATCCCCTTGAACAGCTGAGTGACTGTCGGGTTAAAATGAGTCGTCTGTTCGTCTCCGTCTTTTGCGCTATCGTTCTATCCTCTCTTGCTGTCGCCGCTCCAGCCAACAGCATTGCAGCGTCGGGGACAGCAGTCTCATCTGCAGCTGAACCTAGCGAAACTGTTCCTCTGGCGATCGACGATCCCAACTATGTCGAATGGGTACCCGACACTGATGCAAATCCCGAGCCTATTCGTGGCACTCTTGGTGCCACCATCATCGCTCAGACCAACATCCCGCTTGAAGATCAAAACCCGGATCTTTTGGCGCCTCCTACCACCGATTCTGGCTTAATGTAGGTGTTTGAAAACGTCTTGATAGTCGTCTGACACATCTCCGAGGACAGTCCAAATGTCAAGTGGCCATTCAGCTTGAGCAAAAACCGCATGCAGACTGGTGGATGGGCTCGACAACAGAACAGTGAGTGTTAAATTGTAAATATTTGATATTGTTAGGATTAACCCAGCGTAGTTCAGGTCATGCCGATCGCTACTTGTAATTATCTCTACATTAGTCGAGTAGCTTGAAGCATACAGTTAACATGTTTTCAGCTATGGCCGGCGTCGATATGCGTCTGGAAGCAGGTGCAATCCGGTATGTTGTACAGCCCTTTATAGGATGGCCTTCATGACAGTTCGCGTTCAGTGAATTGCATTGGCACACGACAGCGGAAGTGAGTCAGTTTCACATCTCCCAATTCAATTCTGATATTGATCGTGGTCCAGTGGGCCTACGTTCTGAGTGTAAGCAGTCAAGTGTCGTGCTGGCCAAGTACCCTCGAAACGATCACTTCCTCCTTAGGGTGCCGTTCAAGTCACATCTGTGGATACCAACGGTCAGAATTATCTCGGGACGGCGGTACGCGGTGTCGTACAACTCGAATTTGTTCAATATGACCGAGACTTGGTACAGAACACCGGTGATCTCTGGTATTTCCCGCCCGGGATTCCGCACAGTCTTCAAGCCACGAACGAGACCGCCGCAGGCGCCGAATTTCTCCTTGTACGTTAGGCACTACCGTTCTTGAGATATTGCTTTGAGATATTGCTATGACAGGTGTTCGATAACGGAGATTTCAGCGAGGATTCCACATTCCAGGCGAGTTTGAACGGAACAGGTTAATCCGGTGTCTATTGACCGCGAAGTAGGTGACCGACTGGATGGCCCACGTGCCGAAAGAAGTCATAGCCAAAAACTTCGGTATTAGTATGGCTGCTTTCGATCATATACCTGCCGAGCAGCTCTACATTTTCCCTGGCCGTAGGTTCACATCCTATCCTTTCCCACTGTAAACGTAACGATCTCTGCAGCTGATCCCGCTCCTGATGCCGAGAATCTTGTTGAGGATCCACAGGGACAAGTTCCGAGCCCATTCACCTTTGCGCTCTCGCAGATGGCACCAACTCAGTTGCAGGGGGGTACTGTTAAGATTGCCGACTCTACCATATTCCAGGTGGCAACTTCTATTGCCGTTGCTGAAGTGACCGTCGAACCTGGAGGCATGAGGTCCGTCAGCTGTTCGCATCGATTAAGTCGCTTCCTGACTTAATTTCATACAGGGAGATGCACGTAGGTCTTCTGTGATTCTTGGTCGACACAGATCTGATAGTCACGTCAGTGGCATCCTACTCAAGACGAATGGGCTTACTTTCTGTATGTGTCGGAAACTTTTCCCTAATTTCATACACCTTACACTCTACATAGTTCCGGTAATGCGCGAGTTACGCTCTTCGCATCCAGCGCAACCGCCAACACATACAACTTTCAGGTAGATTTTGAATAACTTAGCGTATTCCGTATCATTTCGGCTCACGTGTCTCTGATCAGGCTGGAGATATCGGCTTCGTCCCCGCTTCGTATGGTGAGCATTTGTAATCCGGTAATATTCGTCGACGCGGCGTGATGACGCCTTTCCTAGGTCATTACGTCGAGAACATCGGGAATGACACGCTGCATTACCTTGAGATCTTTAACACGGGTAAGTGCTGTGGGAGCATCAGCGTGCACCTTGACTAATTGTTTTGCTCTAGACCGCTACCAAGATATCAGCTTGAACCAGGTGCGTGAGTTGGTATTCGACTCCACTTCATCTTCTGATTTCGTCATTCAGTGGTTGGCATTGACACCGCCGGAGTTGGTCAAAGCTCACTTGCAGCTTTCCGATGAAACAATCAGCATGCTCAGCAAGACTAAGCTCACTGTCGTTGGGCCTCCCAAGAACTCGACGGCGTAGTCAGTCAATGATTTGCTGATGTTGGGCGCGGTAGTCTCGAAGGGCTGGAAAAGTGATATCATCTCAGCTTCGTGTAAACGCTTCGGACTTTGACGGATTCTCACGTTCAGTTGTACGCGACGTTACGAGAACTGTTGTTTTGTCATTGCGTCCGATGGAAACGATTCGGAGTTCTGGATACATTACCTTCCTGAGACGGGGGCGAGGTTAGTTCGCGCCGTGACAAGGTTTCGACTGAGGACATAACACCACAGAGGATCTCATATTGAAGTGAGGATAAGTGCGGGAGTTGTTCGTTCCTGCAGTTGACAAAGATGAGCGTCTTCACATTTGGTGGAATATTTTCATACTAGATCAACCTTGGATCAACCCAAGTGTGAAGTTCCAATACCACACTGCCACGGTAACGGTCAGACTTAATCAAATAGTTACATACACACAATCTTCATGCATGCTCCCCCCACACAAACACAGTAGGTGGATCATACCGTCACTATGGATCTGGTATACTCAATCATCATCCGAGTCATCGTGATCAATGGCAGGATTATTCTCCAAACTGTCCTTCAGTTTATCCGCGGAATGCTCCGACTCGAGGGATGGCATATCATCGAAGCATGTAGTTTCCACCTCTCCTAGGCCTTCCATGTCAGCACCTTGGTCTTCATTGTTGTGATCGTCATCCAGGATGATCCTCCCGATTGCGAGGTTAGAAAGATCTACATAATCCTCGACGGAGACCACCTGGTAGTCGCCGTCATCGACTACTTGAATTTCCTCGTGTTCAGACGCATCAATCCTCGTTCCTTCCGGGTCCTCGACATTTTTCGAACTGAGACGACCCTTGTCTATCTCAAGACGAATCCACGAATCTCGGCTGCGTGCGAACGTCGCTTTCTGAATCGGACTTTCCAGCAGAACAGCAATTTTCGAATTTTGATCCCTCCGTTCTTTACCCTTCGTGCCGCACCGATTCGAATCAGGACGTTCTGCTGCCAGCATTGACTGGGGTTGTTCTGTAGCAGCTACGTCTCGCAATGGCACTGAAACGAGCGCTTCTATGCGTAAGACCGTATCTTTATGCGTATTCTGAGCAATGACTTGGTTCAAAGGCACACTTGAGAAATAGCCCTTGAATGGATAGGTCGACGATGGTGACATGACAAGAAATACTTCCCAGTCATGATGTTCTCTTGAAGTGGAAGGACTGCCAGAAACTGGTGGATCATTGGCATCGTTACCAACGATGGTGGCGTCAGATCCATCCCCCACAGCTGGCACGGTAGGCGACATCTTGCTCTCGCCAGAAGGTACGGGATCTTCAACAGAGTGTTCGATGTCCAGTGGCGGCTCAGGAAGCGAGTCTCCAGTATCCGCATGGTTATCAATGCTCCCCACCCCTTGATCGGTGTCCGCGTTTGACTGTGGGTTGCTCTTGTCCCGGCCCTCCTGATCACATTCTATATTGTCGTTAGGGCTATCGTTGTCCTGCTCCACATTCTGGTGGTCCTCGCTACCACCTCCACCACTCGCGGGAAACTGTGCACTATGAACTTCGCCGAGGTCCCCGGCGACATTATCCAGTCCGCTTGGTACGTTCCCGGGCATCTCTTGGCTGCGCAGACCACCAACTTCAATGACATTCGACTGCTCGCTGTCAGGACTACCATCTCCCCCGCTATTTCCATGACCACTATTTTCATCTCCAGAAGACTGGCAGCCCTGAACATGCTCGCTAGTAACCTGCTCGCCGTCTGCATGGTCATCAGGCTGGTCGGCACAGGTAGAGTTCTTCTCGTCACCGTTATTCTGAGGAATATTCTCTTGTTGGTTGGCGGACTGGTTGATGTGAAGGGAGCTGTCATGGCCTTGCGTGCTATTTGTCTCGATGGGACGGAGCCGTTCCAACTGGCTTTGGCCGCTCTCTAGCTGCTCGGGCGCCACGTGAACGTCACCCCGACTGTGTGACTGCTCCCTGGTAGGGTTGACTTCCTCGATGGTCTGATGCTGGTTGAGACGATTGTCTTCTTCGTGATTGTGATCGTTCTCAAGTGGTTCACTGCTCCGATGCCTTACTTCTGTAGCTTCCGGCTCCACGCTATCCCGAACACTTTCGCCGCTGGGGCTCTGCTCCTCAGTGTCCCGAATGCTCTCCTCATTGGTGTCTTGCAGCTCGCTACTTTGGTGATTCTGGCTGTCATCTGTCTGCACGCCGAGCGAAGCGCCACCGCCAGAGTCCTTCGGGTCCTGCTGAGTAACAGTATCCTGAATATTCTGCCGCTCTTCATCCCCCTGCTGGTTGGCTGTACACTCGTCACTCTGATCATCGTGATTATGAGGACCATGAGACCCAATATCTTGAGATAAGTTGTCCTCGTGCCTTTCGCCACATCGTCCAAGGTCAACCGTTCGCGTAAGTTTCTGATCGTCGTGCCTGCCCAGAGCAACTGCGGGAAGTGCACGTAAGGCTTCAGAATCACAACAGGGTCCGCTGGGTTTCCCTCCATCAGTCTCTTTCACCTCAGCGCTGTGATGGAGGTGATCACGAGTTTCGACATTCTCTTGGGACGTAGTAGGAGGTTGAACGGCTCCGTCCTGAGTTGGCGGTGCAGGACCCGTGGCCTTCTGTAGCTCCGTGGACGTCTCTGTTTCAGTCCGTCCGCTTCCACGCAATAACTGTTCTCCTTCTGAAGACTGGGCAGCGGCGTTAACAACGCCCTCGGAGATTACGGTAGCGCACTGCGGAACCACCTGAGCGGGATCACAATTTGAAACAGAACATGTAGCAAATTCTGAGCTGGCAGCTTCTTCATTATCAGTGGTCAGCGTGCCTGAAGACTGACTAGCAATGCCTAGTGAGGGTTCCGGCCCCGTCCCATTAGCGGTGGCTACTGGCACTGTTAAGCTTCCAGCAGTATCATCGTGCATAGAAATAGACGCTCCAGGTGTCTCGTGAAGATCCTGCGGGATCAATGTATCGCGCGTTTGCTCGAGATCCTGTAATGTAGTGGATGCGCTCGAGGTGGTTTTGGGTTCTTGTGCCGATGGAGCCGCGCTCGTAGAGCGTCCCGGATACTGCATCGCGGTAGACTCGTTGGTATTCCCGCCAGAACCTTCTGACGGAGGTGAACCGCTGACTGTCATTTCAGGACCGTGTGTAGAAGTAGACATGTTGGGCGTTGGCTCAGGACCCTGCGTAGGAGCAATTGCATCTGAAGTTGGTTCAGGATCCTGGGAAGGTGCAGAATCGTCTGTGGTCGGTTCGAGGTCTGGGGTAGGAGTGGTGACGCTGGGTAATTGTTCGGGATTCTTTATCGCTATAGGAGTGCTAGGGTTTGAATTAAGGCCGTGCATTGATACAAGGATAGTCGGAGAGATGATAGAACGCTGTGTTGAAGGAGAAGGATTAAGCGTGCCTTCAGAGTCACCTCTCGCAGCAGGCGTGTTTGGCACGTCTTCGGTATTGTCGACGTTCTGAGTACTCTCATCCTCCATCTCTTGCGAAGTCTTCACCTCCACTTCAACCGGCTCGGATGTCTCGGTAGTCATGGATTGTTCAGGAGCAAGATGAGCACCTTCCGCAGAACTCGGCGGGAGTGGCGAGGCAGCAGTGGCATCACTAGCACCTTCGCCGACACCATCGGCCTGCTCTTCACCAGTGTCACCAGTGCGCAGGTTCTCAACAGTTTCGGGTGCGGGCATCATAGGATCCAGACGGCTGGCGGTCGACTCTGCATGTGCGCCTTCTCCGTCCTCCGGAGTCCGGACGGTGTGGTCCTCGGTTTGCTCGCCACCAGAGGAGGCGACCTGAGTCATCGGCGCGACACCTCCATCTGGTGGTGTGCCCTCTGGATCCACCGTGCTGACCTCGGCGATGGTAGAACTTCCCCCTACATTCTTAGAGTTGTTGGCAACAATGGTAGTGTTCTCTTTCTCTCCCGCTTCCTCTTTATCTGAGAAGTCGAAGGGGCCAATACCGTCATCGGTATCGTCGGCATCCGTAGAAACCATGTCCTCGCTCTCGCCATCGGTTTCAAAGTCATGACCAAGATCGGGAACGGTAGGTGATGCAACGTTCGAATCAAGAGGAACAGGCATGCTAAAGAATATGTCTGTCACAGAGCGTCGCGTAGACCTGACAGGGCTATGCAGAATGCCTCGAAGGTCTTGCGCAATTGACTGCATTTCTTTGGCAAGAACCAGATTGTTGTCTGTGACACTGAGACGATCTCACACGAGCTGCCGCAGTACCATTGCTATGCGATGCTCACCTCGCTATTTCTTCGATACCATCCAGCTCAAGAATGCTGTGTGCCGTCAACCGCTTTCCAGCGACTAGAGCAGACAGTCGTGCTTCAGAATTCGATTCGTACGTCGTTCGAATGAATTCGGAAAGCTCCACACTATCCCAACTCGGGAGGTGACCCTACCAAGACATAGCCTGTCATTCGGGCCACATTTATTTGGAATAGCTGATATACGCACAGCACCGTGCGCAAAGGTCTTACGGGTCGTTAAAGGGCTAGTTGGCGACCGCCGAGCGGAAAACGAGCTCTGAGGTGCGGCAGAATACGAGGATCTCACACTGAAGGCGCCTGCGCTGAATGAGGAGATAAATTCAGCTGAGAGTACCATCACGTACCTGGTTCAACGACGAGCTTCGGGCGCCCAGTATCCTTCCCAGCGACATAAGGAAGTTCAGCTTGCGGCATTTTCAGACGGTAGCAAGCGAAGACTAAGCAGGATTGTCAGCAGTGAACCAACTACTACTTGTTGAGAGTTCAGTACCGAGACCTGTTAATCAATGAAGACGCCCGACGATCACCGCAAAGGGCAAAAGTGAAATACAAAATATGAACGCAGAGCTGCAAGTGAGCTATCGGAGATGGGAGATCGGAAAGACACCAAGCTGCTTGTCAGTCTAGATGAAAGAACGCCACTGGAATGCAGCCAAGCGCCAAAAGCCGCGCCGCGGCTTAGGGTAGGTTTCATGCCTGCTTCGGGATGAAATGCGCAGGAATACAAGAAGACTTCTTCAACGTGTTGTATTGATCTTTCCCATGGCTGTCCCTTCAGTGTTCAACGTTCAGTCCTTGTATACATGGCACCTGCATCATCTGGAATTATGGTGGATGTTCCAGAGTATGACGCATTCAAACGCCTCCCAGGGTAAAACCGGTAAGGACTAGTGCTGATAAGCCGCCACCATGTAGTGAGGGAAGCACAGAGAGACAAAAATCCAGACGAAATATCCAGCATAACAGGAAGTTAACTCATTAGGGATGCACAGTGCATAGATGGTAAAGTGATGTAAAAGAAAAATTGGAAAGCTGGACGCCTGTGGTGGAGGTTGAACGTTGAACATGAGTTCGGCAAATCACGCCGGGGATCTTGAAACACCGCTGCGATATGCAAATTTTTGCGAACACCATCGCCGTTGCTCAATACCTCATCGCCTTGCCTCTCATTTTTGCACATGTATTCGGTAGCATATGTAGTACTGAAATCCAAGAGCACATAATTTTTTCTATTGTCAAGCATGCTGTAAAAATCCGGTGAGGCAGTGTGCCACGCCGATCCGCAATGTCACACATTGTCACACTGCCGAATCAATCTCCGAACGTCATCCCCTCACACATCAGGAAAAGTTAAATCTGGTTAGCCTGCTTATCTGCCTTAATAAGGAGAAAGAAGAAATAAGCAAAAATCAGGCGGGAGATTGCCTTATTTTTCCTTAAATAAGGCAATAAGGAGGTTAAGCAGCTTTTGATGCAGGGAAGAATCTAAGCTGTGCTTGAAAACGTCACACCTGCAAAGGACCGAAACTGCTCTCAGAATTGTTTTGAGGCAGCCGTGTCGGCTGTCCTCTCGAAACTTTTACAGTAGTATTCTAGAGGTCATACAATACTTACCCTATTTTTCTGAGGGACAGAATGAGCTGCGGAAGAAAAGTTCGCACTACTGGATCAGTTCGCATCTGATAGTAAAGGGGTGGCTTTGTCTGCATCAATTTACCGTACTGAGGAGTGAGCAGAGCTAGAGCAACAGTACGACGTTTCAAGGGTCGAAAAAGTAAGAAAATACGAGATAAGCTTCGCATGGCATTTCTCAAACACGACTGCTGTAACTTACAAAGCCTGTGAATACAAGCAGAAAATGATGAATAAGTGACGAAAAGCAGATGGCAAAGCTAGAGGGCATATGACGACCGTACGCTTAACCATACATACATTGGCATTTGCTACAAGGGAGAGTTTCAAATACATACAACAGTCTACAATTGCCACAGGTCAGGATTTGCGTCAGTTGCAGGACTTGGCGATGGCAGTCCTGCGAAACCATAGGAAGATGACGATGCAATAGCCGTCAACAGAGAACCAGACAGTCCTTGTGGGGTCAGGATGACCGGTACTCCCGGAGGTCGTGGCCTGACAAGAGATCGTACTTCAGTAGGCGATTTGATTTGCATGGACGCATCGTTGAAAATGCGCTCGTGCAGCACCAGCGGTGTTGCCAGCTGCTTTCGCACTCGGCTGTGAGGCTGAATGTCGACAACCTCGCGCCGACTGGACATTGGTGAGTACGGAGTCCGGTTATCGAAGGAGGTACTCTGGACGGGACTGCTGGTACTTGTTCCCGCAATCAGAATAGGAGTAGAGTCCATGGTCGATGATCCTGCTCGTTCAAAATGTGTGAGAGAGGATACTACCTGGAGCGGTGACAGCTCAGGTTCTTTAAGAAAGCTTCCCGTAGGGTCGGGCGCTGGAAGGAAGAACACACCCTTCGGTATCTCCTCCCATCGAGGATGATTCCCCTCACCTGCCTGCTCCAATATCGGCAGCTCCGTGTTGGGTTCTGCATCATCACTATTATCGTGATGCACTGCAGCAACCAACACGTCGGCCTCCTGAGTGGTACGTCCGTACCCCTCACCACCTTCGTGCCCAGCAATTGTATCCAAATTGCTGGACCCAGTAAAAGGACTCTCTAATCCTCCTTCGATGGATATGATCTCCAACCCCTGCTCCTCCGTATCGGAAATTTCGAATTCCTCTTCATCATGATCAACATCCAATATGGCAACTCCAGAGCTGACGTCGCTTGCGATCGAGGGAGAATCGCTAGTGCGGCGGCTCGGAGTGTCATCTGGATGTCGTTCATGATCGGCGATGGGAACCTGGTACTCGTCTTCAAGACCATCTACTTCACCTTCGTCTGATCGGAGCGATGCCGACTCAGCATCTTCGCCTTGGATTGTGACATATTGATCAACAAGGCTATCGTCGTCATATTCGTCTTCACCCTGTGAGGTACTGGCGACCGCCGGAATTCGCCGTGAGAAAGGATGGGAGAAAGATAAATGTGCCACTCTTTCCAAAAGAAGTGAAGGAACATGTCTGAGCTTGTTTACCATTCTTCGAGAAGACGATGGAATCGGAGCAACTGCAAGCAATTGAGATGTCACGGACATATCACCTGCTGGTTCAATAGCACCAGTGGTCCCGGTAATAGCATCGCCATCGGATACTTGATTGCCTCTGTTGGTAGCGGAACCTTGCGAACGCTCCTCGACGTTCATCTCCCGACGAGTTTCACAAACTGCTGGGATCGGAGTTGCTGGCGAAATAGCATTAACATTATCTGGAGCATCGCCCTCCGTAGTCGTGGCCCGCGGAAGGCCAATGTCGACGTGACAGCCCTCGCTGTTGTCGCCATCTGCCTGTCTATCGAGGCTAGGAGGCGTAGCTTCTCTTTGAGGCTGGAAAATCAATCGATGAGATACATTCACCTCCGCAGAGAGCGGTGAACCACTCACTGTTCCCATGGTTGAATCTCGGGCAGTATTAGTACCGTCATTTGGAGTACCTTCTGTTGCCAGAGAAGAGTAAGGATCGGCGCCGCGGGAGCTTCCAACATCTGTAATCGTAATTTCCTGACTGATAACCGTGTCCACTTGTTGAGGGATTACACTATAATGCTCTGTCTGCATGTCTAAATCAGCCAGATGAGAGCGCTGTGCTTCCGGGTCGGTGACAGACTGTGAAAGTAATTTGTTGGAGTCACTCATCTCCCTTAGCAACAACAGGTTACTTACTGCTTCTGATGGATTGACGACAATGGGGACACCGCTAGTCCCTTCTCCTGTCGAAGACACATCAATAATCTCTACAGAATTCATGGTATCGATAGCCGCGTTCGCGGTCTGACTACCGATATTCATTTCTTGTAAAGGCCCGGCGCCATCGCGATCCACTTGCCCATCCGACCGCTTGATGTTTGTCTGCGCAGGAAGTATTTGAGTTGCGACGTGTTCAGTCTCGGGTTCTCGGGAAGCTGTTATCTCCATCGACAACGAAGAATTATGTGTATCCCTCGTCGCTGTTGAGTCCCCTTCTGAAGATCGTGGATCGATATTCCGAGACTCCATAGCCCTGGCCTCAGCACTTATCTGGCTGTCAGGACCATTGCCCCGTTGAGACCGCTCGTTGTCGTTCGCTTGCCCCTTCGAGGACTCGAAGACAGACGCCTGAACATGTGGAATTTCCTCTTCAGTAGTTGTCTGTGGTTCCGCTTTCTCCGCGTCTGGCTGCAAAGCTGCCCCACGTCCTATCAAATCAGTAGGATGTACCACGATGCTGGGAGCCGTCGTTGCGTTCCCTTCCGAAGAGAACTGCCAAAGGAAAGGATGGTTACTAGACGAGTCTGTGGCTGTGACCGTCTGACCAGTAGATGAACCCTCGTATGGAGGGCACGCGCTATCGTCATCCACCTGCTTGTCAGAAGAATCAGCGTTGAGCAATTTGGCTGGCTGAGCTGGCAGTTCTTCCTGTGGGGCGGTCGGTTGGGTGTCCGGCGTTCGAGATTCGTTCCCCTCCGGCTGTAGCCGAGAGGTGTCAGTCTCCCCCGTGGTAGAAATGTGACTAGCCGCTCCTTGCGTGGCCGAAGGATGGAGCTTAATGCTTGGAGAGCTCGCAGCGTCCGCAATTGTGCTGGTCTGACTAGGAGACGTGTTCGCTTGCACGTTCACGCTATCCTGCTCCGGCTCTGCCACCTGAGAAGACGTGCCGTGTTCGGCGACGGGCTGTATATGCGATTCATGAGCCGCTATGGCTTTCGCATCTGCCGACAATTAAGAGTTACTCACTGTCTCTGCTGGTGGTTTGGCAACCGAGTCGCCCCGGCGACTACGATCCATGTCTGCTTGTTGAGACTGCACTGCATCATGCGCCGTGTCCTGACGCGAAATTATTGCTTGGGTCGGCGATGTCGGAATTGGCTGAGCGTTAGATTTACGAGATAATTGGGTCTCCCAGGCCGCCGAAGAATCTCTTGTTGGCTCCTTGGTAGAAGCTCCGAGAGTCGAATCACTAGTTATCCCTGATGACTGTAGTTCCGTGCTCCGCTCAACGTTTACTGAACCCGCCCGACCGGCAGGTGAATTCACTTCTTGGCTACCTTCCTTAAACAAAGGCTTTGTGGATTCCACCTGAACAGGCGGCGCTCCCTGCTGCGCACCCGATCCTAGGGATATATAGGCGTTCGGCTGCTCCGAAGGTTCGCCGGTCATTGTCGTGGAAGAAATTTCCACTGTCGTATCGTTGCTAGCCTTTGTAGTCTTTATGTCCGACGACGCGAGCGACTTTGGATCGGGAGTCTGAGAACTGGCGCGGTCTGTGGTAATGCTCGTCTGATCAGCAGACATATCTACTTCCTGAGCGAGCATACCGTCCTGGGTCGCGGTTTGAGTTGTAGCATGTAAATGCGATTCGTGAGCCTCCTTCACCAGTGTCGATGATGAAGAATCCTCCATCGGCTCAGCGGAAGATGTTTGGGCATCCGAATCACTGATGGATACCATGTTCGACGAGGACTGTGAATCTGCATTTTCAGGATGCACAGCACCTGTGACAGGATTCGCCTGAACAGTGGGCCTGGTCACTTGTTGAGAGCTCAAGGCATCACAACCTTGTTTCTTATCCAAAGACACTGAACCGACTCCTTCATGGGGCGACAACTTTCCTACAATTAGCTCCGTTGCGCAGCGAATAAAGTCAGCTTGATCCTGCATCACCGACGAGGCCCCAGCAGACTCGTTAACAGTTTGTGCATCTGCAGCACCGGATATGCCTCTCTGCTCCGTGGCTGTAGACGCACTTCCGCATGGTGTGGGAGAATAAACAGGAGACGGAATAGGTGCATCAGTGCCCGCCTGCTCCGCGCTCGCCAATTCGTGTACGGTTGTTCCTGCGGTAGGAGTGGGGGCGGACTGGGTCGTATCGGTGTCTTTCTGCTCCGCAGTCGTTGGATCACTCTCGACTGTGGCGGCAGGCGATGAAGTGGGTGCGGATTGGGTCGTTTCACCAGCGTGCCTCTGTTCCGTGTTCACAGGTCCACGGCGCCGAACAGTTCGCGAAGCCGGTCCCCCTACAGCCGCTCTGCTGGACACGTTCGCGCTGCCATTTCCCGCTCTCTCGCCCGAACCTGTGATCTCGCGTGATTCCGCCGGAGCACGATGCGGAGTCTCAACAGCGGGACGCGAAGTGGACCTGTTTGCTGCATTCGTACTATCGCTCGTCGTCGGAGTGGCTGCTGCTGCCGCATCGCTGGCAGGCACGACCGCATTGCCATTGGTCTTCTCTTGCGCTGGGGGCCAAGCTTTGCCCACTTGAGAGGAGACCGAGGGGCCGGATTGCGCAGAGATAGTGTCAAGGTTCTCCTTGCTCGTCCACGCAGGTGGACGTCCTGGATCAGAGGAAGCCGAGACAGTGGGAAGCGCAGCAACGTGCTCATGGCTCTCTTGCGTCGAAGCATGGGTGGGCGCTTGAGAAGAACGATCGTCGATGTGCTCATGCGGTTGTGACTCGGCTGCAGCGGCTTTATCGCAAGAGACGAGAGGGTTTGTTGGTGCAACTGGGCGCGCGGGTCCCACTGCAGGTATTTCTGGGTCAGCTCCCCGACGGATTTCTGGCTTGGAGGCTCCGTCACCGTCAGCATTTGCAGACTGTAGGTATACGCGAGCAGCCGCAGGGCTCCTTTCACTGACTTGCTGAACTCCATCTCCGACTGGGGAGTCCTGACCAGCTGTGGGCATTGGTCCTGGACTCTTCAGATTCTTCTCATCGTCCGAGAAAATGAAAGACGACGTATCGGAGACATTCTCCTCGGAGCTCGTGTTCGGGATATCCGAAGACCGAGGGTGTGGTTGTGTCGGAATCGGCAGATGTGGAAAGGCATCAGTGAGACGAGGGTGGCGGGATTGCACTGGGCTGTGCAGCTTAGGCCGAAATATTTCTATCAGACGACGTACGTCCTGTACGAGACTTGTCTGGTGGTTCGCCACTCTATAGACAACGCGGATCATTAACTCGACCATAGTCACACATTATGAACGCGTACTCCTTGATGTCTCGCTTCTCTAATTGAAGTAGACCCGGCAACGTGAATTTGTGCTGCTTGATGAAGCCGGAGAGCACTTCCGCATCTCTGAAACATTCGCGAGTTTCTAAGATATATGCACCGAGATCGGTCGGTGTCCAAGACGCTGAGGAGATCTGCCAACTGGGTCAGTGAGGTTGACCAAAGATACTGCTGCGCACTCACACTGCTCTTGCGTGAGCCTTGCGGATATGTAGTCAAGACGTTCGCCGTTCGGGTGGAAGGTCCCGCACCTATACAGTTATGTAGAACGTCAGTCAATCGCTCGAAAAGAAAAAATATATGGGACATGCAGTATCTACGCACCTAAGTTAGTGGCTATGCCGCGTCTCCCCGATCGAGCGGGCGGTCTCTCACGGGCACTCCGCGGATACGCCTGTGGCATCCTTCGACAGAGGGATTGAACCGGTGGGGGATAATTGGTACGCAAGATAAGATGAGGTTTTATGGATGAGCGTTGTGGGTCCACGCGTGAGACGTTCCCTGTGGCCTGACGCAAGACAAAGAGAGTTCGCACAGCCAGTTGCCTTTCCAAGTCAAAGTGAACACGAGGCAATGGAAGGACGCACTATCAGGCTCGTGTTCGCTGTCAGAAGGCCGTGCGGACCCTCTGGATCCATGATGGCAGGGTGTTTCTCGGCCCTTGTTACGCCGCCACTGTGCCACTCAGTCTCCGGTTATCGTCTCTGTCCGTTCTGGGCGATCCGTGATAGTCTGATTTTTGAGGTGACAACTCGGTGCATGCCATAGGTTGATGCAGATTTAGACGTGTGCAAGACTTTGTAAAGGTATTTCAGGTGCTATCGTCGTGCACGCTGCCGCCCTGGGAACCTGCGCATCCCAGTCCGAGGCCTAGAAAATGCGAAGAATTTGCCAGGTGATTTGAGAAGCGTGGCGTGCCAAAGAGCGTGCTCAGAAGTGAGTTTCATTTGCAAACTTTCTACCAAACGAAGTTGGAATCGTCAACGGTACCTACGCAGTGGTCTGCATGGCCGTGGAGTCGTTCGCGGAGTGGGCCGATGATATCTGCGTTGCGCCGGGCGTCCAGTCACAGCCATCCTTTTCAGCCACAACGACTCTTTCCTTCGTCAGAATGAAAACTTGACCGGTAGCAAGAATGGCGGGGAACGTGTAGTATACACGTCGAGAGTATAAATTTTGGTAGGCAGCATTGTCGCTTATGACATAAAACGTCACGATCTGAGAGACGTCGAACTACGCGAACTTATTTTCAGGCAAAATCTGCGATTTCTTTTGGATTTATAGATTTGACATGAACCGGAAGATCGCCTCGTCGTATTTAGGCTCATAGATACAGCCTCTAGTTACCCTGAGGAAGACAGTCGTTCCTTTGTAATAGAGGCTGAGATCATTATCGATGACCCGCTGAGAAGTCCCCCGTGGGAAACCGGACTTTGAATGATGCCGACGGCAATTCGACGCACGAATCTTCAACGCTCAAGTCGGGTGCAGCCACAGGCGCGAAGTGCAAAGAGCTCTCATGGCGCGATCGATCCACCTGCAGACGATGCCCATGGCGACGTCGCTGTATTTTCCAATGTACAGATGTGTTCTCAACCTATCCTTCAGTCTTTCCCAGATCCCCTAGCTTGCATTCTTGTCACGGAGTGATCAGTACATCAAAGCCACTCTGAAAAGGGTTCAGCTGCAGGTATGATAGACATAGAAAATAACATGGATTGCAGCTGCATAGCATACATGCATAAGTTCACGAACGAAGCGAGTAGACGCGACATTGGCATCCTTGCGATCTTGCTGCCACCGACTTGGACGCCTTTTGGGAATTATAGTTCAGTGCCGATGACGCAGCCGTTCCTTCCGGTGTCTGGCACGTAGCTCAAAAACTCCCACGGGGGACTTCTCAGTGGGCTCCCGGATAATGATCCTAGACTACGTCGTATTGACCTACACCATTATAGACATATGCCGTTCCCTCCTCGAACAACTCGGACTGTTGCTACGATCAAATTCATTTCACGACTAGCTGCCGTTTGCAGGGTGTGAGGGGCGACTGCTCCTCGGGCCCGTCCGGAGCACTCATGTTCACTATCCGACAATGCGACATCATCGTTCCACTGGCATGCAGTCTTGAGTATTGACCTTTTCTTTTCGGCCAATATTCACTTTGCAAACTGCATTTTGAACCATTCATATGTTTGCTGCTGGTCGGTGCGGGGTGTCTTCTGGGGCTAACACTTAACGCCACTCGTTCTGGAAGGGCTGACCTGATGCACATAGTCATAAATGGCGGTTGTTTCTATTGTTACCTCGTTTACCTCCTTCGACCCGCCATGTCGCTCATCGGTGTCGCGCTGACCAAGGTGTACCAATTTCTCCTCCACCTGTGGTCTCTCCTGACATGCCGCCACACTTCGTCTGTTGAACCCGATCTCGAACTTGGCATCGCTTCCCCTCATGCAAGAAATGATATACCCGCGGTCGTTCCAGAAGGTTGTGCCAACAACCTCACTCATATCACAGACGACTTACCAGCCGAACTGAATTCTTCCCGTGAGTTTTCCTCGTTCTTTCTCATTTTGTCTGTTTACCGCTGCGCGTAGCTGCAATCGAGAACATGCCTACAAATGCTGTCGCTATACCGTCACACTCCCCTGCTATTAATTTTGCAATACCGAAGTGCGTCTCTCTGGCCGACTTGACTACACCGCAATATTGGCACTTGTCTGCTCTCTCGTCTGTTGCTGCTATTGACCGAGCTTCCAGATTCCCAGCCCCAGCCCCGGCTACACCACGTTCTCCTAGCTTGCATCTTGACATCGCCGATTTGTCGACTATCTCTGCGGCCTCTTCCTCTCCCCCGAAAACGCCCACCTTCGCTGACACACTGGCTGCTTTCCCTGAACCACCTCCGTTCGCGACTTCTGATGATTTTGTCTTGAGCAGCCCCCGATTCATTATACGACACTTGGAAGTCCCCTCAACCCCCCCTTACAAAGACCTGTCTCACGTGCTACCAACCGGGCTGACGCATTCGTTCTCGAAGCTCCTCTCGTCGTCGCCCGGCACACCTGACAAGGCCTCCGCATTCGCCTCAAAGCTCGTCACTCTCATCAGGCCGTCGACCAATGTCAGCACTGACACCCTGCCCGAGCAGCGCCCCTTCGACATGGACGTCGACCCTTTCTGCATGTCCGGCGACTCGTTCTTCGGAGACTGCGGGCCCGTCGATCTCGCCGACATGGTCCTCCCGCACCCGAATCTCTACGACCTCTCCGTCTACGCCACCCCGTCACCCCGCGGGCTCTCGAAGGCGCGCTCACCGTCGTTCCGTCCCGCACGCACGACCTTCATTGCAGACATCTCGCAGACCTACGCTGGCAGGCTGACTGGCGACGACGCTGTGCTACCGCTTCCCCCGGCGCTTGAGCCTATGTGGGGCGCTCCAGACGTGGGAGGTAGCTCCTATCTTGCTCTGGGCACTCGGACTTTGCCCATTGGCGCCCCGCGCTATCGTTACTCAGTCGTATTCCCCCAGCTGGCCAGGGCATCTCTTAGCGACACCGCTCCTCATCATACGCCGTCGACGTTGCTGCCTGCCTTTGAATCTGTGACGCACGCAATTACCTCTCCTGTTCCGGAAGTACTGACTGTGTCTTCGATGGCCACTCCGGAAACATCTTCTCAAGCGATTGAGGAAGAGCCTCCCAGCAGTAGTCCCTTGCAGGAAGCACATTCCAAGGAGAAGGAGGAAGAAACCGTAGCGACCGTTGCCGATGACGCCGTACACGATGCATCAGAAGCTGCGGAGAACAGGCGGTCACGACAGTTAGATGACATCGTCTCGCTCCTCGACCAGCTGGGGGTCATCGGCGGGGACGCGCAGCCCGCAGACAGGGAACACGACGCGGCGAACGTCACGCTCAGCGACAGCACCGTGCTGCCCGTGCTGGAGCGCTCCGCCAGCTCCTCTGAGTCGACGTTTTCACTGCCTGCTGGATCGCTGGAAGACGGGTTTGAGGAGTGGGAGGGTGAGGACTTTGATGAGTTCGTCGAGCCGCGGGAACACCGCATGTCGCGGTCCATCGAGAACCTCATCTCGCTCTTGGAGGAGTGCAGGGATTCGGTGCCTGTGACAGAGAGCCATGCGTCGGCAGAGGATTCCGAGAATGACCACGCGGACGCACACGCCCTATAACCGTCCCCCCGGACCAACGACGACAGCATATTAACCCCGGCGTTACCCTGCACGACACTCGACTTGACGCTAACGACACTTCCTCGACGCGCCGACATCTTCACCTGTCCGGGTTGTCACCCGGACATCATACTGAAGCTGTTGGGTCTCACATTACTTGCATGTATTGATTTCTCTTGCCCGCTGCTTAACCTTGGTCATGGAGGGAATATGTATCGTATCACCTGCTTCTTTCGGTTATTAGTTGATTAGTGTATTGCATATACTTCACATCTAAATCTCTATCCTCGCACGTTCTTGATGAAGTCGGTGACGAGCTCCTTAAATTCGTTTGGCCTATAGTCATGGTCAGTATGGATGCATGGTGCGTACGACGTCTTACTTCTCTGCGTGAACTATGGAGAGCGGTGAGTGGTGAAGGCCGAGAAGATATATGTCAACGCACCCCAATGACCAGCATCTAGCGTCTTGAGCACCATGCGAGGGAAGAACTCCTTCGCAAGGGGAATGTTGTTCTTGTTGATGTATCTGTTCGTCAACAGTGAGAACGCTGACGAGGGGGGTGGATAATTTGCAGACTAACTTGCTCTGGTTCCCTTTGACGAATAATGTGGGACCATTCCATTGTCTCTCGCCTGGCTCATACGGGAAGGAGCCAAGTTCCGATATATTTGGGCCGATGATGTCGAGAGGTATCCGGAACTTCATCACTCCGTGCGACTCAATCAAGTTCGTCAACAGGAAAGCCCGTATCATTGGGTCCTGTGCACACATCAGCATCGGACTTTTGAGAAATACTCACAAGTAAGGACCTGCTCATAATCCGAGAGGATGTCTTGCGCCTCTCTACGAGAGGTCACTTTGCGCTCTTCGATGATCTGCATGGCTTTGACATAATTTCTGAACGTCGGGGAGAGGTCTCCTTTCGAAGGCGCGATGTCGGCGACGATCAGTTGCTCAAGTAGGTCTGGGGGAGTATTAGAACCGAGTGCAACTGTCATAGCTACTTTTCCTCCCCTGAACGTGTCAGATCTCCACCATCCGACGACACATGCAGAAAAACACACCTACATTGAATGGCCAAGAAGGGATACCCGAGAGAGCGAGTGTTCTTTGCAGAATTGCACCACGTCCTCCGCCATATGTGCATAAGTCATGGGTGCAGCATGTGGGGACGATCCATGGTTTCGTAGATCCTTTAGCAAGATTAAACACATCCGTTACGCGGTACTTAATGCTACGGACCACTTACTAATGAATAGATAGATCTGTGCAAGTCTTTCATAAACGCTTTAGACAAAGACAGCCAGTTCCGCTTCGTGCCGCTGACCGAACTCTCCAGTCAGCGCTCTATCCAGCGCTAGTAATCTTGCACGTACAACAGACCATGGAGAATCACCAATGGGCAGCCACTCTCCATCCCATCTTCTGGGGCAAGCTTGTCATAACGGAGGTGAACCGGTTGACCTGCCTGCCGGCTGAGAAAGGCCCTCTGCAACGCTCGACTCCTGCAAATATTCGCCGTGCGGGGCCCAAATGACAGTAGCAGTGCGCTCATGTATTTCTGAGCCTGAAGCGTCGCTAACCTCTTGAGTTGGCTGAGGAGAAGACGATGGAGACTGAACATCGCGTTTCGGGCAAGCGGGCCGCGCGCTCACCAATGCATGCACGTGAGCAGGCGCGAACCTGCCCTAAACTCGCGACCTGAAAAGCTGAAATTTGCACCTAGCCCGTGGTCGACATTTGACGGTATTTGTTGTCGAGGTTCATCGAGGACAAATGTGAGTCGCACGCATTCGTCTGCCTTTCGTCGACGCGATGAAGTTATACGTTTACCTCGAGCGTCCTCGCCAATTACCAAGGCATGGATGCGATGTGCAGAGATTTTTGTCATAGTTACACTGATCGGTTTTAGCGTGTTCTCCTTTCACAAACTGATTTCTCCTCGTGCAGAGCCTCCTCTGGGCGTACATGGCGGCGGAAGAGTGATAATGAAGTTGGTGGTTACTGGACTGGTGAGTTTTGTTCGCTTGATCCTCGCGTTGTGTTGTCTGGTTCGGCCAGAATGATGAGTCAAAGTCATTCAAACTAGAGTATCTGAGAGTCGATGCAATCGGCTCGATGCTTTTACCTTGCATCTGTCAATCCACTGATACTGTTGTCCGGACTCTTTTATTGCGGTCGCCTCGACGTGATTGCTGATTTGTGTGTATTGTTAGATCATTTCGCAGGCTTTGCTCTAGTTTGATTGGACTGCTAGGTGAGTTTGCAGGACCCTTTTTGTTCGCGGTGATGTTACAAATGGAGTTTCCGCCTGATCTCGTGTATACGTACGCTTGAGTTGACGACAATTCCAAGGCTGTTTTTTTAAAACCTGAGTCTCATACTGTGCACGCTCCTGAACTTCAGCTAATTTCTTCCTGTTAGATTATCTCTCGTACGTCTCTTTCGGCCTTGAGCGAGATGACACATGAATCTGGCGACGTGAGTGTCCTTACCTTTGTTGTTTCCTATCTCGCGTGATGTTTTTTACACGACGGTCTTCGTATTATAACTGCCGAAAGTGCCCGCCACAGCTCAATTAAATTCGGGCAACCCCTTCTGATCTTCAACGTTTGTTCAGTATTGGTCGTCATCAACTCATGGACTGACTCCTCTAATCCACAGAACTCCGAAGTTGTAGACGTGGTCTAAAGTGTTGCCATGGTGAGTACCTTCGTTCTTCGTTGTTGTTGTTACCTCTTTCACATGTCGCGATGAGATCCAGTAAAAATTTAATCAACTAGAAGCTGTTTCTGAGCTTCGGCATTGATTGCACTAAAACTTTCTGAACCCTCCATTCTACATTTTGCGCAGTGTTGATTTACTGACGATATGTTACTTCCAGATCTCAATGATTTGTGTCGGTGAGTTCTCTCTACGTACTCGTTCGCTGCGCTCGATGGATGTTGCAACTTCCATTCGGGCTCCCTGTAGTAGTACCTTATATTAATGCAACGTTATCCTGGATCTATGTCTGTGGAAACAGCTTCTGCAAACTTTTTGTCTGTCGGATTTATAGGCGGGCGAACCCTGATCGATGTGCGTGAAGTAGGAGACAGACGTATTTGCTATAGACAACCTCGCACACGGTACACCTATGACAATACGTGAACATACTGTCGAGTACTTCTTCATCCCTACGCCTGTCCAAAGTAAAGGTAAACGTCCTCGTACATCCTAACGGTGTTGATACGGACTGTGCTCACTGCGCACACAACAGCATTCACCGTAGCGCGGAGGGAATCATACGGGACTGCCAATATCTCGCTGCCTGGATCCCCCGGCGGACGCAACATTTTCACTAACGTCGGCGTGGACACGCAATTCCCTTCTTTCTTGCGGCGAGTCGTTGCCGTTGGCCCTAGACACCGAGCGCTGCATGAGCGTCTTCGCATTCTCGAGCGGATCTTGCGGGGATTCATGCGGGTCGACGACGTCCTGATTCGGGTTGAGCTTCCAGTAGCGGTAGCTGCGCGGAGGAGAGGTGAGCACAATCACGACAGATAGATAGGATGGGATACGTACTGCTTGAGGGTTATGTAGAAGGAGGCGCCGAGGAGCGAGCCCAAAAAAGGGCCAACCCAGTACTAAGAACGCGGTCAGAAGCAGGCATTGAACGCGGGGCTAGGTAAAGACCTACCACCCAGTGCTTACTGTACGGGAAGCCAGTCACTACGGCGGGGCCAAATGACCGTGCTGTGTTCATGCCGGCGCCAGTGTAATAGACTGCCCACCTGGCGATGACGTCAATGAGAGAAGGCCAATACTTGCTTCGCGTACATCATACTCACAAATGACAAGCGAATAGCGTCAGGCCGATGCCCACCTGTTGGCCACGCATCAGGCACGATATCAGCGACCGGAAACACTACTAGTAGTACTCACAGGAGCGAAGGGCGTTGCGTTGTGCTTCTCGGCGGCGAGCATGAGCACGGCGATAACAAGGAAGGACGTGATAAACATCTCGATGAATACGCCTTGAGCGACGTTGATACCCTCTTGTAGGAACGTGCTATAAACACAATTATGAGACTGGCAGCACACGGCGTGGAGAGATCATGACGAACTTCGAGGCGAGAGGTCCTGGTGTGAGAGCGAGAACGAGCGCAGCAGCGGTGATGCCGCCGATAAGTTGCGCGATACAGTACAGCACGAAGCGTACGGGTCCAATGATACCCGTCAAAAGCAAGGCCAAGCTAACGTTCGGGTTGAAGAGGCCGCCAGTGACTCGGAAGAAGAGCCATGCAGAGACTAGTAAACTGAAGCCCATGGACAACGCGATATACATGACATGGTCAATGTTGGACGGGTTTTGGCTCGAGAAGGTCTCCCCCTGCGCCGCCTGGATCCCACCAAACGCGAGGAGGAGAAAGACAGTCGTTCCGATGTACTCAAGCAAGGCTGCCAGGAGATCATCCCGGATGGTTGCAAACAGTGATTCTTTCGACATGTTGTCGGATTTCCTAACGCGCCTGCGGAAGAGTGGGAGAGTGGGTGCCATGGTAGTACCGCCGGGAATGGATTTAACGGAAATGGCGGACTTCTGAGTGTGTACGTAGGACATGTCACTGTGGTGCGGCTGACCCTAAGGCGATGTCGGAAGCGCCGTCGATCAAGCTCACGCATAGTCGAGAGTGGGACTAGTAGTAGGCTTGACGAGGGCATTGCGGAGAGATGAAACAGCATTGAGGTCCTGCATCGGCAGCGATTGTCGCAGCTGTAGCGATTGTCGCAACTACAGCGAATATTCATCCGCTCTCTTCAATCCCAGGCACCACTGGCGCGCCCCCTTTTCACTGCACTGCGTCTGTCTTTATCCGCTCTGCGTCGAGCCTTTTCCGCTCGCTCGAATCCCCGGACGCGCGCTTTCTGCTCTTCCGATGCCTCATTGACAAGCGAGGCTGAGGACGCGGACATGATAAGCGCATGGAGCTGTGGACGATCGGACGACCCGCCCCCGTTCAGATAAACGTCAGAACGCTCGGTCTCAGTCTGAATCACCAACCTTTGACAGGCAGTCTTCGATATTTTGGGCCTGAGATCGGTAAACAGTGGATGTGATCTGAATAGATTGCGTCGACGAGACGTAGGACGACTGGTACCAACGTCAGCGCCAACATTGGAGACGTAGAACGCGCACGACTACATTTTTCTTCAAGTAAGCTCTCGCCCACAATGGTATCCATTTTGAATCCAAGGCACATCTTAGCGTAGCTTTAGTGTTCACTTTGTTTACGTTCTAGTGAGGATACTGTCGATGGTTAGGTCACAGAGAATAGTGTAGATGAATGCATACCTGTCCTCCCGGCCCCGAACTTCTGGAGAAGGCAAGCTCAACCAGACTTCTTGGTATCTCCTTAACCTTGAATTGGGCTATCCACGCGCGTGCTTGTGCACTGTCTGCGGAAGTGTTGAGTGCTTCCAACGGCGGGGGAATGGGAAGAGCTGCGTTTCCGGAGTGTGCTGCTCGCACGGAGACAAGTGACAGCGAGCATACAGGAATGCGGTTACAAAGGCGAATCATGGGTATTAACAAAAACTTGAGAAACTGTTATGGCGTGTGATTCGTCACGTCACAGCCGCGAGTCTTGTCACAAGATGTGTGTCACAGGCGCTTCAACCTTGTCGCTGATCATCGATCGGGACTCATCGCGAGGTATGTCAAAGGTAATATTCCTAGTCCTGCCAACCAAGGGTGGTGACACCCCTGTGCACCAAGTATTTACCAGTTACCTGCCCATCAGTTGCTCGAAGTGTTCTAGAGTAAAAATATGCACTGATACACTTGTTCTGTAGGTTTGAATCACATCGACTCGTATCCAAATAGCTCGATTCCATTCTGTCTAGCGATTTATTCGTTATCATCCACTGTTGTCGACGATATGGACGATGGCAGCATTCCACCAGCTGCCTCAAAAATATCCACAGGACCAGATGTGGATCGACATACCTTGCGTTCACCGCATAATTCTTCCGCCGCCGTCAGTCGCATACCCTGCGAACTGCTTATTGATATCATTCGTTCTACTCAAAATCTCGGACTTGGAGACACAGAATGGCTCAATCTGGTCTCCGTCTGTCGCTTTTGGTATAATGTTGCCGTCGCCGCACCCATTCTGTGGACCGACATCAATATGATACACAGAGAATCTTTCTTGCGGCTGTGTTTGGAGCGGTCTGGAGTTGCATGCTTAGACGTCCGTGTACAAGGAATTCGTCCGGCACCCAGAGTTTACGAGAAGCTGTTGATCGTGCAAGAACAGGCACATCGTATCCGGAGCCTGAGTATGGAGTACCTCGAAGATTTGGACATGCGATGCGTCCTTGCGATGCTTTGTCGCTCAATGCCTGAGCTGAAAATGCTTGCGCTGCGTCCTTCTGGGCAGGCATACTCAGTTCCTGCTTGCTCGCAGACGAACTTTCCCCTGCTACGATTTGTGTCGTTGGCACGGATTGCCATTCACTCCTTTACCTCTAGCCTCACAGACCTCGTCAGCCTGAAGTTGTTTTATCCTCCCGGTTGCGGAATACAGATGCCACCAATGGACACTGTACTCGACATATTAGATGCTTGTCCTGCATTGTCGGTGTTGACACTCGATAATTCTGAGCTCAGGGAGGATGCCATCATATATCATCCATCCAGCCGCCGAGTTTCTCTGCCAAAACTTCTTACACTGTTGCTCTCCGGTATTCCTATGGACGTTGCAGTCCTCCTTGGCCATTTGATCTTTCCTCCGGAAGCATCGGTCATTCTTCAACTACCGTTTGGAGCCACAGAAGATGACGCAGATGATTTGACTCCAGCGCGTATGATCCCACCGTCTCGTGATAGGAGAACGATCACAAATGTGATCCTAGACGTCGTTGACGTTACCCTTATCTTCACCTACGATTGTTATGAACTATATGCCCTTTCCCCAACGGGCCCAAAGCTTACGATGGACCTCTCAAGCCATGCTATATCCTACTCATCAGGTACCCGTGTCCTATCAGACATCGCAGAACTCTTCTCTTCGTCGCCTGTCACTCGGTTAAGAGTGGCAGGTGATTTTGGCTCTATACCGGTTAATCAATGGCGACAATACCTGTGTTGTTTCCCCCTCCTCGAGCGGCTTGATGTGTCCGACCTCGGTGAGAGCTCAAGCCTCTTCAGAGCTCTAGGGTCCTCGGTCAGTGATGACGAGGATCGATATCTCTGTCCGCGTCTCCAGGAGTTCATCGTGGACCTGTGCTGCCCATTCCAGGTGTATGTGGACGATATAGTTGTGTGCCTAGAATATCGAGCATCACGAGGAGTACGGTTGAAGAGGTTCGGTCTGCGATGGAATGATGAAGACTACAGGCATTGTCTGACACCTATCACCTTGGAGACGATGAATAGCGCTGTTGATCGCCTTGAGTATGCTAGATTCGTGTTCAACGGGTTCTTTTCTTATCGAAGATCAGAACTGCGGTGCGCGAGTCTCCAAATTCTGGCGTTAATGAATGCAACTGAGGCATTGAAATTGTAGGCTTTACGAACCGTGAAGTTGTTCGCATTTCTTTCCCTAAACGTCACTAGGTATTCATCAAATTGTCGAATCTACATTGTTTCGCTATGGATTTGTATACAGTACCATCTGTTTCGACTGTGTCTACTGCCGGCATACCTACATGTTTGCTACTGTAGGATTTGTGACTTCTACTTAATGTGGAGTTCCGAGGAATCTGTCGTAGGATGGGAACCACGGATTCGAGCTGCATTTACATACTGCTTTTTTGCTTGCTATAGACGATTGTACACGGACTGTTGTAGGCCTTTATAAGCTTTGTTAGCGTAAGACGGTAGGCGATTGAAGAGCGCGCCATCAACGTGGTGAGTCACAACGGCACACCACAAGGACTAACGAGAGTTGTTAGTCCGCCGAATCCTCATGAGGTAGGCGGCCTCGACTGAGTTATTCAATCCTTGCAGTATACATGTGATATATTGAATCGAGCTGTGGGTTACTTCCGAAAGGCTGAGGTAGATTGTGGCCAGGCTGGACTTTCCGCAATGAGCGTTTGAACTTGAACAGTTGCCATAACAAGCCGTCACGGTCACACGCCAGACCGTGATCTTTGCATTGGCCGCTTCCTCACTCATTGAACTGGCTTTCTACTCGACAGTGAGGACTGCCGATTGACATGTTACCACGTAGATCCTCGTAGGGGACACGCAGCCCACTTTACTTGTGAGGATGGTCTTCACTTACGCGCCCGATTTCATAGTGAGTCTCTTCCGATGCAGCCAGCCTGAGGTACCGTGCCTCTGTTTGCTTACAGTGTGAAAAATGTAGGTAAAGAGTATACGCAAACGCTCTAGACAAGCCGTGGATCCATGTCTTGGATTCTACCCACTCATCACCTCACCTTCGGTGGTATACTCTCCAGTGTCACACTCCGTCATGGCAGAGACTGCCCTTCAGAGCCAATCTGTGTCAGATTCCCACGGTTCTTTACCTCTTGTTCAGCCGCCCGATGCTGCCTATTCTCCGACGCCCAAGGTTGACCGTCTCGTGCAGGAGATTTCTCAAGCAGAGGTCAAAACAATGGTCACTGTGGAAGACTTCCTACGCTGGTCTTCAGAACCTGTTCTCAAGCGCTATGGAAACAGGAAAAGAAAGTTCGCGGACGTTCGAGGGTATTCTGAAGATGAATCAGACAAAAACGGTTCAGATTATAGACCTTCAGATTCAGAGTCAACTGAGCTGCAATCGACTCGTCATGTCAGGCGGCGTTTGTCGAGGAGGGTGCGAGTGGGCACGTCGAAGAACGCAGATGTGGTGAAAAGCCTCAAGAAACACCGTCAGCGGCTCTCTGAGAAGTCGTTGGCTGATCGTCTACTCACAGCTGCCGTTCTTTCTCATGTCGAGATTGGCCCTGCTCATGCTGACGACGAACAGAGCACGCATATACGCGGCCGTCCTCCACTCAAATTCATTCGCGTAGACCGTGTCTCTTCTCCCGCTTCGATCGCTAACGCTCGGCGAGGAAATGTCGTAGATCCCCGCAGGGTCGCCCCGTTCCACGATGTTGCCTTCTCCTTCGCAGGCACAAGTTCTCCTCAGTTCCGAGACTCGGTCCGCAAACCGATCACAAAATGGCGACCCACTGCATCCATGACGCCCACTGGATACGCTATGAGTTCCCGCCGTGGCAAGGGTGCAACAGGAGGATCCTCCTACCAACTCGGGCGCTATGACGTCATTCCTCTAGTTTTTGTTCCGCTTCCCGAACACGAAGCTGGGTTTAACGTGACATTCTCCGAGTAACTCTGTTCTTCGTCTGATTAAGGAGTTGTTGATGTGATTCTTCACAGGTGGCGTGCTCATCCAGACTGCGCAAATAACAGATGTCGGAACACCCAGCTTTCAGGGAATGCTGAGTATCCTCCGTTACCCTTCGTACCGCCTGTGCAGGTTGTGCCGAACGAGCATCCTCAGTACTCTCGAGGTCTTGAGGATAGCCCACAACTGCCGCTGCAGAAACAAGTTGCTTTCTCATCCCCTGCTTTCTCTAGTCCCTTTCGTCACAGTCGGTCTACGGAGCCATTCTCTTCGGCCGACGACCCTGTTCTCTCAGATGAAGATGTTCGAAGTGCTGCGCCTAGTGAAGCATCGCTTTCGGCTTTGAGGAACAAGCACAGTACTCACGCAGCCACTTCTCCTTCTGTATCCTCTGCTACTGCCACCCCTCTTGTTCTTGCGAACTGTTTGCAGTCCGCTTATCCTACAACTCAACTCTCGCCCATCGCTTTTGCTGCTGCTAGCTCGCCTCTCGATGATTTACCAACTCGAAGTCCTACCTTGAGAGCATCACATGCTGCAGACACTCGAGGCTCTTTCCGAATGCCTCTATCTGCTACGCGCAGCAATCTTTTGGAAGCCAAGCAAATTCCATCAACTGTCACAGTACCCAAGAATCTGAAACCTCTCAAGCCGCTCTTCTCCTTTTTTGATGACTTCTTGAAGACTGCCCGCGCTGTCACAGCTGCAGCCAATGCCCAATGCAATGACGCGTCAGTTACTGGTTCTGCTCCCTCCTCCCGTCTTCCTGCATCCGCCAAGCGGCTCCCCTCAGATAGAGGACCTATGATGGTGCGGCTTCATCGGGACTCTGCCGCCCAAGCGCGCCTGAAGCTCGATGTGCTCACGGGTGAGGTGCGGCGCACGCCACGTTTGAGTGGAAGAGTCCGCAAACGTCCGTCTGCATCTGTGTTGCGGCGACCACCCACCCCAAATCTGGACGTGGTCGACCTATCATCTTCGTCTTCGATAGTTGTTTCTGTGGACACACGATCATCACTTGGTGTGTAATTGATACTTGTTTGATCGTTCGAACTTCGACATAACTTGTCAGCCTCGAGGCCATCTATGTCCCCTACTCTCAACCGGAACTCCGCTCGTCTAGCGTCCGTTAATATCGCCACTCCCCAGGGCAACTCATCCGCGTCCTCGGCTTCCTTCGACATCCTTGCTGCACTCCGACGCACAACAACACATGTCCTACTACCTCCGACGCCATGCAGCGCCGTGGCTCGTGCGCCGATGCCATATGCCCTAGCAGACGAGGAGACATGCGGGGAAGATGAGTCGGTTGGATTGGGTCCAACGGTCGATTTTTTTGGTGGTTTGCGGACGCGTTCGGTTACACCTGAAGATATGCCGTAGAAGTAGATACTTGACCACTAGTTACCATAATAAATCACTGCACAAAGTCCACAATGTTCATCTTGGTATGAGACTAGGGGTCATCTACACCCGCCGTACCGAAAGTCACCAGACGTTCTAGCAAGGAGGCTGCTTTGGGTTTGTCGATCTCCGACATATTGGTTTTCGGCAGCCTCCGTGCGGTGAACGTCTGGAATCGAGACTCGAAAATGGATTTGTTCGGCACATCCTAGTAGTACGAAACGCGGCTGCGGCGGCGTGACGCGGGGAGCCCTCAGACGTCAGAGCGAGGGCGGTGGTGGGGTGCGGTACGAGACCAAAGCCACAGCGGTTCTGCACATGCAATATATAGCATGTAAAGACTCACACATTCGGGTCTGCCGTGTCAAAGTCACCCAGAATGGCACGCATACAGGCAACAGATGAGCGCCCGCGTTGGCCAGTTCACAATTACCTGTGACCCGTGACAAGCGCCCAAATAGGTTCAGTTCACAAGGTTAAGGGCTGTGACCCATGACTGAACCTAAGGTCGTCTCACTACAGTATATCGACAATTTACGGGACCAGCAGACAACGATGCATGGGCGTAGCAGCCACCACTGGTTCGTCAACCTTTCGAAGTTGTCACAGACCATGACACCGCTTGTCCTGACGCACTGTCACACCGTGTCTGTGCGAGGAATGGCCTAACTGTACACAATTCTAACTACTCCATGTTCGTACGTCAACAGGGCATTCAGCACGATTAACATTCTAGATATTTGTCCCCCAGAAAGAGCAGTCTGTCTGTCACTGAATGAACGTTAAAAGTGGTCAATTAAACAGATGTACGCATCCTCACTTTGGGCGTGTGCTGACCACAACGTGCACAGCGAAAATTCGGATAGGTGAGCACCAGGTGCCGACCGTCTCGCGTTGCTGATATCTCATCGAACTTTGCAGCGATGGTTGATCGCATTTCTCTTCATGAGCTACAGTCTCCTTGAAGGCTTCACCAGAAGACTCACCTTGGTTCCTTCAGGTAACTGAATGGCGTGGCTATATTTATTTTCCTCTCGTTCGCGCACGAGTGTCTCGCCATCCCTTGTCTCAGCAATCTTCACTACCTGCCAGCTGACGACAATATTATTTGCGCGAAAACTGACGTGCATATCTTGCTTCTTGATACCGGGTATGTCGAAAGTTGCAATCACCTGTCACAAGAAGTTGGAAGGTTCTAGAGGACACAGAGCTACAATGATGTCCATACTGATCGGCGATCGGACGACTCTTTGAAGCTCACGCTGGTGGAGCAGCCCGCGTCATGGTCCATCTATGCATGAACCGCAACAAGACTCACCTTGATCTGCGCTTTACCATTTTCTTCGTAGACGGCTGCAGCGTGTTGGGCGACACCAGCTCGAGCGACTTCACTTTCGACAACGAGGAGGCTAGCTTCCGCTCTTTCGACTGCCGCACTTCCTTCCACAGCGGATCCAGCGATACATCTTGGAGCGTCAACCCGCGTGTGTCTAATGGCGAGGCGAGCGGCGTCGTTGGCTCGGGTGCCGCTGGACGTCTCGGTGTGAGTGGTGACAACGATGTCGACGGCGTTACGGTCGGAGTCTTTGGTGGCGCGAATGCCCTGTTCAGGAGCTTATCGATGCCGCCCGACGGGCGGAGCGTCTTGTCACTTGATGTGTACATTCTTGCAGCGGAAAAGCTGGGATCAGGAGAAAGGTATTCGTCGAGATCTAAGGCTGGCTGCCACTGTCTTTATGACTCGGAGAAGGTTAGCAACCGGTGCCTGCTGCCCCGCGCGAGGCGTTAGCTGCAACGTAGGCCCTACTGGACGACGTGGTGATGGACCAGCGAGCTGCAACGGTCGTGTAATCTTATCCAAGACCACGTTTCCCTCCATGGGGGGGGGGATTCGTTTTCTTTGAGGCCTTGTGACTAGCTATAGCAACTTAACAGCTTGAGAATGCTCATCTCACGACTGTCCCCTGATAGACAAGTGCAGATGAATTAATGCAAGTTTGCACTCGGAGCTTGGAGCCACATTCAGCGACAGAAGCTCGCCTCGACGTTTTCATGAGGCATGCACGTGAGCCCCCAGCCAACCACAGTCAGTTCGCGCATAGATAGGACTGCAGACATGAAGCACGATACGTTATGTACGACACAATTGGAAATCCAGAGACAAAAAGACCACGGAAGGAGGGGCGAGGTGCACGACTGGCTCACGCACCGGGTACCTTGAACTTCTTATTCTGATACCCAGTTGTACTCCGTCCCATGCCGAGACGCCGCTTTGTCCCTGCCACTGCCGGCTTCGCCTCAGCACTGGCGCTCTCGAGATTAGGGTCGCCTTGTGAATCGGAAGCAATCGATGAACAGGACGGAGGATCCGACATTGTGCTCCCCTTTGTACGAACTCGCTCTGGTGTAGAACTCGACGAAGTCGATGAAAGTGGCGAAGGGAGCAATGGAAGTACCCATTCGCTGGGAGTTTTAGTCGGACCTCGTCCCATTGCAGGTCCCGACGAGTCCGACGAAAGTGGTGCCAGACGAGACGAAGGGACCGGGGCGTTAGTAGTCTTCGTGGAAGCTGATTGCGGGATAAGGGAGACATCAGCACGGCTAGCAGAAGACGACGCAGACGGCATGACGAGACTGATGTTCTGCGAGCGGGTGATCTCTGCGACTCCGGGGAAGGGGTTGATCTGCATCGATACTTGAGCAGCAGGCCATGCATTGATGTTTGCTGCGCGGTTACGTGAGGGAGACAGCGGCCGTGGGTGCGGCTGATCGTACACGGGCGGTCGCTTCGGATATACTGCAGGCGTAGAACTAGTTGAAAAATGATATGTAGACGGTCCCGCAAACGGCCCAGGATTGGGGTAAGGGGCGTAACCCTGAGACCGCGTGGATGAAAATGCACCAGAACCTGTAGGCAACATCGTAGACATGATACGCTGGCAACTGACGTACGCAACTATGCAACATACCTTGGAATGGGACCTGCGTTGGGTAAGGGACCACCTGCGCAGGACGAGACGCAGGGGCCCCAATCTGGTGCACATAAACATTCTGGTTGGATTCGCCCCTGTTGCTCGACAACAGATCATTCCCGCCGAGCCGGTTGCTGTGTGCAGGGGTCACTCATCTGGCAAGCAGAAACGGAGACAGCACCCACTATTCTGCTATTGAGCACGCAACCTCAGCCGGCTGGGGCAGTGCGCGTCGCAGTACCGCAGCCAGGAGGGCTCTGTCGTCCTCGTCCATGCCAGGAATTTTGTCAGTGAATAGCACCTGTGAGCCACAGATCAATGCGGCTCTTTGCGCAATGGAAGAAGCTTACGGGGTTATTTCTGCGCACGACCGCAATGAACTCGGAGAGCGCCTTTTTCATGGACATGCCCGCAACCATACGGGAGGCGGTGTGAGAGAGGTAAAGAAGGCCCTGAGCCCGTGTGCACGCCACGTAGAGCAACCGCCTGAACGACACTGTTAGGGTACAGGTCGGAGAAACGGACAGGAAACTCGCCTTTCTTCCTCAATATCGTCAGCACGCTGCGAAGGAAAGGTTCCCTTCTCGACTGAGCCTCCGCGTTATGTCTACACCCATAGATAATACTCTTCAAAACATACCTGCGGGTATCATCACTACCGGCCATTCAAGCCCTTTCGCAGCATGGCACGTAGAGATCGTCACTTTCTGCAGTGCTCGTCAGCGAACTAGTGGAGGGACTGCAACAGGCTAGATCATACCTCCTTAGCATCCCTGTCGCTGTCCGTATCCGTGTCTGTCGAGAGCATAGACGCCTGAAGGAATAGGCGCAACGGGGTATCTCTGCCCGTCGAATACGTGACTCGTGATTAGAACTCCGTTCTACCCAATAAGGTCTGACAGGGACGTACTCCACACTGACAACTTCTGTCTCATCAGTCTTAGCCTTACTTTTCACGTCCGGCAGTGCTTCGGGATTTGAGCTGCTTCCCCCGGTCGGTAGAAGCGATCCACACTCAACTTCACTTGCAAATGTGATGAGCTCCTGAACATTGTCCCAGCGACTCTCCCAGTCTGGCTGCGTCTTCTTCAGATGATCCTCATAGTTCACCTGTTCGAGCAACTGGCGAATGAGGTTCGACGGTGCCATGCACTGCAAGTCCCATAAATTCCCATATAACTCGCAGGTCAAACACATGGACATACCTCGTTCGCCAGAGTACGCAACCTGCGTATAGGCGCGATAAACGGTCCGAGCTTGCGCTTCACGGATGGCTTAATGTCCGGTGTCTTGCCATCGTGAATGCGTTCTGCGAGCTCGAGTGGCGAAATGTTCATCCGCTCTGCCGTCGACAGCAACTCGGCGACCGTCTGTGTTCCTGGGCTCAGCGTAGAACTCAAATTCAACTCAGGCCACACACCTTCTCGCCGATACTCCTGCCGGGGACATTGATCACGCGCGTGAATGCGGGCACGAAGCGTGGGTTGTCGATGAGCTGTAAGTACGCTAGGATGTCTTTGACCTGCGATGGCGTCATTTCACGGCAGCACGCTGCGACAGAAGGCTCACCTCCAGCCGCTCAAAGAATTTGTGTCCCGCAAGCACTCGGCTTGGGATACCCTCCAGTCGGAGTGCGCTCTCGATCCCACGAGAGAGCGCATTGAAGCGGACTGCGGACGCCGGTCAGCCGAGTATATGTGGGTAAGGAAACACACTCACGAAGCACCACGAAGTCGCCCCATCCGAGCATCCCGCCTGAATACGCGACAAGCCGCTTGACCTCCGCCGCGATCATCGCTGCCTCAACCTTCTCTGACGAGAATTCGCGCAGCACCGGGCACGGCCCCTGAGGATGCGTCGTGTGCAGCAACTTTGGCACACGCATTTTGTCTACGCGCGGCTGTCAACGAAGGAAGAGAGGTGGATATGTATGACACACCTTCAGCCACGATCGCGATGCTCGCTGCAAGGATAGACGCCGTCGACCGGTAGTTCTGCTCGAGGAGGATTTGTTGCGTCGACGGGAAGTCTTGGAAGGAGTGCGCGTGAGCTACACACAGGGAAACACGGTTTGCATACCTCTCTGCATCTTCCCGAGGTTCGCAATTTCGGCCGAGCGCCATCCATAGACTTGACACTTGGTGTTCATTAGCGTGCACATACGGTGAGAGGCGCGACGTACTTGACTGGTCAGGGTCCCCAACGATCGTGACACACCGGCTTGCAGTCGCGATATACCGCATGAGGTCATATTGCATTATGTTCGTGTCCTGGCTGATTGGCAAGTGAAATGCGCGTCGCCGCAAAATGAGATAAGACTTACAACTCGTCGACAAGCACGTGTCGGCACCACCGAACTACGGACGCATGCTCTCCAAACAACTTAACACCGAAAACTAGGAGGTCATCGAAATCGAGACTGTTGTTCTTCCGCAGGGTCTTCTCGTACTCTTCGTAGACGGCGATGACGGTTCCGTCGATGGTGTGCGATACGCAGTCCGCTTCACAGGGCTTTGAGCCGTGCATCCGGTGCTTGCTGTCGACAAGCTGGGCAAGGAGGGCTTCTGGGGTGTGGCCCTTCGCTTTCGCCTTAGAAATGTGTGATAGCACAGTGCCTTCTTTGAGCGTGATATTTCTCTCCGCAAGGAACTCACTGTACGGCTTCAGCAGTTTCGTGACTATCTTCTTGCTGTGACACGTTACGCACAGCGCAAGCAAGCGAGTATCGCGGCGTACCTCTCGTCCGCATCGCATACGGTGAAGTTCCCCTCTAGTCCGACCAGCCCGGCATGTCTCCGCAGGAACATCGCGCAAAGGGCGTGAAATGTGCCCATTCGTATGTCTGCAGTGCGATCGTTTCCAAGAAGTTTCTTCAAACGCTCGCGCATCTCGTTCGCGGCCTTGTTCGTGAACGTGACGGCGCAGATCGAGGATGGATGGAGGTTGTGGTGAGCGATGAGATGGGCTATGCGCGAAGTGAGGACCTTTGTCTTCCCACTTCCTGGCCCTGCAAGGATTTGGAGAGGGATGTTTGGAGGATGCTGCACCGCTGCGAGTAGGACATGTATAAGCGCCTTGGACTGATGTAAGAACATTCCAACCTCGAAGTTGGGCAGGATTGAGAGCTTGAAGATAAGCCATACGCTTCTTGTAGGTATCTACGAGTGTAACTACAGGATGATCACAGAAAAAACCTCGCGCAGGTAATATCACTTACCTTTACTGAACACGCGTCTTGGCCGCGCTCGCTGCAACGAGGAATCGTATTGTCTACCTCAAAGACGTTATCGTTTGTATGGCAGAACCTCCAGAGCGAGTGCTTGTGGTGTGAATGAGCAGTAGTTACATACGCGCTACTAGCAGCGCTGCCTGAAGAAAACGGGTTTGGCTCGGCAGTAAAGTTACGTAATCACGAACGCGTCGCGTCACGGTCACGTGCCAGTAAGCGCGCCCTACCTACCTAAATTTAACTTAATGACAATTCTCTCACCCAGCCGATTTTCACTAGTTCGATAAGTTGATCGTACTCCATGAGCCACAAAATCACAGTAAAAAGAGACGTAGAAATAACAATAACACATACAACGTAGCCCGTTCGCAAAGCAATAATAGTACACAGCCCTCCGCTACAATCAACGCATACCAAAGCGCAGCTCATGCCTTCATCACGGCGTCCTCCATGTAGTCTTCGCGGCTCTCCTTGCCTTCGTGGTCCACGAACTGGTAATTGTCGAGCCCGAGGCGCTTTTCTATCGCAGCCTGACGTTCCTGGTCGGCGACAGCGAGGCCCTGAGAGCCGAATACTTCGTCCATCTCCTCCAGCGTCAGTCCCTTCGTCTCGGGCACGAAAAACAGAATGAACAGTCCACCGACGAATGTGAAAGACTGTGTAGGGAGAGATCAGCATTGAGAACCAGAACAAAGAAGAAAACATACCCCAAAGAAGACAAACGTCCCGAAACCGATATGCTGGAGCATCGTGGGGGTAACCTGTCCGACGATGAAGTTGTTCATCCAGTTGCTGGACGCGGCAATCGACAGACCCTTCCCACGAACGCTCAGCGGCCAAATTTCGGATACGATAATCCAAGAGCATGGTCCCCACGAGTATCCGAATCCGACGGCGAAGACCCACACAAACGCGCACGCCGCCCAGCCGGCTCCGGTGTGTGCTTGCCAATCCTTGTGAAACATCCCGGTCAGGACCGCAATGATGATGTGGCATGTCGCCATCATGAACGCGCCCGACACCAGCACCGGCTTCCGCCCGATCTGGTCCACCCAGATCACGGCGGGGATCGTGGCTAGGAACATCGCAATCCCAACCACGCCGGTGGCAAGTAGCGAGATCGTGTTTCCGGTAAGCCCAAGATCCTGGAAGATCGACGGCGCGTAGTACAGGATCGCGTTGACACCAGTCCATTGTTGGAAGAACATCGTCAATGATCCGATCGCCACACGATGCAGCAAGGCTAGTATCAGAAACCACGTAAGAATCGAAGTCACAGGGTAAAAGGAATGTAATGCGCACTGCGCGAACGGAGCAACGAGAGGTACTGGTTCAAGCCGAGTTGGAAACCGCTCTTCCATGTGCCATCCTGATACTGAGGATACCTCTCCTCTGATAGCTCCTTCTCAAACAGATACTGCGCTTTAATTTCGAGGAACTCGATCTGCACGAGATCCGAGTCTGGCGGAAGGCTACGAGCAGAGCTCAGAACCATGAGAGCCTCATCGTCCCGCCCGTTGTTGATCAGCCATCGAGGGGAGAACGGCATGAACAGGATGCCAATGCCCAGGATGATGGCGGGAACCAACTGAAGGGCAATGGGAAGACGCCACGCCGCGGGGCTCTGAGAGTCGCCGGTGCCGCCGATGTAGTTCGTGCCGTAGTCGATCCAGAAGGAAATCATAATACCGAACGTGATTGCAAGCTGCTGCAGGGCAACGAGCGAACCACGCACTTCGGGTGGCGCGAGCTCCGCATTGTACAGCGGCACCGCCATCGACAGAGAGCCGACGCCCATACCGGTGATAAACCGACCTGCGTGCCGAATAAGTGCTGAGCTCAGGTAGGATAAGATTGAGAGACTCACCGCCGAAGATAGATGATGGCTTGAATGCGGCGGTCTGTACGATGACGCCGATGCAGAAAATGCACACAGCCAGTACGATTGTGTATTTACGAGAGAGCTTGTCGGCGAAATAGCCTGTGACGAGCACACCGAACCATGCACCAAGCTCAAGGATGGAGACGAGCCAGCCCTTGGTGCCCGATTTGTCAACGGCGGACGCCATTCGGTGGTCGAAATTATTCATGCTATGAAAGAAAATTAATATAATATTCATAGCCAATAATAAGAATGAAGACGTACGGTAGCACCCCGGAGAAGACACCCTGGTTGTAGCCGTATAACAGCCCACCAAGGGAGGCAAAGACGGCTATGGCAAAAACCTTGCGGTTATGCACGAGCCCCGCCTGCGGCATGACGAACGTCAGCGTTGCGTAGAGTATTGCAGGAGGGGAAGGCGCACCCATCCAGATTCACCCTGAAGGTTCCGTCGGCGGCTCGCAGTGTTGGTTAGAGCACCTCCTACTGCCATAGTTGTGCTGGGAAGGGGCGAGGTGAAGATGTGATACAGAGATCTTCAGGTAATTAAGTAGAAATATGAATGTCGTCTATAGTATAGAAGTGTCTGGTGGGTCGCGTCGCGTCGTATGCGTATCCCAAAGGGAGCTGAGGAAATCCGGTGAAGGTGATCCGGAGGTGCTCCTTCTTATAGCCAAGGTGGCCAGCCAGGCGCATAATCCTTGAGCAACGTCACACCGTTCTGAGGGCACATCGGTATCTTAGATCCTTCAGACGCTTGGTGGCGCCCCCGCTTCGGGCCACACGTGTGCCCTGTGACCGAGGATGGGGTTGGCTGCCAGCCGGGCCGGCCTTTGCCCCGCCCCCGCACTCTCCCACCTGCTAAGCGCTCGACCGAATGCAACGCTTTCTGGATGTTTACGAGGCTTGGCCGGAGTGCAGGCTGGTGTTGGGTCCTACTTCTGGGCAGGAGAGGACTCGTTGCGACGTATCACAGTTTGACGACGACGGCAGGAGAGCTGGCTGGACGCCTTTTCTTCGGATCAACATCGAGGATTAAAGAGTGCGAAGATGGGCGAGAGCATGTGGCTTACGGGTACTATGGAGGTCCTTTCGATGAGGGCGCAAAAAAGGACACATGTGGTGAATGTGGAGGAGTAGCCGAATGTGTATCTCACCATCCTTTGCGATATCAGTATTCTTCCACCCCAGCCATAGGCTTGAAGCTGCCTAATCGCTTGCGTTTGCAATCGTGATGGGCGTGGGTTTGGAGACAGTCGTCGATATACGCTCCTGGTACTTTCCATAGTAGTGTCTTCTCTTCGGAGGGTCGGATTCTGTTGGTGTTGCTATCGACTCATCGGCGTCTCTTCCGGGGTCGACCAGGAAGTCTGGGGCTAGAAAACTTGATGAGTGCAGGGTTGAAGACATTAATGGGAGAACAGCGCACGTCGATGCGGTTTTCAACGGCAGAAGACTCGGATGGACCATGACGGCATCGCACATCCTTCGCATGCATCGACGCGCATCTGCTGTTCACCTTCCACATCGTATGTGGAAGTCCGGCTATCGAGTGCACGCTTCCGCAATGGTGCGTCACCGTTGCGATTCTTCCATCCGCTGTTTCATCGGGAATATTGTTATGACACCGGGGGAAGACACGTCCGGCATGCAGGGCAGATAACGCGCACGAATGCATGGGAACCGGAAGCTGGACGGTGGGCGTGATCACAGGATTAGGTATATGATGGAGAGAGGAGGCTTGCTAGGGCCGCGGTCGCTGCTGCAGCGATCTTCGCACTCTCGCATCCGGTAAGACGACTTGGAAATACCTGTCTCATCTTTTTCTACACATGTCAGAGTTTCCGAGTACTCACTAACAACTTGTGACATTCCGCCACGGCCAGACATGATTTCACCAATATTTCCTCTTCGACTTCAGCTGCTTGCTATGTCATGACTGGGCGAAGGTTAAGGACACCCATATACGGTGACGGCTGATAGCGTCCGAGTGGGACACGGTGAATTCATGGATCATGGGAGTTGTTAGCTACCGCGTCATGTACAAAGCCTAAGATTAGGAGCTTGACGCGTGGCAGCTCGCCATGGGGGACTCTTGCTATAGTGGTAGGGTACCTAGGACCTAGCGGAGTTGGACCTAGCGGAGTTTTAAATACCTACTATCTTCGGAAGGTGGGTGCTTTATATGGTGCACCTCTGACATAAGCAGACTGGTGCATCTTGGCAAGAATTCTACTCTACTCAATTTATTTCTGCCTCAGTGTACTTGCATCCTGTAAAATATAATTCCGGGTGAGCTTACACTGATGGTATACACCAGAGAAAGCTTTGGAAGTAGACAAGGTGAGGCAACAGTTCACCATGCTCTGCACCTCGTGACACCCAAAATTCAGCTGCAGCCTGATTGCTTGACTATGGCACTTATCCATCAGCTGTATATCATACACAATGCAATGTAAGAACTGCATGTCTACCAAGGGGATATCCTGAGGATGAGGTGCAGTATGGGTGAGCATACAATGGTGTGAAGTTGTCTCTTTATTGCTGATGATGCAGCACTGGCATGTACAGTACATATTCCAGGCCTCACCCACAGGATGAGAAGAAAATTTTGATTACTGTGTCTATAGTATGTGTCTATGTGTATAGAAAATTTCTACTCAGCAGTATAAGCTGTGCAGAGTCTGATGTCTGATGCAAGTCCCTGAGAACTGCAGTCAACAACATTTGAATAGATCCTGTCTGTCTCCAGTTAGATTGATGCAAAATGTTCTGTGTATTCAAGCTGAGGGCTTTTTTTTTTTTTTTTTTTTTTTGGTTCCGGTTTATTGTCCTCGAGGGCGAAGCCCTATGGTAGACAATATCTACTGTAGCTAGCTGATGTGTATCCTAATGATATGTCGTATGAAACATTGTGCCTGCGCGAGCACAGGGCTTTGCGAGCGAGAAAATGGGAAGAACTGTGGGGTGAAGAAGTGAAATGTGAGTATACATAGGGGGGAGAGGTAGTGATAGGGCAAGTCTGCAGGCACACATCCGACATCCTTGGCGAGTGAATGCTAGAGGCTAGGTTCTAAACCTGCTGCCCTTGTGGGTGGTAGGAGCTACCCCCGGGATTTTCCTCTTGCCGCAGTCAGGGATCCGTCTGATGGTCCCCCACCAGGCGTCAAAACTCCCCAAGTCTCTAGGGCGGGGATGTGTCACTAGACTGCCGGTATGTACAGTAGGGGGGGTATAGGCTGGGGAGATAGGGAGCAAGGGACGAGGTGCGAGTAAAGTAGGCTGCCACTTGATCGGACTGGAAGTGCGGTCTGTGTAGGTAAGAATGTAGTCAGTGTTGCACGTGCTGAGGTAGAGGGGAAACTTCTCTGTGTATTAGGGCTCGGTTCGGCGGCAGTTGTCAAATGTGCTCAGTCGACCATAAGTTGCGGTGAGGCGTCCGGTGGCATGGATGTAGCGGAAGAGGGGCCGGATGGCACGTGGGCTGGTGAGTAGCTTGGGTAGTGATCTTGCTGTGCGTCCCAGTTCTCACGTTATGATGTCGCACTGTCGGCTGTATGCGGGGCAGGTGAGGAGGAAGTGGTGCACCGACTCTGGGTGGTTGTGGCAGGCGGGGCAGACTTGAGTTGGGGAACGTTTGATATGGTGGAGGTGCATGTTGAGCGGCGCGTGACCTGTTCTGAGTTGAATGAGGAGGCTGGCGTGACGACGAGGCAGGTCCGCGACGAGTTGTTCGAACTTGGCAGAGGGGATGGACGGGTCGATACGACCGAACACGTGGCCACGTTCCAAGTTCTTCCAGGCTGTAGCGGCTTGGGACTTCAGATGTTCGAGGTGGCATTGCTTGAGCTTAGATGTGCTGAGTGGGAGCGGGGAGTGTAAGCTTTTGGGCAGCTTTGCAGCCAGGCTGGAGTCTCCGTGGGCGGCCTTCTTGGCTTCAGCGTCTGCTCGGTCATTCCCTGGGACACCCTTGTGGCCTGGTACCCAATGGATCGTGAGGTCTTTTCGGCCGATCTTGTGTTTGCTGATGAGTCATTTGATGTCCTCGTGCAGCATATCAAGGAGGTAGTGGCTGGGGGCGGGGCGTCGTAGTTGAGTTGCTTGTATGGCTGCCTTATTGTCTGCTGCACACAAGGCAGTGTAGATGATAAACTCGTCATGGAGTAGCCTGATGGCTAGGACAAGGCCGACGTCCTCTGCTTCGTACACTGTGTGCTCTGTGGATTTTCCGAGGTAGAAGTGTAGGATCTTGGGGGTCGCACGGTCTCGTCTGTACAGCACTGCAGCCGCTCCGACTCCCCCATCAATGTCCGATCCATCCGAGTAGACACAAATACCTTGTTTCTCAGCCCATTGGGCTTCATCCTTCAGGGCGTCACCTTTGCTGCCTGCAATGGAGACTTGGAAGGGGGGGGACCAAGCTGGCGGGAAGCGGGCCGGGGAGATCGTCTCGATGGTGTCCGGTTGTAGTCGGTAGGCATGGAGGAGTTCATGTATTGGGGAGCAGTGGTGTTTGACAAAACGTGTGCTCGCTGTCTTCACATGCGCGTGTAGCGGGTGCTCCGGAGGGAGAATGCACAGGTGGACGGCTGCACGGTGGCAGTGCTTGTCGACCAGGAGTGGGAATGGGAGGAGGTTGGCGTGTGCATCCAACATGTCACTCGCCGTCGTTCTCATTGTGCCTGTGATGAGGAGAGCAGCTTGGCGTTGCACCCGTGACATCAGCTTGATTGCCCCGACAGATCCGTACATCGTCTTTCATCCTGGGACTTTCCTAACAGGGGTGAGAAACACGTCTGCTGCATACAGCATGCATGGGACTGCTATGCTAAGGTAGAGGCGTCGCATGTGTGAGAAGGGTATGCCGCCAGAGGCTCTGGCAAGACGTCGGAACTGTTGTATCCAGGCGGTGCCTTTCGCTAATGCCCCTGCGCATTGCTCGTGGAATCGGAGGTGGCGGTCAATAATGACACCAAGGAACTTGTGTGACACTGCGGGTTCGATCATCGCCGTACATAGACGAAGTGACTGGCCTGGGTCACGCGACGATGCAGACATGTTGATGAGGCCAAACTTGTCGGGTGAGAACTCTGATTGGTGGGTGTTAGACCATGTCATCGCACCATTGCGGCCATCCATGTAGTTGCAGAGGGTAGCATGTGTCTCTGTGTAGTCCTTTCCTGTGGCAATGATCGCTGTGTCATCAATGTAGCCGAGCGCTAGTGAGTGGGGGATCCTGTGGGCGATCTCAAAGAGATCAGAGTTGTAGAACTCATAAAGGATGACGGAGAGGGGGCAGCCTTGGTCTATGCCACTGAGGATCTCGAAGAGTGCCAATTTGAAGTCGTCGAAGAGAATCCTGGTGTGTCGTCCTTCGAGGTGCCTGCGGAGCCAATTAACGATCTCTATGGGGACTCCCCGCCTGCGCATATTGTGGAAAAGGCGGTCTAGGCTTGCACTGGGGAAGGCAGCTTTTATGTCCAGGAAGAGGATGGAAGCTACTTTCCCTTGTCGCCATGCATCCTTGACCGATTTGACCAGCAGGTGGAGAGAGTCTGTGGTGCGTTGGCCTGGGCGGCCTCCGAAGTGGTTGCGGGCGAGGAGGTTGTGCGCCTCTGATTCGTAGACAAGGATGTTAGTGACACATGCAGATAAGATCTTACCGGTGCAGTTAAGGAGCGCAATAGGCCGGTAGGATTTGGCTATGGAGTAGTCTGGGCGACCAGGCTTTCGTAGGGCCACTGTGTTCGATGTCTTCCATTCGGTGGGGTAGACCTGCAGGTTGAAGGTTCCACGGAAAAGGCGACCTAGGCATGGAAGGAGTAAGTCTATACAGTGTTTGTATACCTCGTTAGAAGCGCCGTCTGGCCCCGGTGCCCTGTGGTCATGCAGCTTCTTGATTACAGTCTCGATCTGTGCATCTGTGATAGGGGAGAAGCGGAATGTGGGGCGTCCATATCTGTGACCATTGGGTATGGTCGGTGGGGGGCCCGGGGGTGGGAAGAATGTCTTGTACAGGATTGCGCTCTTGGCTGCATTGTCGTCTGCAGGTGACTCACCACCTTCCCTCAGTGGGGGCACTCGCGGTCGGCTACCATCTGTCGGTCCTGCTGAAGTGAATCGGTTGATCGTCCAGATAGAGTCTGGGTCTGCGGACTCCAGCCACACCTCCCAGTGGTCTTGTTTGGCAGTCTTGATCTCCTCACCATATCGGTTGCGTGTCCTGCGGTATTCCATGTGCGATGAGTGGTCTGCGATGTGCCGGAATTTGTAGGAGGTTCGTGCAAGGCGCTGTACGCGTTTCCAAGACTTAGTAAGGTCTTTGGACCACCAACGCTTCGTGAACGGCGTTGGTTTCGAGAGTGGGACCTTGTCCTCAATCGTCGCAGTGATGGCACCTGTCAAGTTCTTCAGGACAGTGTTGAACTGTTCTGGAGTAGAGATCTCCCCTTCCCCAAGCATGCGGGAGCTCAGGTTCCTCTTCAAGCAGAAGTCCTCCCAATCGACCTCGCGGAAGTTCCGATGTGGAACATCTTGCGTTGTGTGTGTGGAGACGTCTAGTGTAAGTGAGATGGGAATGTGGTTGGTGAATGGAGGGTGGAGCGTGGGGATAGTGTCACATGACAAGAGTTGGCTGGCCACATCTGGGGAGGCGAAGATGTTGTCGGGACGCATGTGGTTCTTCGTGAGCGACGCTTCCAGTGTTGGTGTGCCGTGGGTGAGGAGCATCGTGAGGTCAAAGGCTGCAATGTTGTCGAGGAGAGGCTGGGCCATCGTCAGGGCTTCCTGAGTGAAGAGGTGGTGATTTCGTTCCTTGTCCCACATAGGGTGATGTCGGTTGAAATCTCCGGCCCATATCACGTTCGCTTTCGCTTCTTCCGGTTGTGCGAGTACCGCGGTGGCTCATGCAAGTAGGTTGATGGAGTCCTGGTGACGTTGGTCATTGTAGATGTTGAAGATATGTAGTGGGCCCGACGCAGTGCGTAGGGAAATGGCAGTGATATCCGGGGAGTCGACCTTGATTTGCGACCAGGTTTCTCCTGAGATCCGCTTGCTGATGAAAATGACAGAGCGCGTGCGTCCACTGGCCTCGGTGTAGTGGGTATGGGGGTACACTACTATCCAGTGTGATGTAGCGCGGGTGAGGGAGGTGCGGGGGTCAAGGTATGATTCCTGCAGTAGAATGATGTCGAAGTCGGAGGTGGAAAATGAGTTGATAAAGGCTGATTGCGCTATAAGGGACTTGTTCAGGTTCAACTGTAGTATACGCAGCATAGAGTTGTCATGTGTTGGTGTACTAGACATGGAAGCCTACGGGGGAATTTCTGCCGTATGAGACCTTGGAGGACGCTCAGGACCCCGAGCGGTGTATAAACATCTGGTGGAGTTGAGGCCATGGCTGTGATGCATCCTGGGAGCTTCTTGCTTCACTGGCCCAGCGGGCTTGCGACGGGCGAGGAAAAAGGTTGGGTTGTGGGTGGAGGTTGTCTGCCTCGTCCGCCCAGTTCTGCAAAGGTGGTTCCATGGGTACAGGTGCGAGGGTACGGTGGCGGGGGGGAGCGGCTTGCAACAGTGGTTGTCCTGTTAGTTCCCAGGTCGATGGGTCTTCAGTGGGGAAGAAATGATATTTTGCTTCTGGCTGGTGGTCTTCCATGCGGTGGCAGTGCTCCAGGAAAACTGGACAGTCATGGTCCCAAGCCGCCTGGTCAGCATTTGCACGTCCTGCCCGGATGCAGTTGCTGCATCTGAAGTCTGTGGGGTCTGCTTCGCATGCAGAGGTCTTGTGGGAGATTGAGGTGCAGTTTCCGCAGGTGTCGTGGATCTGCTTGCAGTCGCTAGCTAGGTGCGGGACTCCAATCTGTTGACACTTCAAGCAGCGGCGGGGCTCCCGGATCAGCTTCCTCGCCGAGACCTGTTTACTGGCTATAACGAGGCCATTGCATATGGCACGGTTAGCGGCACTTGGGTTGTTGAAGCGTACGATGAGGTGAGCGACTTTTTGACCCTTCGCTCTGCGTTCCGGGGGTTTGATCCAGCGGGCTTCTTCTATCACGTTCGGGTTAAGGTTGTTGGAGCCTTCGATTACCCGGAGGTAGCCACTGTTGTCTGGGTTACATGCTACAGGGACGAACTCAGTGAGGACTGAGTACATGTGTGCCTTTACGCGAGAGACCTGGTCACCGAAGTGTTCTAAGAAGCTTTTCATCACGTCTGAAGTACGAAGTCACTTAGCTGATTCTGGGCTGTCCAAGGTGTAAGTGATTCCTCCGTTGTGCATGCAGTTGACTGACTTGAACTTGAAGTTCGGAGGGGCATCTGATCGTGCCACTCCCATTAGGTCGATGGCGGTGTTTGCCTTGGCGAGGAGTTCGTCCTCGTTCAGGCCTGTGCCATCAGCGTGCTTGCAAGTAGCTCCATCGACGATGACCTGGCAGGCACGAGTTTTCTCCCTGGCTAAGGTCTGCGCATGCGTAGCGGGGAGGGCTTGGCTGGCTGCTGCGGCATAGGTCAGTGATGCGGGTTGGGAAATGTTGCTTACCTGCGGAGTGTGGTCGGGCTTGTGTGCTTCGATGAAGGTCTCAGCAGCCTCCCTCATGGACTGTCCAGCATCGGTAGCCATGCTGTCGAAATTGTCGGAGATGGTTCATAGGCCTAGGTGAGTCTCCCTGATGTGGGCGACATCCTGTTCCAGTTGTTGCGAGAGGTTAGACAGTCTGTCCATCCCGAGTTTGACCTGTGCATGCGCCTCTGTGGCTGTGTCAGCAATCTTTTCCAGTTTTTCCTGGTATTGCTCAAGGCGGGAGCAAATGCTCGACATGGCCTTGACTGCACTGTGTTCTTGGACGATCAGTTCTGAGTACCAAGCTAATGCAATGAGGGACTGCATCAGTTTGGTGTCCGAGGAGCGAGCCTTGGCGAGGCGGGCAAGTGTCCGTGTTAGCGTTCTCATTTCCGCGGCTCTCCCCATAGTTGCATATTCATTGTTGCATAGGAATATTAGAGCTTTGTCAGATGTATCAATACCATGGGTGAAAGTACTCAGCCAATCTGTTAGGGTAGAGTTCTTGTTCGCGAAGGGGTCTGACTTAGAGCGGGTTGCCGGTCTGCTAGAGCTCGCGCTCGAGCTTGGCACGGCTTTTTCACCGAGCCTGTGGCTCGTGTTTATTGCTTTCGACTCAGGTGTGTACTGTTTAATTCTGGGAAGCACTTATGGGCGTTCTGTAGTACCAGAAAGACCGCACGGGTGGCCTACTCCTATTGGGCCAGGACCATGGGAAAATTGCCTAAGATGGAGGTACGAAGCAAAGAGGAGTCCAAGCTGAGGGCTTGGGCAGTCATATCAACTAAGAGGTTAAGCAAAACTCTGAATGCATGATGCTACAGAGATGTCTTCTTCTCCTCTCTCGAATTAATTTAATTAATTTAAATTAATTCCTTCGGACCCTACTAGAGTCCCCCATGGCACTGGAGGCAAAAGTGGATGTTCTGCCTTGGAACAGTGTCTGAACATCCAAGGAACAGATTACATTTTTGGACATGTCACATGTTCTGAACATGATAAGGAACATCTAATACGTCTCGCACAATGTTCTATTGGAGAGCATGCTGGAGACATGTTGCATGTACCATTCTGGAACATATAATATGTCTCACACAATGTCTCATTGGAGAATGTCCTGCAGACTTGCTGCATGTTTCATTCTGGAACATTTATCATTTTGCTACTATATTCTGGGCTTATCTCTTGATGCAATATGCTCTGTATAATAAGGATTTCCCATGGCCAAACACATTACATTTCTGGCCAATGTTAATCTTCAGAACATTGTGAGAAGATGTTAAGTGCTCCTACTCCAAACATACAAGATGTCCTGGGCACCAAGAACATTTGCAGTACATGTAAAATTTTAGTATAATTTATGTAGGTATCATACATGTACTGCAGATGTTCTTGGTGGTCAGAAGATCTTGTATGTTTGGAGTAGGAGCACTTAACATCTTCTCACAATGTTCTGAAGATTAACGTTGGCCAGAAATGTAATGTGTTTGGCCATGGGAAATCCTTATTATACAGAGCATATTGCACCAAGAGACAAGCCCAGAATATAGTAGCAAAATGATAAATGTTCCAGAATGAAACATGCAGCAAGTCTGCAGGACATTCTCCAATGAGACATTGTGTGAGACATATTATATGTTCCAGAATGGTACATGCAACATGTCTCCAGCATGCTCTCCAATAGAACATTGTGCGAGACATATTAGATGTTCCTTATCATGTTCAGAACATGTGACATGTCCAAAAATGTAATCTGTTCCTCGGATGTTCAGACACTGTTCCAAGGCAGAACATCCACTTTTGCCCCCAGTGTGGCCGCCATGGGAGACCCGGAGCGACTGCCCCGTGCCGGATCAGTGGCCCCGCTTTCCGCCCGGCATTTGCCGCCCCTCCATCTCCTTTTGGCAAGGCTAGTCGTTGTGCTACTGGAGCACTGATCTGCCATTGTCACCGTGACGGTGCTCGTCTTTCCTCACATCCCCCAATGCTCCGCAGAACGCCCTCCCCTGACCCCCGCGCGCACACGTCTACTTCCTGCACTCAATAAAGCGGTCTTCCTGCGCCCAGTCGCACCAAACATTGTGATCGAGCTTACGATTCTCATGCGAGAGTGGTCCTGCGTGCCGTTCATTCTGTAAAGCCAACGACAGGGCCGGAATCCTCACTCTGAGTCGTCGAAATTGATGAGAGGAGTATGCTCGAGGTCGCCGATGTCTACGCCTCACTCGGATAGGCCTACAACTTGGTCATATGCGACATGGGTTTTCCCCGACGTGTCCCCCACGGTCTTGAACTGCACTTAGACTTCAGGTCGTTGTCACGGTGTCATTCTTTCGTGGTACCTTAAAGAACAATGCGGTAGCGCGCTGCCGGTCGCCTTGAACTTTGTGGCGTCGAGATCACTTCGGTGTTCGCGGTCCTAGCTCTGGGCAATACTCAGAGCTGTAACAGTGCACTATCTCCGATGGAAATTACATTTGTTACCATTTTCTCAAGCCAATTCAGAGATCTGGTGGACTCAAGGAATATTGAGGCTTGAAGCTTAAGCGACATCAAGGCTGCGCAAGTCTGTCAGTACTCCTATGATGTTGGCGGGAATATGAGGCTTGTATATGTAAGCATGGTCATTCTGCAGACATTTCTCCCGGTGATATCTCCATCTCTATCTATCTTTGCAGCAAGACTCTCCTGACACGCCTCCTAGCTCGCCTCATGAGAACCTCACGCGATGCAAGCAGACAGCCAATCCCAGTTTCAGCTTTTTTCCTTACCCGGCTTGCGAGGCGGGCAGTAACCCGATGAGGTCGACTACTGACATGAAATTCTGACTAGCTGCTTTGCTAGGATGCTACCCAGAGTACCTAACCCGCCCATCATAAGCATTTTTGTGCTGGTGGGTGGGAATGCATCCGCTTTCAAGGCGTGTATTCACGCTGCTTCCTTTCTTTCCTTGATGTTGGGCGCAATTCAATCTGACCACTGTTCTCTCAGGCATACAGAGCGTCTCCGCTTGACTGCCAGTGTCGCCTATCTCCCTTGTCTGTGCATGTAACATCCGAATTATGAGGTGACGATCTGCAGGCTATTATCTCCGCAGTCAGCCGTACGGAGATACTAGACGTTGGACACTATTCATTCTGCTCGTGATGAAATGACACGGCGTTAGTGCCTATAGCTCTCAGAGCAGGACACTACGTGCTGGGCGACTATATGGAATATCAGACCCAGCTGTCGTACATCTGCACCGTGCGGAAGACGTCGACTCCCCCGGTTTCGCGACCTGTGTGATAACGACGTGCGCGCATGCCGATCAGTTTTCTCAGACGGCAGGATCTCTCTTCTCGCTGCTGAAAGAGAGACAGATGAGTCTCAGTGTTTTAATAAGTATGCTGATTGCGTTCGAGGAATCGATACCTTGGATATCATACAGGGTCCCTATGGACCGTTGCAACGGTTTCATGCCACGGAGCTTGCCATGCTCGCCGCGAAGCGAGGCATGCTTATACTCTCTGCTTCATATCCATCATTGCTGATGACAGACTCGCGCTCCGCAGGTGCGACGGACGCCATATACGGTTGAACTAGCTAGTCGGCGACACTGAATCCGACTTGTGGTGTGTGCCGCGTATGTTCTGATGTAAGACTTTTGGGGCCAGTGCTTTGCCATGCGAGATGGCGTCGCTCAACCTCCATCAATTCACATGAATTATGATTACGTCTTTGGCCGCAGACGGTAAGCTCAAACACTGCCGCTAACACCAAGACTGAAAGTCCAACAGCCACAGATGATCCGCTGGGAAGTCGGTCACACAGCATCTCTTCGTCTCATTGAAACCGCGTGTCGATATTCTCCGAACGCCTGACTGTTCACCATACGAAGCCTCTCGGAGAAGGATGCGCATGAGCTTGCTCAACATTCAGGGGACCCTTAAGGTTCGTGCCCCAGGTGTTGCTTCGTCCGTACACCGAACCTTAGCTTCGAACACCGCCAGACGAGTCCTTGCTCAAGCGTTCTCCGGAAACATTTACATAGTGCCGATCACAGTCAATATGGGACGATCAGAAGAATGTGGATCGGGCTATCGAATTTCATATACTTATTGCCAAAATCCTGCAACACGACACGTAGCACCGAGTATATCGCACGTCCGTCCATACTTTGCGTGCTTCCACTGTAGCGCGAGAGGCGATACGGACGGCGGGTGAGCCCTGATGGCCCCGAATTGGGTACGGCAGCGTGGGGGCGGACGCAAACGTTGTTCTAGGTGTCTATTCAAATTCAGCGGCGAATCATTGGCAGGTTCGCCAGGCACGCACCGTACTGGATTGCGGAAACAGACCAAAGGGATGCATCCTGTCAGAGAGGAGGACGGATGAAGACCCAGATGCAGCATCCGCGTCGAGCAACCTAGGCGCCAAGGCGTCGAGCGGAAGTCCCATATGCGGCGAACAGCCTACCTCTCCTTTCCACACGCGCACAATATTAATGGCATACTCCTTATATACAGCCCCTCCCAGTACCATCTCTCCCTCATTGAGCTTCCGCCACCTCTCTCGCGAATCCAGTGAGTGCCTATCCCTGCGCGTGCGCGACAAGGATTTACGTCTCTTGCTGCAGCATCCATCCTCTCGCCGCTCCCACATCATCCGACTTGGCCATGTTAAAGTCCGAGGCCTATTGCTACGTACTCATTGAGGACGATGAGAACGCTTCTCTAGAGAAAGGCTGCGTCAGTCCCACCACACCCACACCACCACCAAAATCGCGCCGCGTCGCGGCGTGGATCTCGCGGCTCTACCAGGCGCGGAAAGAGCGGATGCGCACGCGCTCGCGGGGACCACCGCGCGCGAAGCCGGCGCCCGCTTCTACTCCAACGGAAGATTTTTCGACGGGTGTGTCGCTGTTGCCCGAGCGGCGACAGGAGCAGCTGAGATGGCTGTTGTATTCTCAGTCTATTTCGTGGGGGTACTGCGTCTGTCTATGAGGAACTGAGGAAGGCCGAGGGAAGGATATGTCTGCGGCTGCCGCTGCTTCCAGGGTCTGACGGTCCATATAGCCTTTGCTTTCTTGTATAACTGGGTTCGTCGCTTTTGCATGGTACATAGGTTGTGCTGCTCGTCTGTATATCTAGTTTGTATTATCAGAGCTGTTTGGTGCATTCTCATGAAGGGAGTTGTGTGACGCGAGGTGACCGGCCAGAAGTTTCGAGCTGAGGGTGAGTTCCCGCGGGCCTCCTTCTCGTGTTTGCCTGCTAGGATAGCAGTAACCACCGCAGGTCCAAATTCATGAAGTGAGGGGCACTTTAGAAGATCCGGTTATCAGCAACGAGAATTATTTGGACTGGGAGACGGAAGCAAAACAAAACATACTATGACGGGAAAGAGTCTAGGCTGGCGTCTGGACGATAGATGTTTTTCGCAGCAGGACATGCTGGCACTGCTGGCAGTGACCAAATGCTGCGTCGCGTCTTGCCATGGCCAGCAATGAGAAAAAATGCGATCCGAACAGGATGTAGAAAAGAGCAACGGCGCCTCTAGGAATCTTGAGGCGCACCGATATTGCATCTCGCCGTCATGAGTCAATCGGGCAATCGGTATACTCGGCAGGAAACGTGTCTAGTGTGCTGCTCCTACGGGTTAGGATCCATTGCAGCGTAGCCTGCTCTTCCGATGTGTGCAAAAGATCTTCATTGTCTCAGTTTGCGATGTGCATTGAGGAATTAGTAGCAACTTAATTGATTCACTGGCAATTCGCATGATAAATCCCAGCCGCGACCTGCCACAACAACGATGCTTGCTTTCTCTAATATCTGGTCCTTGGATGTTTGATAATGTATCTGCTCGAATATTCATTCCAGAGGACAGCCCAAAAGAAAAGAGTGAAGCTTATGAGGTGTCGATCAAATATTTTCCGTTGTAGGCCCCTTCGTATAGGAGGGCGTCACACTCGTCTAGGATGAGATGAGGTGAGTAACTAGCTTCGCAGTTAGTAATAAACGTGAGAACTATAAGGCGAGCCAGAACAACTCCGCTCCGGATCGTTCAGTACACACAGCAGGCCATTGTTCTTCGTGAGAGCAGTAAGGACTCTGACTGGGGGTAAAAATGGTTCCCTTTGGTAAGTTCGAATCCAAGCTTAATACCCACTTACCTGCCCAAGAAGAAGAAACCAGCCACCGGAATCCAAGTGTACTTCATATATGTGATCGGAGTGTTCTCTCAGTTTGACCTTGTCAGCAATTGGCTCTCGCCGTCCGGACATTTCTTTGATGAGGCCCGAGTTCTTCGCCTAAGCGTAGATGCTGCGGGCTTCAGAAAATCGAACTATTTTTGGCGTAATTGACGACCTCGAAGTAGTGAAGGAGGCTGGGGACCAAATCGTCTGCGAACTCTCGAAACTTGGGAGTAGCGTCGGCGAAGACGGTGTCGTAGTCATGTCCAGCAGAAAGTTTAGCTTCGTCTGTTCAAGCTTCTCCGATTCTCCGCCGTCTCACCCTTCGGCCAGCGTGTAGCGAGGGGTCCGAGAACGCGCGTAAAACCAGGCGACGACAAAGAAAGACTGAACGTACTAGCCAGTATGCGGTCTATCACTTCTCCTTCCTTTAATGCGTCAATGAATCTAATTTTGTCCATCGTGGCAACGAAGCAGAGTTTGAGAAGGCCCTGCATCCTTCGTCCCCTCTCGATGGCTCACCGAGACTGGATCATGCTTGTTCCGCGCGAGGTACGGCCGACAGATATGCGGAACACAGATCGCCCTCCTCACTGTCGGCCTATGGAGGCGCCACCGAATTAACTGCGCTACGCAGGCTAAGACAACAAATTTGTAGGTTTGTGAAATCTAGATAAGTATCTCTTCGTACCTTCGGCACGTAGATGATTTTGACTATCCGTGAAGACAGACGACGCCAAAGAAGGTTCGTATAGGTTAAGAAGACCCTAGACGAGATCAGGATACTTCGGTTCTCTATTAAGGATGCATCAATCGTCTGAATTGTCCTTGTTGTCGTAACAAAATAGCTCACTAATCTATCGGAGGAAGTGTGGATTCTTCCGGCCGGTACAACAGGGACAACATCTCCTCCCATTCACTCTCCATGATACTCTTCAGTTTCTCCATCAGGTCAGCCCTCTCCTCATATTTGCCATGAAATTGCCGAACCATACGCAGCAGCTCAACCTTAGTTTTTCCCTGATAAAGCTCAAACTGAATGGATATATTGCGCTCGGCGAGCCATGCAATGAGGAAGTTGATGTCGTCTCTGTCCGATGCTGTCTTTCGGACGGTCTTGGGTCGGGTGGACATGTGGCTCACCGACCAGCGTTTGAATTTGGTCAGGATGAGGATGGAGGGATGGAGGATGGTGATCGCTGTGAACATCACAACTACATTCAGCCTGCAATGTGGGGATATTGCATAGTCTGAGCCTACAGAAGTCGGCAACCTTATAGGTAGGTTCTGCAACGACAGGAAGCCCCAGCGTTCCCGCAGAAAGGGTCTCAATCATCACATTATTCCTACTCTTGTGCACTAGTTCGTCGTGCGGCAGGTCTGCAATAGGATCCTGCGGGGAGATCAATCGTTGAGTCAGTCCAGGATGCGAGTGTCTCTTACCTGAACGAAATATAACTTTATCCCTGCTTCAGCAAAATGATGATCTAGTTCCACCAACTTCTCTCGTAGAACTAGTAAATCAACATTCTTTGTCTCGATAAGGACATCAATGTCGTGTAGGCGTAAGGTAAGTCAGTCTGGTGCTCAGAAATAGGTAAGGAAATGGTACTTATTCCGGTAGGCCGTTCACTCCCGAGCAAAGACCACGCGAATCCGCCAATGAAGGCATGGCGACAACCCATCTGACTGAGGTAGTCTGATAGAACTTTCGCGGCACGTAGATGATCATCGCGTGAAAAAGACACGGAAATGCTAGCAGGAGGCATTCTCAGTTCGATAAATCATAAATTGTAAACGCCGTCTTTCAGTATTTGGCAAGGGAGAATCTCGCTTAGTGGGTTATGCAACCGCAGACGACGACAAGCTGAGAGCTGAACCACTGACAGAAGTTCGGAAGGCGTTGTATTTAGGAGCGTTGTACTCGGTGGCAAGACGGTGGCGCTTCGAGGTGAGACGGATTGCCAAATTGGGCGAAAACCGAGATTAATTACGTAAATAACTTCTTTCGGCCGTCCACAAAGGTCCGAAACGTCCCAAAGTAACGATTATCATCAACTCTGAACCACGATGTTGCAGACCATAACACTCAGTACACCTACCTGCCCACTTTACTTACAGGCCTCGAAAGAGGAGAAGCGGTTCGATTTCAGAGACGTATGCTCCTCGTCAGGAGAAATCCCGGCCCTTTTTAATCGTCTGCCGGAAGAACTCGTTGATCATGCCTTACACACACTCCAAGATGCAGGCGTCGAACTTATCGAATGGAGGTCGCTGCTGTACAGACGCATGGGCGTTCCTGTTTTGATTAAGGTGCGTCTATTCCGAAAGAAACTTATATCCAAGTTTCATTGCCGTGCACTAGGATTACCACTACCTTGTTCGTGACGAGGACCTCCACGCCGCATCGGACATCCTTCTGCATGAGGGTCTGCCACTATCATCACCACCTCCTCTGTTAATCGAGACCGGTGGGGACTTCTATACACAGGGCCACATGCACCGTCTTACGCCATCAAGTTCCGTTGGTCTTGCCCAGCACCTTGTTCTTTACCCCTCCTCATTCGCCTCCTATATCCCATCTGAGCTTTCGCCCGCTCCCTCGCTCATTCCCCTCGCCTCGCCGCTGTGCAAATCTATCCTAGTACCTCGCCAGAGTGCTGTTTACGCTTCCATCCTGCGCATGATGCAGCGATATCCACGATGGTCGTCCACACGTTCGACCCTGGAGACACATCTGTCTGAGCTCATCGGCTACAATCTATATGATCTCCAAGATGGTTACGTGGACGTCGATGATGAGGAGTCATGCCAGGCGCTCGAGGTCGATCGACGGGTTGAGGACGCGGTAGAGATTGTCCGAGGATGGAATCATACTGGTGTGTGGCGTGTGGGAGAGGAATGGATGGGCGATGCTCTGGCAGCGGTCGTTAAAGGGCCAGGAGACATAGAGTATCTACCTTGGGCATCATAGCTTTTGTATGTATATTATCATTTTCTTCTTTTTCAAGTCTTATTTGTTCCTCCTCAGTCTTTGTCTGCTTCATTGATAACAAGTTCAAGCAGTTGAATCAGGTTCATCGACTGTCGATTCCGACGAGAACTCCTTTCCTGTACATTGACGCCATCGTTTCTGGTTCTGGTATTGTGGCGATGGAAAGGCTTACCCAACACGAATTTTACAACGACCGTTCTTATGAGAGAATCCAGGTAATCGGATCACCAGTCACACCTCGCGTCTGGCCTGCTATACTCCGTCAGGATCGCCTTCACTCTGGGACTCATTGCCACTTCTCCGTCACCCATCTTAACACTATACCTCCCCTCTATGGTTGCCCTCTTCTCAAACGGTGCAAACACTGTCACGAACGTAGGCCTCTCCGCCCTGAGCACGCGCACATCCTGTTCCTCCAATTGAGTACCGCCCTCGCCAACGCGCATACCACAAGAACGCATCCCCAGCCTCCTCAGTGATGCATCAAGTCCTTGTGTGACCTCAGGGAGAAGCAATGCCGGAGCCAGTAGCCGCAGGCTACCGAGCGGCGTCAAAGGCGCATTGCCATGATTAGTATAGGTCAGTTCCAACGTTTGATTTGTAGGATGCCTTCCACTAATATTCTCCTCTAGTGCTGATGCTACCCATCCGGCCGACGGATGACCCTCTTTCACCTGCACGTAAGAGGACTAGTCGCGTTACCCGACGGTTTGCAAGCACTCTCGTTCGGCCGGTGCCACGTCTACGCACACTCCATACGCTTTGTCTCCATCCCGGCACCCATTTACTGTAAGTCATCGGGATTCTATTGAAGTAAATTTCAGCTGATTGTTCTCGATCTAGATGCCGATATAGTATGCGTACGCGGGACCGGAATGGTGGCTTAGACGTCTCATTATCCGGCATAGCGACGCGGACAGGCAATTGCAAACATTTGAGGCCGAATTTAAACCACTGCGCAGGGACATGGGCCGTATGATGTACTACTCAAATCATTCGGCTCGTTAGGCCACGCGATGGCCATGTTTCTTTTGCTGGTCTGTTTGCCCTACTTATGTACATATACCACATTTTCTTCTTGTCGCATTCTCGACACTTTGCCATGTTATATTTTGTACATTTGTACCCAAGTCAATAATCCCTCATGATGCTGCAGTATTCCTTTGCAGAAGGTACAGTTAACTTCGCATGTCACGGTTCGAATGCATTGTCTCAGCGCTTACTATTACGAAAGTTTGTCGGTTCGCAATTGAGGTAAGATATTATACGAGCCTCTAGACAATGAAGGCAGTCGTTTGATAGCTAGTGCTACATGGACATTGTTCCCATGCTTTATTGTAGGTGGAAGTTGCTGAGTCCAGCGACGTTCTGGCTAGAATAGTTGTAGCCTGAGCAAGCTATCGTGCTGTTCAAAACTTGAACCATCGATAATCGCAAGACAGACAACGTAAACTGGGTGTGTCATCCCGAGATGGTATGAGCCCAACTGCATTCTATATATATCCAGACACGGATATCCTGAGGCACGAAGGTTGAAGCAGAACGGTGTGTACCCTCTGCCTTCGGGAGACTAATTCTATCGCCACTTGCCTCTGACTCTTATCCGCGCAGGTCATCGAGATGCGATGTTGCACAGAGTTTTCCAAGGATCATTTCTCACTGAAAGGACCACTCTTCCTCCTTGAAGTCAATATTGTGCATGTAGGTTGCGGCAGCATGTTGACTTTGGGCGGCAACCGTTAGTCTAACCACTTCTGCTGGTCGATAATACGATTCACGAAATGCAAAAACTATGCCTGTGTCATTTCACTACTTCCGGGATTCGCTCCCTAATTATGACCAGAAGCACGTAGAATGCAATTTGACTGTCTCACTGAAGGACGTTTCGGGGGCTTGAGAGTCTACTCCAGGTAGAGAAGCACGTTTACTACGTTGAGCTAATATGATAGGGTGTCTTTTGTCCCTCCAGATGTTCGCCGTTATCCAGAGAATTCAGGATCGGGATTATTTGCATCATTAGTCTTCTTGCCGGATAACATAATTGCGATGATCTCCTTCACAAGCAGGCATTGCATCCGAAGGCATGAACTTTACCCTATATCTGTGAGCCTGCATCTATATCCTGATTTGTCTACAGGTTTGGTGCGGATGGAATTCCTCAAACACGTCCCACAGTATCAGGTAATCTTCAAGTCATGTGCACCTCGGGTGTGAAGATGTCTTCACGCCTACGTTTTGCGAGAGGTCCTTTGCGGGAATACTGGCAGAAAGGTGAGTCGGGTTTCGGAGTGTCTCACCAGACATGTCGCTGCGACGCAAGACAGGGTGGATAGGGAGACATGTGCATCCGATGGCCTGCCCTGCGAGATGCGACGCGACCGTGTTAGAGACGGAGATGATGACAGCCGTGCTCTGGTCCGTGCGCCTGTCTGCCAATAACTGGTCCTGATGGAGAATGAAAGCCGTCGGCAAATTCAGTTTGTCTCGTTCCCGCTACCGCGCTCTGATTTCCCATCGTGTGCTATTCGTCCGTTCTTCATTCTCGGCGTACTTAAGTATTTGCAACCTCGCAGCTCCAAGCGACTGAATGTATGAAACGTGAGACGTTCCCGCTTCTCCCTGGGACGTGGGATTCTCCCCACAGTCTGACTCATGAACATTTCGAAACCCGTTTCTCGCTTGTCGCCAGGACCTCGCTAGATTGAGAAGAGCAACCCGATGTGAGACTTAATAAAGAGGCGTCTTGTCATTGGTATGTGCTTCCTTTGTTTCTTCCTGTCTGAATATGCCTGACATGAGACTCCGAGTTGCTATAGTGTGAGTTGGCAGCCCTTCAATAGTAAGCAGACGCTAATCATGAGATGCCAATAGCGGTGCAGGTATTGGGGGACTCGTCTTCGCGCTTTCGCTGCACAGATTTAGCAAGGACATCAGCGTTGACGTCTATGAGTCCGCTGCTGAGCTCACTGAGTATGGCGCCGGCATAGGCGTGTGGGACAGACCATGGAAAATCATGGTTGATCTTGGGCTTGAAAGGGACCTGGAGTCCATAGCAAACAGGGGAGCTGCCGGTACGAGTTACTAGTTCAAATTAGCCTATGGACTTTGCTAACAATGATTTAGCGTCATTTCAGTACAAGAAATGCGATCAGCGAAACGGTATCAACTTTGACAACCCTACTACTGATTGTACGCCTCTCACTTATATAGAGGCGCCATCAATGTTGCTCAGATCATTCCCCAGGCGGAATGGCGAACTTTCATAGAGGAGAGTTTCAGCGCGTACTGAGCAAGCATCTCCCACCATCTTACACCGTCCACTTTTCTAAAAAGCTCGTGTCCTACGCCAATTCGGATTCAGGCGAAGTAATCCTCAATTTCCAAGATGGCTCTCTCGCGACCTGCGACGTCGTCGTAGGCTGTGACGGTGTCCGCTCAGCTGTTCGCGCTACCCTCTATCGCTCATTCGCAGAGAGCGCTGAAGTCAACGGGGATCATGCGATGGCAGCAGAAGCGTTGTCTCACGTAAATGCGATGTACAGCGGGTGTTCGGCTTACCGTGGTCTTGTTCCAACTGATCTACTACTGCACAAGTGTCCCGATCATAGAGGAACTACAGGCCCTCTTCTGGTTAGTTCCCTCGATCCTGCAAGAAGTGACATCCTACCCAGCTAACGTCGTGTGATCTAGTGTTTTGGAAAAAACAAGGTTAATTCTTGGTATCGAAGCTCCTACGCTGACTGCCTTGTTCACCGCTTTCATAGCACATTGTAGCTTATCCTGTTTCCCAAGGCCGGATGGTCAATGTTGTGGTGTTTATTTCAAAACCTGAGCTCGAAGGGAAACTGTACGATGGTCGCTGGGTAGTTCCTGTCACGAAGAAGGAGATGATGGAGAAGTTCAGTTCGTGGGATCCCGAGGCGAAGAGCCTGCTCGAAGTGAGTTTGACGTCACACCATATTTGGGCAGAGTCTCACCGACTTCTGAGACAGTGCATGGACGACGTATCACTGTGGGCGGTGAACGCCGTGGTGGGCTTGCCGACCTTCATTGGTAGACGGGTGGCTCTCCTTGGGGACGCCGTGAGTGTGCATCTAACCCGAACTGTGGTACATGGTGCTGATATGTGCACTAGGCGCATGCAATGACACCTCACCAAGGATCTGGAGCCGGGCAGGCATTCGAGGTATGTCCTAGTATTCTCAAATCTAGATGGAGCAGTGCCTATCTCATGGCTTCATAGGATGGATATATACTTGCTTCTCTCCTAGGGCATCCATCCGTTACTCGTGCAACTGTCAATCACGCTCTGCACGTCTATGATGCAATACGTCGTCCATTTGCTCAAGATGTGCAGAGACGCTCTCGCAATACCGGAATACTTTATCAGCTCAATGGCGCCGACTGCCAGACTCTGTCTGAAGAAGGCAGTGCTTCGGGTACTGTACCTCTTGAGAAACTTGAGGGGGTCGCACATGCGATAGATGGCATGATGAACTGGATGGGGGTGGGCTCAGCAATGACCGAATGTTCCCGGGCCTTGAATATGTTAGCGAACAATATGGCGCGCTCCAGCGGATATGCGCCTGCGTCGACAGCCTCCGTCTTGGGATCGCACAAGCTATGATGTACACTATCTCAAGAGGATGATATTTGGCTGAGCGTCGGTAGCCTGTACACGTCTCGACTGGCATCCGTTCGCACCGTATCTGTAAAATGTTCAAGGGTCCTTAACTAGCTTCCGTTATTCTACAATGCCAGATGAATCTGACCAGTGCTGAGCGCTGACTCTTTAAGCTTTTAAGCTTTAAGGTTGAACTCCAACGGAAAGTATATGCCGAGCCGACTCGAAGTTCAAAATCTTGACTCAAACAATCCTACAGCTCATCAGAGGATAACTTCGAGCAGGATGAAATGAAACTTCCAATGCAACGAATCCGTGTTTTTATCGTTTTGGAACTCCTGATTTGTGGAAATCGATAGGGTATGGGAATGTTGCATCCGGCGAGGCTTGGCGGCAGGGTATTGCCGGGGCGTGCATCCTGTTGGAGAATCTTCCTTCAATCCACTCGAACCAAGCGTTCACAACGTTCACAACGCACTGGGGAACCTTAGAAAGTATCTTCCTGTCGTAGAGGTCCATCTTCTTCGTCTTCTTGTTCTCCCCTAGACGGACCTGGTGGCGCGTGTTGGTGTCGTCGCTGGCTTTCAAGCCTTGACTTTGTCCTGGGGGTGAGGTTTGTCTTGTCGCTGGCCTTCCTGGCTGTCTTTCCACAGCGAATGGGGTAAGATACTGTGCTGCCATACATGTAAAGGTGAACTGAGGTTCAGGCAACCCAGGTTGCATCTGAGGCTGCGACGTTCAAGCACCATATTTCTGAGTTCGGGTGCCCTTCGTAGCCAGACCGCGTCGCTGTGCGTGGGACGCATTCTCGCAAACGTTCCTGCGCCGCAATTCCTGGAGGTAGGCCGCTGACCGTCACATTGTAATTTTCGCCCCAACCGTCAAAGCGAAGTATTAACGACACACCAAGTCATGGTCCGCAAAAATTCGTGTCATTGTTTTCCAGAGCACTTACCCCGACAAAAATAACAGGCTACTTCTGTCGTCTTGGGAACCCTTCGCCGCTTTTCCTCCGGTGCCCTTGATACCTCTCGTGTCTCTGGTGATAGTGATCACGACGATTCAGGCATTGATTTCGAAAGCGAGCTGACGGTGGATGGAAATTCCGATGTTATCATTCCAGAGGACGACCTTCCATTCACACGGACCAAGCTGGTATTTGAATACGAAGAAGATGAATTGAGCAGTATCCGTACAGGTGAGTCGTCGAAAGCAGATAGAGATGATCCCAGACAAACAAACTTTTAGAATTGGCTTGGGTCGTGGATATTCCCGATCCGAAGCAGACAACAATATTGCTCAAGTGAGTTGAATTTTTCTCGTCGTTTACTTTCTCAACAACGAAAACTCAGGTGGTTGAAGGAGAGTGGACTCGAATCACCTTCTATGGCCCACCTCAAGCGAATTCGCCGGACAGATTCCAAGATTACTATTATTCTTGCATTCGCAAGCAGTTCACCAGGCCCTCCAGCACTGCCGGAAGATGCTGAGTTACCCGCCCCATATTTAGTGAACGTACCGTGTTCGGCCGCGTTGACTTTGACATCGCTCAAGTTAAAATCGTCGCTGTGGCCAACTCTATATACTCCACCACGGAAGGGAGAGCTAGAAGACTGGTCAAGAAGCAAAGTCAAATGGGCATTTGAAGCAATGAGACGAGTGGTACGTGAAGCTGGGCAAGCGCATGAACAAGGCGAAGTGAGTTGTCATCCTCGTAACGTCTCTGTAATAGAGCTCACGTCGCGTCAGTTTCCTATCGCCGTGTATGTGCCCATACCGTACGATGAAGAAACTCGGGTTGTGAGCCAGATCTCAAGACCTTTCATGGCTCACGATACGCGGAAGTCGTCTGGGCATCCACTCCGCCATTCTGTCCTCAACCTCATCAGAGCTGTTGCGGATTACCGCACCTCTTCCACTCCAGTCAACCAAACTCCGCCAGACGCAGGACTTGACTCGGACTCTGGTCTAACCGACTCTGCGCCCCACAACGGCGCACACTATCTGCTCACGTCGCTTACACTGTTTATAACGCACGAGCCATGCATAATGTGCAGCATGGCCCTATTGCATTCACGCGCGAAGGAGATATTCTACCTCGTGCCGATGGCGGGAACCGGCGGTTGTGGGGGCGCTGCTTGCGTGCCGATGTTACAGGGAGTGAATCATCGGTTCGGTATTGGTAGATGGAAGGTCACAGGGGAGTGGGTAGAGAAATACAACTTAGTGATCGACCAAGCCGTTGACATATAGGTTACCTTCCCTTTCAATTCATTGCATGCCCTGTTCTGCATCGCCATTTCGGAACGGGTTTGTCTCATCGAGACGTGGGGCGAAATTCCCCATTGCTGCTACCGTCCCTTCGCATGGGAGAGGCACTAGTAACATATCTGGTGATGCGCATCCCCGTCCGGATAATCTGTAACCTCACTCGAGCAATGGGGATCAGGACAAGCTATCTCCACATCCGTGGATCCAATCATTCGGCGATGTGACTCGCTGTTTCGCCGTAGAGGCAGCAGAGATCCTGACGATCAGCAACAGGTTGGCCGAAACGAAGTTACCAAATGACGAGGAAAAACAAGCACCTAGCCTGCATTGGAGGTGCTGATAATTCTTTTATTAAACAACAGCCAAATTCCAATGACAGTTGGAGATCGACGAAGACCAATTGCTAACTTGGATCTAAACCACGGGAGAAGCAAAGAGCATGCTCTCCGAAATAAAGAACGTCACTGAGCATCTGACTCAAGCAGCTGTGAGTGTTGATTCAGTGGTAATACGACAGTAATCTGGGGAGATACAGTCCACACTGCAAGCGAGAAGGTCCATTCATTCCGTTACTCCCAGATGCTGCATAAAGCCACTGTACGTGATGCTCGCCTCTCTCGCCTCTAGCGTGGTCTCAAGACTTCGGACGAACGAATCGATTTCGTCAACCCCGTCCCACACGGTGGCGCTGTGAAGCTCAGCACGCAAATTCCAAATTTCCGGTGTGTACGATACCAAGTTAGCAAAATAATCACGAAGATTGGATACCCACCCATGAATGAGTTGCTTGTAGAGTGGGTGAGCGTATCTGCACACAGCGTCGAATTTATCACTGGATTGCAAGAGCTGGGTCTTGGAGATGCGGATGGACTGGCGCTTGGGGCTCTCCCATTCCCCGATGTCACCACACTTGTTGGTCTCTGGATCAAATCCGGTGCAAAACCAGACTAGGACCCAGAAAAAGGATTCTAGATCATACCGGTACCGGTGTCGAGGCGCCGATGAGGTTTCCGACAGTAGTTCGATAGCCATGAATGGAGTTGTTCCCACTGGAATCTGCAGCTGTATATCAACATCCACTTTGGTTTCGGAGGCCTCGTAGCCGTCATTGTCATCATCGAGAATCTCGACATCAGATGTATTTCCGCAATTTTCGGCCGGTTTCTGCAAGTTAACCTCCTTCAGGTATACTTTGAGATCTTCCTCGTAGGAATCGCCGGAAGGTTTGTGCACAGCCAGATCCCAATCGCATAGGACACCGCTGACTTGACCATTCTCACGGGAGAACATGACATTGTCCATGCTGATATCACGATGGAGCACCTTCGATGTCTCCCAGACCCAATGATGTGCTACGACAAGAGGTCAGCAGATACAGAGGATTCGTCAAACTTTGCTCACCTCGCACAACGTCGACGAAAACAGTCTTGAACTCGTCCACACACTCGATGCATTGCAGCCGCTCGTATTTTTTCATAATCTGCATGCGAAAGACAGGGCTATTCGAGCTCTTCCAAATGGGCGGGCCATGTATGAAGATTCTCGGGAGGTTTAGCTCCTTTAAGGAACGATTAACGGAGCACTTAAGCTCCACGACATGCTTCAAAAAGTCGGGCTTTTGGCGGCGGAGACCCCTCGTAAGCATTCTGATGAGACGGTGTTCCGACGAAACCGCTCCGAAAGGCCAAGCAGCCTTCACGACCAGTTCATCACGACCAAATTTTTGGGCAGCAGTGCCGATGGCCATGATAGGAAGAACAGCTGTTCCTTTGCAAAGTATTCCCGATTGCATGCTGAGCTTCCGACAGATGTCGACGTTGAAGACTAGCTGCTCAAGGGCCCTATTGTCGATGTCTCGAGCATGTCCGTCAGGCACCACTATGGTCGCACCGTGCCAAGCTTGGAAAGTCCTGGAAGGAAACTCTAGATAGGGTGAGACTCCCAATGTCGACAGGTCGGCGGAACCCAATGCAGCGATGACGAGGAGAAGAAGATGAGGCTGTTGGAGGAAGTTGAAGGGGGAAGAATACACGAGACCCATACGGTCCGCGTACCACAGCGTGACATCTAAACCATCGACAGTAAAGCCCGATGTGTATGAGCGTATATTATGAGACATCATGAGCCAGTTATACCACGCCGACTTCCAATCTTCGTCGTTCACCCTAGGAGGCTTCCGTTTGTTTCGCACCTTCGTAAGGTCAGGAGCGATGGTTGGAACGTCGGTATGGAAGGAGAAACGATGGAAGTAATCATCTATAGCACGATACTGGCGGGTTTGTGCCAGAGATGCAGATTGCCGGCGTAGGCCAGGCTTCCTGCTGGATGTCATGGATGTCTACAGAGTTGTCAGATATTAACACGACACAGTTTACTAGACGAGCTCACCTCTTGAAATGTCGTCAAATCGATCTCGATGTCACCGCCAGGCTGGAACATTATCGCGGACGTTGACGTGACTTCTACGGACGCTAGGGTCCACGTCCATCCCAAAAGCGAGCGCTCCGCCGCATTGACCGTAGTTAATGAGATATGCGGCGTCATGACGTGGCGTGAGATGTTCTTTACGTCGAGAAAATGGGCTGGAATCATGCGTGTGTCATCTGTGGCGTATACTTGCCGGAGCAAAGATTCCAATATGGCCTTCAAATTGGCATAGTTATCTTCTGGGAGTGCTGTCCGCCCACAGTACGCGGAAAGTAAGTCAAAGGGTAAAATGTATGGTTGGGTACCATCGTGCACGGGTATTTGACTTGAAGAAAACTTCCAGACCGCGCTAATAAAGTTTATGACGGGAACATCGCGCTGGATGTGACCAGAGAGGTCCTCGCGCAGCCTTTTGTCCTGAGCTTTATATTTGGCTGTTGGAGGCAGACTGTTGAAGATAGCTCGGTCGCCAGAGTCTATCCTTTATTCGTCAGTTTGGGGCTCGTTATAAACAGACCGCATGATCACTTACAGGAGGATGTCTGAGGTGGCGTGTCGAGCTGACTACACATGAATAACTCGCCATCGCTCATATCGTCTCCGTCGGACTCGGACTCGTCATCCAGGAGCTCCAGGTCGAGTTCCATATCGGCGTGAGACATGATTGTGGCGGATACTTTGCCGCGTGGTGGGAGAGAATAAGTGTGGCAGAGAGAAGGAGAATTCATACTCAGCCAAACTTATACGGAGCGGGCCACTGGCCTTGTGCAGTGGAAATGCGCCACCCCACGTGATCGTTTCTTGTTTCGATGCTTCCTTTGTATTCTGGTTGTAACAACTGCCTATCGCGATGTACAACTGATACATCTCCCAAAAAAGTGCTTGTAATTACGGTGGCCATGGCGATGCGCGATTGCATCCTGCTATCGCACCGAGACGTGGCATATCGGTCATCTCTCAGAATCTGTCCGACGAATTAGAAGACAATGGATGGTAAAGGCTACGGTACCCACGTGTTATTCAATGTCTCATCAGTGACACGTGAGCGCAACACATTGCATCGCTGAAAAACGCAAACAGCTAACACGCACCAGCAATTTAAGTCATCTCCATGCAAATACGACTCGAGTACACAATGCTTTCTTCAGAGATATACGGTACTCCGAGCTGGTCCGATTTGAGGCTGAGGATGATGACGCATAGCGCCTCACCAAGGTCCTGCGTCAGTGCTGCATTTTTCTCGATAGCTGGTGCTGTGGGAGGCGGTGATACGAGCCGTCGATGTCTCGTGAAAGACCTAGACTCTCCACGCCTAAAAACCCGCTTGGTCATAGCACACACCGTGTCAGTAAGAGTACAGATAACGACGCTTTTTCGGAGGAAGTAACTCACTACCCACTACTCAGGCTGTCATGTAGTGCAGCAATAAGCCTGCGTCATGTGCACAGTCATGCATAGTCAATATAACCTGTACCATTGCTAGTACAACGAGAGAAGGAGCTCACCCTCGCGTGCGAACCGCGGAGCTGCAAGATCCGGCTGTAGTGACTGGCTTACACAGCAGAATCTCAGTGATACTATGTGGCAGCAGCTGGTAACTCCGGTTTATTTTGGCCTATTCGTAGTATGGTAACTTCGATGCCTCTGCATAGATGACGAGGAAAACATACTCGATGACACCATGAATGCGTGCGATAGCCATAGGCCTCGCGTTAGCTCGTAGACCGAGACAAAAAATTCTAGTGCTATGACCAAAAACTTACACGACTCCTTGCACTCGTCGCCGTCACTTCGACCGTATCCGCACTCGCCTGTGCATCCCTGCGACCGCTGAACGAGATCTAATCCGCAGGAAGGTATCAAAGCCGAGCCAAAGGAAGAGCAAATACACAAATGGCGTAGCATATGCGCCGGGCTAGTGTTTGTCTGCCTTGTGATATTCGTCTCCTGCCTTTAGCGCGTGACACCCCTCACAAGTCCACTGGCAAAGGTGGAGCCGTAGTACTGCGAGTCGACTAGGGAGTCTAGAATGGAGACACCAGGGGAAGCGCTATCGCCACGCGTAGAGGACGCACAGCGGCAATAGTTGTGGGACGGCAACCAGCAGGTAGCGGTTTGATCATCATGCAAGACCTGCTTCATGCCAGTTAGAGAGTTGGAACATCAAAGAAGGTCAGTAACGCACGACGTCGACGGTCTGACCATTCTGCAGAAGTCCAAGGGGCAAACGATTTATCTCCGTGCAGACCTCTTGTCTGCTCGCCGTGTCCGGAATCTGTAACGTAGCGAAGGTAGAGATGGAGGAGGACATTTCCAGGAACTTACGTTAAAAAAGGGCGAGTCATTCGCCTGCACAAGCCAGTGAATCACTCCGGTCTGAAGCTGGGATCGTAAGTACATACACACACAAGCGAAGACTAGTACCATGTTCTTCTTGATGTAGTCATCGGTCACCACTGCTACGTCGTCCAGGTTATACCCAGAGTCCTCTGCAGAGGCACCATTAGTAGTATATGTGAGAAGAAGCCGTCACACAGGCTTACCGTAGAGGAAAACATGAGACGTTGTGCGCATCGTTGTATCCCTGGAGCTCAGCCGACCGGCTGACGTAGATGTTTCAAATCTGCGAAGTCACCAGCCTTAAAATGAAATGCTGGGGAAGATTCGCTCCTGCGTCATTTGCTTCCCCATATGTTGCGAGTACTGGAAATGCGGCTGGTGTTTCTGGTGGTTCTGTTACTCAGACGTGGGTCCATGACTCTAATTCTTCGTTGGCGGGAGGAACAAGCTCAACCGTAATGTCAAACGTGTATTTGTAGCGCATCAACGTACGTGTATACCGGGCGGTACATTGTGTACCCGCCTCTTGAATGGCAGAGGTGGTGGTCAGGTATAGCCAGGAACAAGATAACCATGTAATTTTGCTCCATCGAGAAAATTAGTGCGACGAGCACACCTGCTGAAATATTCTTAGGAAGGTCTAGGTCCATATGAGGGCCAGGTTGTACCCGCGAGATTGCATGACGGGTTCTGGCATGCTGCTGTTCACCATCAGCAAAATGGAGGTATTCCCTGCGTTCTAAACAGAACTCACGGTGCTGCAGGGCTATCCCATGACCCCGCCTGCCGGAGCGGTAACACCGATCAGTTAATTTTCCGATCAAACTAAGTTATAGATGAACAAGTGCAGGAACCTAAGCCGTCAGAGAGATGACCATTGTAATGTATGGTGCGTCGACTGCGCGGTCCATATTCCCGTACTCTGGCTGCTGAGACTGCGGTGCCGAGTGCACTGGTCCGGCCGTGGCAACGGAAGGGACCGAGTCTGCGGCCCCCGTTGCAACCTCCGTAGAAACAACAAACTCGGGAACTGCAAGAAATTGGTCGTACAGGGAGTGACAACGCTGGCGGTAGAGTGACTGGGTTGAGGTCCGAGGGTTGCTGTTGGCGTCGATTGGCTCAGCGGACGATGAGCGCCTGAACTATACAAACATAACTAAAATGGGCCGAGGAAGATAAGATAAGATCAAATAGTGCGCTGTGAGCGCACCACCGCGTTGACAGTCCGCTGAGGAAAGGAGGGGTAGGACCATGCGCCCTCTATATCACAGGTAAAGGTATTTCCCAAGTCTGCACCTATGCAGAGCGTTAAGGAGCGCGGGTCGGAATGGAGCGGAAAGTGGATATTCAACCGATAACGTGTATGTCGCCAGGAAGAAACTAAGCGGTGAGGGCCAGTGCTCAGACATTGCCTCTAAGCAGAGTATTCGCATGGTCGAAGGTGAGTTTCACACATACCCCTCGAGTCAGGTACATAGTCTTTCGTGCAAATTTTTTCCAGAGTGATTCCATGAACCCTCTCCTGGTAACGCGCCGCAAATTCATTGCATCGTTTGACCCTTCACGACCACTGGCGCCATACACGATAATGTTCGGAAGTGCCCATGTTACCATAGCTCCTTTATGAGATCTGGTTGACCGTAAACAGGGTGGGACCAATTATTTCGCCGGAGAACAATGTCGTCTTTCGTTGTCAAGCCATGGCTGTGGCGGAAGCCGTTGTACTGGGCTCCATCAAGTTCTAGTTCACTCACTGATATCGATGTCAAAATTTTATCTCTAACGTCGCGGCCATTCCGACCCAGAAGATTGGGAATTGCAGATCTGACTTCCTTCATTGTACACATCCTTGTTTTGAAGTTTTCTTGCTTCCAGGTCGTGGCCGGCGCCCATCAGACGCCACGGCGGAGTGAAGAACTCGCATTCAATAAGAAAATTCGATTTTACCAAGCCTAAATTGCTCTTCTGCAAGTTACCGCGCCAGGCTCCCCGCCACCCATCGCAGCCTCTTTGAATAATTGTCCTTTCTTCATATCCGCAATGTACTATCTGAACAACGGAGTTCCTCCCTATTCTGAAAGTTTTGCGACATCACGGGCTTGCGGCCACGGTTCAACCGTTGCATTGAACTCGTTCACGGCCGGGCATGTCATTCACCCGCGCCAACATGTTGAAGATGCCCGACATGTCCACGGAGCATTTAGCAATGGCCACCCGCCAATTTCAAACGACATCACTTCCAGTCGTCGTCTACCTCCACTCACCAACTCATACGATGTACGTGCTAGGGATGAATCGCAGTATTTCCTACCCGGCCTCACGCCAACGTCTCGCCACTCCCCGTTGCACCAGGAGGACGCTAGCATGGACTCCCAAATAAACCCATACAGCCACCATGTGTCTTCGTCTCTGCTAACATTGCCGACCCGTCAAGTCGTAGGTTTTCTCCTTCCATTCTACTCAGCCCATCCTAACTGGCTACCAGGAACCCAGTATCAAGTACGGCGGCAATGATGCATCTACACAGGATATCAACGGGATGTATGGGACGGATTGGAGCTACGATACTGTTGCCAGATACCAAGCCATCCAGTCCGGGGGCCACAATGACAATCCGAGAGCTGGTGGCACAGCTTTCGTCCTTCGTCGAGAGCACAACCACCCGGTCCACATACCGTCTCCAGGCAAGGTAGAGGACAGTTACCCTCGCTACATAAGGTGGCCACATCATCCTACTGGCGAGTGTCTACTTCGCAAGGCTGTGTGCTCGAGTACGAGCGGCGATGGAGAACCGGGTAGTCTCTCTCCCGTGTCCTACCCGGCCAACATGCCTCAGGTACCAGGTTCGCCCAATATCTGTCATCCTACCATACATCTCCCACCTCCTGTCCCTGTGCACACTCAACCAGCATCGAAGACGGCCGCTCACAACCCAGCACGGTTGCCACCTCCACGAGATGGCCCTTTACCGACACCACCCGTGGCCCCGGCCGGCGAGATTAACCTTGTCGATTCACTCGAAACGCTGCGTGCAGACGTTGGTCTCACCCCAGATCAGCCGCTTAACCTGCTTTCTCTCCCCGACCGCACCGACGATTGTAAGCCGGAGTACAGCTAACATATCCTTATCAAATTGGCAATTCTCGGAAGTCGGCGGCAGCGTCTTAGCCTTCAGGAGATTTATAAGGCGCTGAGGGAGCGGTTTAAATGGTACAAAGAACACAAGGATGACAAGACGTGGCAGGTACGTAGCCGTGGTACTGCCCTGGGACGTGTTCTAATCTATAGGTGCAGGGCTCGATTCGTCACCAGTTGTCGTTGAGAGACTGTTTTGTGGCTGTCCGGAAGCCTCTGCGCGATCCTGGACACGGCTTTGAGTGGATCGTCGACTACTCCCGGGGAGATGGAATTAGGAGGGGCAGGAAAAGAAAGTCGGACAATACTGAGCGGGTGGAGGGCACCCATAAAGAAGCATCTGCTTCTCCGAAAAAAGGAGGCTTCTCCCGCGGCGAAGATCCTTACCCTCCTCCCTTGGTCGCCGGCTCACGCCCTATCCAGAATCGTGTCTCGTCAATTCAATTCCAGGATCTCCAGATTGACCCGGCCTTGAGAAACACTCACGGGAATAAGCGTCGACGTCTCTAACTGACCTAGCCGGTCGGTACGGCGCTGTGCCTATAAGCGCGAGACGCAAGATCGCACCTCCAGGCTGCAGAATCACTCGACACATTGTGTGGCATTGTTGTATCGTTCCCGTCTCCCCCTCTCCCCAATATCGCTTTCAATCGCTCTGCTACGTTTCCTCAGTCGGCCGTTCTCAATTCAAGATTGTCGTATCGATGAGCGTTTCAATTCGTCGGAGTGGACGCATTGTCTCTAGCTATCGCTGGCCATCCTAATTCCTTTCCAGGCACAGCGGCCCGCATGCAAGAACTGAAGAAAAAGCCGCGAATTTACTCACAAGTCGTCGTGTAGTATTTCACCATTCACATGCCTCCTCACCAGATCGCTTTAAGGCACATTGTATCTCCCTTTCCATTTGCTCTTGAAGTCGTATTGCTTTCCAGTCGCTATCCACTTTTCAGTCGCTCTCCTAATACTCTGCTTTCCAATCGCATTCCGAGTACCCATACACCTTCAGCCATCAATCGTCGGTCCCATGGTTCCGTTGTCAAGCCATGCTCGGGACCCTCAAAATCACTTATGTTGCGTACACTCCTGTTCCTGCTCTACCTTGTCGTCGTATACTTTTCAATTTGCTTTTTCCCCCTGTTGTCTCTCTCATCGCGCTAATCTCCTTTACCTTCCTCGAACTGCTCTGATGCCCTGTTTTTTACTTGCTTTGTAGTGCCATGTTTCCTAGAGTAGTGTCCAGCTACAAAAATGAGATCAGAGGACAGGACAGCCATTCTTTTGAGTCCTGCTGCTATTCACCCACCCTGTCATGGAATCCAATCCCAAACTACTCAGTCACTGCTGTACCGGTGATTTACTCCCAAACATATGCAATATTATGGTGATACTATGATACAAATACAGGATATTTGGCGCAATATGTAAGGTAAGGTCAAGATTTAAAGGCTACAGCTATGGGAGGATTAAGCTCAACAGACAGCGAGATTATGTTGTAACTAGCAAGAACTGTTCACGTCATTCACGTCCGTGATCGCATTAAGTGTCGCATCAAGCTGGAAGTCGAACAGGAGGGAAGCAAAAGAAAGCACGATGCTCAGGCAGTCATCATCGAAAGCAGTCCTTAGCCGAGGCCTTCTTGACCTCGGCATGAGATACTGACGAGCGCACCCCGGAGCCCTGTGTGGATGTCCCCAAACTTGATATGTTTCCTCCGCGGGCGCGATAGTTCCCGCTCTCGCCTTCGCAACTCACTACCTGACCGCGCGAGGCGAGACCGGGTCCAGTTGTCATAATATTCTTCGTCTTCGTCTTCGTCGGCTTCCGTCGTGTCCATTGAATCAACACCAGGAGAGTTATCGGGGGATCTGCGCTGTAGGACAAGCCCTGTGAGCTTTCCCCCATATATGCAGCCCGTATCGAGACCTATAGTCCATCGCTTGACGTCGAGGCCCCGCGAAGCAGCGTGGCCATATACAACCGTCGACGGATGACATGGAAGAGCGCCTCTGGAAGCAACGCTGAGTGCATCTGAATAAGCGGCGTGCCTGATTCGGGGTGTAACCTCGGTCCTTGAGAGATCATCGTCGAAGCCGACGCAACGACCCATCTGATCATTCCAGAGCTCGGTCCACGGCGTACCTTTGTCACCATCTCTGTGACACAAGTTAGTAACTGGTCAGAGGTTAACGCTCTGCAATAAGTCTCTCACCGGGTAACCTGTCCATCTTCTATGCTGCGCATATTCATCAGCACCCATGGGTCTCGGTTACCCCTAATGTCCGTCAGGAGGGCCTTCTCCTGCAATGTTCTCAGTTTCTCTACTGACACATTATCGCCCGCGCTGAAAATCTGCTGGGTGTCATCGAGCTGTCCCTTGACTTCAGGTTTGTGTGCAAGAGGCTGACGCTCGTCCGTCGGAGGCCGGCGAGGATCAAAGGGGAGTATGCCCGCATGGACGACGAACATATGTGCCGAGGGAAGATGCAAGACTGACGGCGAGGAATACAGCAACTCGGCCTGCGTTTGCGTCATATCTCTACCGCCTATACGTCATTGTCACATCATGAGACTCACACCAGGACACACCTTGCAAGCCAATAGTGTTCCGAAAAGATGCTCCATTGGTTCTTCGTGGGCCCGCTTCCTGAGTAAGGTATACGCCGCCACCACTTCGCGCGCCAAGTTCCAGCGGCGCGCCTGCGTGCCTTCTCCGCCCATTCGTCGGCGTCTACGTCGTTCCTCCTCTCACCTTCCCACTCTGCCTCGATCGTGGTCAGGAAGTCAGCACCCGTGCGGTGCCCGATCTTCAAAGGTTCAAACCATTCCCTCCAAGCGCGCCATTGCACAACCATGTGGTCATGGTTCCCACGCACGGCGTATACGCGCCCGAGGCTTTGAATGAGGAAATCGAGTATGGCTAGTGAGCCTTCGGGTGTTGACTTGGCGAGGAAGTCACCTGCTAAAATGACGGTGTCCGTTTGTGGAGAGTATGACATCGCAGAAAGTAGATGACTGGTATTTAGCGTCAGCCATCGCATCAAAGATCAGCATCGACGACCAAAGGAATCGGAGCGAGATACGGCAACCCAGAGAATTTCTCTGAATGGAGGTCAAGCCTAGTAGCATGGCGGATCGTCATACGCGTACCGCAAGCCACGTCCCTTTGTCATCGGGAAAGACGCCCGGCCCGCAGCAGTCGTAATCTCGCAGGACTTGTCAGGAATAAAACAGTACTCACTGAAAGGACTTGTTCATGCCATGAATGTCGCCAATAATAATGACACGCCCGTTTGGGTCATCTATGCCATAATCTATATCATTCCAATTTGAAATCAGCACATCGATACCCACCCAATTTGAGCTCGCTCAAAGAAAGTGTTCGTGGACGACGGTATTTGCTGAAATCGGGAAAGTCTGTAAAGAGTGTCAATTAACGATACCCTCCACATGAGCTTACGCACTATATGTCCTCTTTCCTTCGACTTCGGGTATAGGGTCGGGAGTAAACTCCGCATGCAGGCCAAGTATGAATACTACGAACAAAGACAAGGAAAAGGCGAAAGCAATAGGACGAAAAGAGGTCATGTCATAGATGCTACGGGAGCAGGGAGTGGCAGGAGGAGAGGGGAGTGGGCATGACAAAGTTTCCGTTGTGTCACGACAAAGTTATGCGGGCGCCTAGTGGATTACAGAACCTACCAAATTTGGGCGGCTTTCGTTACTTTCCCACGCCGTTCCTTCAACTGAACTTTCAGGTTCCTCTTCTCTTGCACTTCCGTCTCAGGATGCCACTGTGAAGGTGTCCGGAAAATATGTTCTCATCGTAGGACACTGCTCATTTTCGGCCAAGAAATTTAAGGTATATCCCAACCCTCCAGCCACGCTCGAAATTCACGTGCTCACGCAAAGTATCCGAGTCGCAGACGAGATTGCGACGCAGACTCGATATTCGTTTCATTCCGAGATCCCAATCGGAATAGTTTTACTGACAGAAATAGACTTCATGAGTGATCTTCTGACGATGAGCGAGACGGTCTCTGCATTCTTCTACGGAACGCTGCTGCACCCTTCCATCCTCCGACGCGTTATCGGACATGATGGTGCGCAGCTTGAAATCTGCCCGGCTTTACTGCTGGTGAGTACCATCATGCAGTTCTCCGACCCCAGTTGGACATCCGGTTCAACACATGTGTCGATTTATCGCTCGATGTTATTCTTCACACCGTAGCATTCACGAGATGGTAGTCTCTACCCTCGAAAATTAATCTGCTTTATCACAACTTACACTCACTCACTTTTTCCAGGAACACACCCGTCATAAAATCAAAGTAAACGTCACTAAAATCGCCACCGTCTTGGACACTAACGCCATCCTCATTCCGGTAGTATGCCGACTACCCCGGCGTAATTCCTTACACCAAGAGTCGAACGCTCTTTAGCAGGGAACTTACCCCAGAAGAGCGCACAGTAAGGGGAACGGTCGTTACCGGACTAAAGCTTCATGATATCGATCTGCTGGATATATTCGAAGGAAGAGTACGCCGTGCGTGCATATGCGCTAGAGCAGCTCCCACTGATGCCGTGGTCTCAACCCAGGAATACACGCGCCAAAGTATCTCAGTGCATCCTCTCGGCTCATTCACCTCGCTCGAGTCCGCCGCCGCGTATTCCGCCGTGCCCATGACCTCTCCATTGCTCCCGCCGCTGGACGCACTCCCTGGGCCGCTCTCCGCGCAGACATACATCTGGGCGCGTCCGCTGACTGAGCTCACACCCGAGCTCTGGGAGTACGCCGACTTCGTTCGCGACAATGCATGGAAGTGGGTCGGGGATGGCAGCCGCAACAACGCGGACTACGCCGAAGTTGATCGCCGGCGGGCGATGAATGGGAACATCGTGAGCACGGAGACCGTGAGCACCGACTCAGAGGATCACAGAAAGACAGTGATGGAAACCTTCGACGAAGGGACCGTTCAGGCTTGACTACCCTCGGCTGATATACATTCGTAGAATTAGACTTCAGACTCAATGCGACAGGCCGCTTGGAATGAATGTGATCGTACTGTTGATTTTCGCGGGATCCAGCGATCAAAAGTTTAAAGGAAGGGTGCAGAACCAGCGCAGAAAGGTAGAGGACGTTGAAACCCGGGTAAGCATTCAGACAAGGACTCTCGTTCGACGATTGGTGTAAAGAGTCGGCACTCATCGTATATTTCCACGAGAGCCAGGTAAGTCAAGTAGGTAGTACAAATGCAGGTGGTACAAATGCAGTAGTACAAATGCGGGTAAGTGTCGGTACATTGTGTGTGAGTTGTGACGACCGTTAGTATCAGCTACAGATAAGTTGCACAATTAGGTATCGGACCTGACAGGGTATGAGGGACTATAGATCGCAAACGAAGCTGATAATTTAATATTAAACACCCCATGCGGAGGGGGGCCGACATTAGGGAAGGCCCGGTGGAAGCGAGTTGGTGGAAATGCCGCCGATACTTCGCAGGGTGGTATTGCAGCAGATGGCTGAACGACCGCTTCAATATCAGGTGCGGGCTAAAAGTCGTAGTAAGTACTCACCGGAAGGATTGCGCGGTCGACCGTTCCCGCGAGGTCTGCTGGAGAGTGTCGCATTGTACGTGCAATGCCTTCTCGATAACTACTGCAGGCGAGCTCCTGCATGTCCAGAAAATTCCATGGTTTGGGCCATGAGCACGAGAGCAAGGACGAGAGACGACTCCTTGACAATCTAGGAATGTATGCAATTCTCTTTGGATGGCACCTACGGATCACGACGTAAATGAAGGTCGTCCGCGCGCGTTGTCCCGAACATGCACCACGAATGCACTGTTCAAATTGCAACCACCCTACAAATCACCCGATAGTGCAACAGCCGGGTGTGTTTAGTAGCGGGACTGCGTTGAATGCTTCGGACGGACAATGGAGGATGGAAATTGCAGAGTGCGTGGAGTGGCTGCATCGGTTCTGCAGACTGACTTCAGGCTTGCTGACCATCGGCTCACAAGGGTTCCTTTTCTATGTTGTGCGCTGTGCCACGCAGGACAAGCTCGGGGTACTCCCTCAGCTGTGGTAGAGGGATCATCGACAGCGGGGGAAGGCGACAACGCGCGGTATAGACCTGCACCAAACTGTCAAACACTGAGAAGGACTCTGGCGGTTGGTCCAGCGACACCGATACCGACGGTAAGACCGAGGACGTCTCCTCTTCGTCGAACGCCGTGTGGTCATCGGCGAACGCCGTGTCCTCGTCGAACGCCGTGTTCCCGTCGTCAGACACCGTGACATCCGGCGCAAAGTCTAACGGCGTGTCGATCTGCGCCTGTTGGGCATCCGCGCTGTCCTCCTCGTCGCCTTCGTCGTCAGTGCTGTCCTCTGAACCCTTTTCATCCTCGGTGCTGTCTTCTGTGCTGCTTTCATCCTCTGTCGTTTCGTCGTCGTCGCTGCTCTCATACGGAGCATCCTTCTCGCCGCCTTCGTTCTTGGTGTCGACCGGGTAGTCGTCTTGAGCTTCCCACCATTGATGGCTGCAGACCTGCGGCGAAGAAGATCCCGCCGCAGCCTCGCTCGCAGCCTCGTGACACAAAGAGGCCGCACCAAATATATCGAGCCTTACGTGACGAAAATGGTTGGTCATCCGGGTATGATTTTGGGTGAAACGACGTACATGATATTTGCCCGAGCCTGGCAAGCTTGCTTCCAAAGCGGGGTCGAAAATTCGAATCCACATCGGGGCTGTCGGGGGCGTGGACGTACCACCTGGGGTGCCACTAGCTCTGGAGGTGTCGATTCCTCACACGCATCCAGAAAGAACTGTTCCACCTCGTCAGGCATAGAACCGAGGAGGCACGGGTCCACAGGTGTTTCTTCAAGGAGGTCGTTTGGTAAAGAGCTCCTAGACTCCAAAAGTATCGCGCGTACTTCCGGGACCTTGAGGAACGACTGTATCCAGTCCTCGAGCTCCTCGCCCTCATCAGATATCCCGAGATTGACATGGTCTGAAGGTAAGACATTAGAGAACGTCACGAGATAAATCAGTCAACATACTGTCTGCCACGCCCGCTGATCGCTCCGCACTCTCCTCCTGTGGGTGCATGTTTTCAGCCATTTGGGTGGCGTCTTCTGTTGATGCCCACGCGTCTTTCGAACTTCCGCTGCTGGACGGGAGTGCCCCAAAGCGAGGCAGTAGGTCTGTGGCCACAGGTGACAATGAGTGACGTGTGAGGTTGACAAGTGTTGGTGAAAAGCTGTACCTTGAACGTCCGGCTCGACCTTTGGTCTCTTCTGGACGCCCTGCTCGTCTTCCCAATCTTCGTCCGACACGACCTTCCGCTTGCTCCCAGCAACGGCTCGTGTACCATATCTGGGGGACACAGTGGACGCTGTGGCCACACCAGATGAGCGCGGAGTGGATGCGACGCGTAGAGACGAGGGGGTCGCGGGGTTGTATTCGGCGTAAGAACTGGATCCTGAGTGTACGGGAAGTAGTATGGCCATTTTGAACGTAATTGGATACGACGAGGAATAATTTCTGAGCAGGTTCCTCTTTCTGGTGTTGTTGTAGTCGAAGGCAATGTCAAGGAGATCAGGTATTGATTTGGGGGAGTGAGATAATGGAGGTGGACACCACGAGATGTACAGGAAGGGTGATACGAGATGATAGTAGTGGTGAAAGTTGAAAAGCGGTTGAACTGAAGAGTTGTGGCCATTTTGTTCTCCACGCACATGTCACGTGCCATGCAACCGCCACCCTGAGCGACAGAAACTGTCAAACTGTCAACAAGGATCACCTGCCCGCCGATCAGGAAACAGTTTACCAAGTGGACCAACAGCTGAGATGCAGCTTCCAATTCGACTCCTGCAAGACCAGTTTTTGCAGTAAACAAACACCGGTGCGTCTTTCTGCCTGAAGGCTGGATTTTCGTGGGGAGTCATGTCAGATGCTGCAACACCGCTCTGTAACGTGCCTGCAGTGATGTGTATCGTCTAATGATGCTCACCGATTGCGAGGTTCTTTGGGCCCAAACTGACTTATAGCGGTCAAAGTCCCCGGCTTGCTTAGGAGACAAGCCACCATTCAATTTGCTGACCTTTTCCGATACAGGGAGACCTACCAAGGACACAGCTGATCACGCAGCTGACTGTCGCCGAGTCATTGCCAGGCCTTTGCATGTCTACCAATTCTCTTCGATTCGAAAGTGATTAGCAGGAATTCGTGTAACGCCACATTCGGCATGTGTCGGCCCTCGGGGCCCTGACATTTATCGGGTAATCTACCAATGAACAGAAGTTAGGAATCAAATCTTGAATAAATCATTGACTACGCAAGCGTTCAATCATAGAGATATAACAGCGAATACGCACTACATCTTGAACCTAGAAATACTGCTTTGCGCGGAGGGAACAGAAGTCGAATAACTTGACTCCCCAAAACCTAGATATTCGAATCAACATGCTACAAAGCCGAACAACGCCTTTTTACGAGACGCTGACATCACATAAATGTCAAGCGGTGACTCGGCCGTCTCGTAGACGAATATAAACCTGACAAAAAGGCTGTCAATGAACTCGGATGGGCGCGGTTTGGCAGCAAACTTACGGATGGCGATCCGCCACCATTCAGATCGCAAAAATCTACTCTCCTAATACCACGTCCGCATAACAAGGAGTGTGCACGATTCGTGTTCGACCATGCACCGAGCTTCTGCGACCTTCGTCGGGGCGTCCACTACTCGTATGTCCCGCAGGTTGGGGAACAGGTCGTACAGGAAGGCTGCCACCCTGACCGGGTGACCGACATTAGAAAAACCAGGACCCATCGACGTTATCTGGCGGTTTGAGTACCGGCCGCCGGATCTTCGTGCGGCGGAGATGTCCACACTCAGTGTGTTGACAGCGATGTCCAACTGGCGGAGGTGCGGATAATATTTGACGAGATGAACCAATCCATCAAGCGTGATCAAGGGTGGTCGGGTTTACGCCAACCGGGAAGGAAGCCAAACTGCGACCCTGTATTAAGAACAGCTTCTGAAGGTTCGGCCAAGCTTTCGCCAGTGTCTCGAGTCCCGCGTCGTCCACTACAACTCTGCACTCCGTGTCAATACACAGGCTTCGCAAGTTGGAAATTTTCTGCAGTAGGAACAGGCAACGTAAATCAATCACTTCCTCTGACCCATCGACTCCTACACTGGTTATTACTAACTCCTTGAGCGAGTCATGTGGAATTTGAGCAGGAAGTAATTTGAGGACTGCGTGGAGATTGTCTGTGGTGTTGTCTTCGGACATCTGCGTGTGTAGAACGACCTTCTCAGCGTGGCGAAAACGAGACACCTTCAGGATGGCTGCGCAATGCCGCATCGATTCCGCGGCAAGACTGGGAGTTTTCAAAACCGGAAAAGCGGTCTCAAGAATTGTTGTCGTTGGTAATGGTGACATCAGCGGCTGATTTTCATCTTCATATGTAATGTCCAATTGAATGAGATGAGGTAAGGAAAACAGATGGAGGAATGCCTCGGACGATATGGGCAAGTCCGACTTGTAAATGAACCGTTGAAAGCTTGAGAAGCAGAAGCTCTGGAGGAAACCTGGGGATTCGACGGAGAAGTAGCCGGAACCAATGGAGACGTCCAGATGCAGCGTTTGGAGGCATGGAGCCAGCCCGTGGGCGGACACGACTACGCCTTCTAAATCTGGATCACCTGTCTGCAACGCGAACTTCTGCAACTTTGGACCGAAGAAAAGCTGGCAATACAGGAAGCCTTCCATGCCTACATGCTCATCTGATCAGTCCAAATTAGTAAGGTTTGGTAGAAGGGGCTTTGGCGTCCAATAAAGACTGAGGAATCTGAAAGCGTCCACCGACACCATGACGTCTCGGTCATTCATGAACGACTGAACGCCGTAACTATCAAAGGCCAACATCTTGACGCGACGAGCGTAGAGATCGAAACCCCCCCAGTCGCTTGGAATAAGCGCCTGGTGAAGTACTACGGAAAGATCTAAGTGTGAGCCTGAAGTGGGACGGCAGCCGGGAATGTCAAGTCTCACAAGGGCTCCATTTCTTTCCTCCCACAAGTCCCCAGGCATGCATTTGACGAGGTTGCTCAGACCCACTTGCGAGTGCCACAGAATATTCGCCGCTAGTGTATGAAAGAAGCGCGACGTGCTTGTGAGTGCGGCGAGTGCTGAAAGATCCTCAGCTCTTGAAGCTCGTTCCGGAGACCCTCCCTGGGAGAGTTCGGCAACGATCAAATCAACAACTTTTGCGATGGAAAAACATAGATGCATGGTGGAAGTCAAGAGAAAAAATAGCTCCTAATTTTGCATACATGCACCCGGCCCGGGCGGGTAGATGAAGGTACAGCACGTGACTTATGGTAGCCGGTCTCTAGAAAGTAAGCGCCTCCGACTCGTATCTTCTTGTCACCATCTTCTCCAGCTCGCAAATTAACATGTCAAATCAGGAAGAAAATGGCGTACAGATATCAGTGGAAGAGCTATGGTATCTCAAAGATATAACGTTCAGGTTGTCCTCCGATTCCCCGCCGAAGCAAGTCAAGATCGTTACTCAGAACTTTAACGGGTTAGTGCATGCAGTTGAGACTTGAGAGACGCGTATGTTCATCGTGGTTTAGGCCCTGCTCGTTCATCGCAATATGTGGGTGTACCATTATTATGTTCATGTTCGCCCCAAACCATGCACACAGGCAACATCCTTATCCTCCGTGGACAAATCCAAATCCTGCCTGCAGAACGGACGTCCGTCTCGTACGATTTCCTATCCCATCTTGTTGGAGAATGGCTTCTCGCAGCATGCCAGGACGTTGACATCTCGGCTGCACTGTCCACGATGCCCATCACTCGTAGTACGTCCCTGCTTCCTAGGCAGTTTGGCGTGCTCAAGCTGCCTTCTAGTGTGTTCAATTTCACTCACTGCTTGAACACAAGAGGGTATGGACCTCAACCCGCTTTTCACCAATGTCACATCGTTCCGCCCAGCCGGCGCAGGTGGGGAACTCAAGCTCTTTGAGCAGGCCGGCATTAAGTTGGTGCATGGCTGGCTCGTCGATCCTGCAAGTCCGGAACATCAGGTTCTCGCGAAGACTGAGGATTATGATACTTCAATCAACCTGCTCGTCGAGGCAGACCACCTGACCAAGGGGAAACTGGTCACTACCGAGCATTTCACACCAGCCAGCCCTACCGAGCCCAGCCCGGAGGAAAACCTGAGTCCTGAAGACTTTCAGAAGATAGAAGATGGTGAATATCTTCATTTCCTTTCGCGTACACTTCACAAGACGCGTTCCGCAGCGATTGTCATCCGCAACTTCATCGAGAGCACGCAGTCGCAGTTGACATATTATGGCCTATTTGCTCTGGCGTCTTCCTTGGAACCCGGCTCGCTGGTTGCCCTGTTCCGCAACTCCCACCTCTCTGTGTTGTACAAGGCGCCAGGAGAGGAAGCTGCACTGTACACGCTTGTGACCGACCAGGTGTTCTTGCATGAGGCGTCTGTCGTCTGGGAACGGCTCGAAGATGTTGATGGCGGGTGGTCAACGTTCGTTGATTCCGATTTCGTCCGCTCCAGCCCCGCGGGCGGGGACTATGCTGGCCACACCGGAGAGAGCGCGCTGGCGGCCCTTGAGGCGCAGGCGGCGGGAATGACTATCGAGGATGACGCAGAGTGCGTGCTCCTTCCTTTTCGATGCACATGGACTCATTGTCGCTTCAGTCAGCAACTGGCACGCCAGCTGCAAGCGGAGGAAGACCAGCGGGCGCAGGAGATCTACGAACAGCGTACGGCTGAGCGCAGTCAGCGAGAACGCGAGGCCTTGCGTAGATTGCCTGCGCCTGAACACCGGCAGAAGAAGAAAAAGACAGATTGCGTCGTAATGTAAATGTGTGGGTGTCCTACTGATATGCCCTATTCTTATTTTCTGTATACCGTTATAATTCCGGAAGATTGTCATGTAAATACTGCTTAGTCTCGCGATTGTGTGTTCGTGCAAAGATACCATCATTATGCCCCTGAACCTGCTACAGGCGTTGCAATTCTGGGGTGTGAAGTAAGACACTTATTCTGCCCATAGCTTGCAATAACCGGGTTTTCAGCTGAGCTACAGCTTCGCCTGCAAGCTCCCCTCCTGCCAAGTCTGTGCCCACTCCACGACAGCAGCAACGAGTCTTTCCACCTCCTCCACAGTATTTCCCGCGTGCAGGCACACACGCACGCGCTCCCCTCCCTTTGGCACCGTTGGCCACGTGATAGGACGCGCATTTAAGCCTCGCTCGCGAAGAGCATCGGAAAGTAGGCGCGGGTGAGGCGTCAACAACGGGATGATGGGGCTCTGCAGCCCAGCCAGCGCCGTGGACGTCTCGCTGAAGTGATCGGGTAGCGCGAGCAGCGACGGCGGGATGTTGCTGAGGGACACGCGCAGCGCGGCGAGGAAGTGCGCGCAGAGCGCAAAGAGGCGCATGGAGAGCGCCGTGGCAGATCCATCGACGAGGAGGTCGAGCGAGCAGTCCACGGAGAGTACGCTGGTGTAGCTCAACGAAGTTGTGTAGATCAGTGAGCGCGCGTAATTTAGCAGATAGTCATGGACGAGCGGTGTCGTGAGCATCACAGCTGGAAGGTCTTGTCAGATCGAGGTGAGATGGCGTAAGGGAATACACCTTACCACCTGATCCACCGAGCGCTTTTCCGAACGTGTGCAGTCGCGCAAACACACGCCGCTCAAGCCCGAGCAATGCAACAAAGCCTCGTCCCTCGGGTCCATACACCCCCGTCGCGTGTGCTTCGTCCACTATGACATAGCCGTTTCCCTTGGGTAAGAGTTCTTCCACAGTCTCCACAATCTTCGTTAGAGGTGCGATTGTCCCGTCCATGCTGTATAGCGTCTCGACTGCAACAAATACGCTCTCTGCTCCGGTAACTAGGCCTGGGTGATCGCGCTGCAACTGAAGGAGTACCTCGGAAAGAGAAGTCGGGGAATTGTGCGCGAACGCGACTCGTGAGGACTCCTTGGTGCGAGATGCACGTATGCCGTCGTGGACGGACGCGTGAATGTGCTCGTCGAACACGACCACGTCATCTGGCTGGGGGACGCACGAGAATAATCCCACATTCGCGTCAAATCCTGAATTGAAAAGGAGCGCGCATGGCGCGTCAAAGAAGGTTTGAAGACGCGTCTCGAGCGCAGCGTGTGCCGCGCCATTGACCAGCAAACGCGATCCACCCGAGCCCAAGATCTGCGGTGCACTCTGTAGCTTCCGCAGAAAACGCGCACGGAGATCCTCCGATATCGCTAGAGAGAGGTAATCATTCGTTGAGAAATCAGCGAGCCCGTCGTCAGCGGCAGCGTCCGGTAGCCTGCGACATATTCGTCGCTGTTCCCGAGATTGGAGAGCGGCGTGCAGTTTGGCATCAAGTGACAACATTTTTGGCTGCAGACAACGATGAAGGGTCAGCCTGGGGTTAGCGACGAACCACCGCACCGTGTCGGCTATAGATCGGTGCTAGTTCTGGGGATGCTGACTCGGAGTGCTGAGCATATGGCAATGCACGTCCAAGAATGGCACTCACTATACTCACCTCTAATTTACGTGACATTTCCGACGTATTGTACGTATTATCCTGTCGTGCAAGGTATGTTGTGACCGCTTGGTGACATGGATTTTTGCCAGCAGTGTTAGCGGTGAAGTTAGATTTCTTGAACTGCACACGAAAATGAAGGCTTACAGGCAACAAGAGACTCGTCTCATACGAAGACTCTTCTCATGCACATGTATACATGGCTGACTTCAAACCGAGCTTCAAGTTTGTGAGGACTAATTCGACTCGGACGACTCCAAGTCTCCAACTGAGAATGTATCGATAGACCACGTGATGCTGTGAGGCTGACATCAGCAAAACCGGGAATTTTCTCCAAAGAGATTATAAAGGTGTAATCCCACGTAACTTGTGCAATTTTTTCACCAAGCAATACATTGCATTGTAATCCTGAGTCAGATTGCAGAGTTGCCAACTGGCATAATCAGTTATAAACTCTGGAAACATTTTACAGGTTATGAAGCTCATATAACTTCCTGCAAAATTTATTATGCACTTGTAGCACGTAGGCACAGACCGTCCTAAACAGACCGAAACCGATTCATTCGGATCGGTTTCATAACTCTCAAAGTATTCCAAATTATGTCAACATATTATATTACAGCGGTACAACACGTACAAAGTGCTCTACATTAGAACTACTTGGGCCTACTCACTGCACCAAAACCCGCGTGCCGTCGAAACGCCCACTTACCGCGTAACAACACCCGCGTGCCGCCATAACAAACAAGTATTTAGGTCTACTTACCGCACCAACACCCATGTACCGCTGTAACAACCAACACTAGGAATCAACACACTTACATTTCCGCCCACAGGCATAAAACAATAGAGATTGAAATAGAACGCACCGCGTGTCGCTCCAACCACGGGAGCCCAACCAAGCTGCGCGCAACAACAGCCCGGTATCACCTGTGCGATACAGTTAGCCGCGTGTAACGGCACTCACCTGGCAGGCACATTGCAGTGGCAGATGCTGCGAATTTATACGCGAGTGAGGGTGGCGAGAATTGTCGGCGGACGGTAGTCGCGATGCATCGAGACTTGCCTCAGAATTGCCTCAGATTGCCTCAGAATTGCCTCGAAACAACTTCGGATCTTTTCACTGTGGCCTGGACAAGAGCCTTGCCTTAATGCTTGCATTTGGTGCGGTATCCGGGGGCCTGAATATGAACGATTGCAAGAGCAACTCGGAGCGAGTTCTGCGGAGAGCGCTAGGCGTCTAGAAGTTCTTCCGACTGTGTAACCTGGTGAGCAACGTTTGACTTGGGTTACATCGCTCGACAACTCTTTGTCGACATGTATTTTTGTTCTAACTTGTGTATCAATTTCTGTTCTATGTTATCTTCTTTATAGACCTCTACTACCTTTACTTTGATTACAAATCAGTTTAAATATTACTAGTCCTGTGTAACTTACACAACCCTTGCTACCCCGATGTAACTGGTGTAACCTTACATAAAAATTTCCCGCTTTTGCTGATGCCGACATCTGCTGACATACGCCATTTTCGAGAACTGACTTGCTCTTGACGTCCTCATTCTGCTTCACCGTGAAATTATGGACTTGGTTATTGGGCAATTCAGAGATCAAACAGATAGAACTATCAGGACGGAAATTTTGTAGCCCCCGCAGCGCTTGCACCTCAGGCTCCCGCACCGTTTCCACGTAACTGTAACACTGGCAGTCAGTGCTACCAGGTGGATACACTCTGACATTTGCAATCGCAATGGGGATAGAGCAACCTCATCGAATGTATGCCTTCCGATTTGTGGGAGGCACAGTTATTCGTGAGATCTCGTAGAAACTCCGTCTGAAGTGGCAGCTCATAATACTATATATTCATGCGCGAATAACAGGAATTCGCCAAGACTTTCAGGCTAGTTCCCACTAGCAGTGATTAGGATCGACTCGATGTAAGCGTCTCGGCTTTTCTGTCCAGGGTGTTGTGCCATTATTGTGCCACTGCCATTCGAGACCTCCCTTTGTCGGTAGACATCTTCAGCTTACTCGGTCTCTATCGGCCTCAAGTTCCTCTTCTACCAAATCTCTATCGAGGGCAATTTTCTATGTTTTGGGACCGAAACTCAAAACACGCTCTTTGAGGGTATCCGAACCCTTGCCACTCGAAGGACCCCTTGTCTCGACTTTGCTGCAGCCGAATAGGCTTGTTCCTGATCTTCACGCTTTCCATCTAGATATTGATCGCAAATCTGTATCCGTTTCGTCCGAACTTGCGGCGGTTTCCGAAGTCTTCGATGATTTCAATACGCGTCACTACACCGATGTTATCACAAGCATTTCTGCACATAGGCTCTTCTCCCCATCTTTCGGTGCTGAAGTGGGAATCCTATCACTCTTGACAATCCTCTTCCGTCACCGCTGCCGGCAGCAATGCTTACGAGACCTCCGTTTCCTGTCCTGAAAACCCTAATTCTTGGGACAGACTCAATAGCAGCCTGCAACTGTCCTCCCCTCGGGTTCGCACTTCGACAACGTGAGGCACTTTGCGAACAGATTGTGTAGCCAGAGACATTCCCGGCTCTCTGCAATCTTTCTTTCAAGCGCTTTGCAACAATTGTTCACTGGTTTAAACCGTCTCACGAGGTTGTCAATCCCTTTTACCTATCTTTGTTGCGATCTTTTAATTACCTGCAGGTCCTGCTTGTCAAAACGGAGCGCACAATGGAGTCAGACGATAGCGCTGGAGATTCTTGCGATAAATTGACCACATCTACATAAGTCGTACCTGATGCGAAACTCGGACTTCTCCCTTTAGCATTCCGAACTTCCAACCCCTCCCGTCCTGCTGAATGTCCTCGTCAGTCTCTTGAGGTACTGTCCACATCTCAGTGAACTGGATCTCGTGGTCAATATGCTGAGTGTGGACATAAGTATCTCCCGGACGACGACCTGGCGGAGCTTATTCGAACTGTGAATTAACCTTTAATTAACTCGTGCGTGGGCGAACCATTCTTGTTGAATCTCTTCCCAAGTTTATGGACCGTACATATGATTAACTCCGCAACAGATGACGCAGAAGCTTCGCATATGGTGGCGTTCGCTGAATACCTTGGGTATTGTCCAGACGTAGGCATAGAGGGGCTTAAACTTCGCATGGAGAAATCTCTCTGGTTTGTAACGGAATGTCCGAAATTGCGCTATTTGCTGCTGTAGCGCCTGGTTGAAAACCGATATCGAGCCCATTCGCACAAGTTTCCATCGTGTGACATACCAGGATGGACAACAGCCGGAATTTCTGGTCCGCTCCTCTTAGATTGCGGTCAGCGCTTCAAACCTCAAATATCGAACATCATGCTATTGCACGATATTGCTTACGTCTCAAGGCGTAGCGTTCTTGTATACGTGCAGTAAGTTCTATTATTTGGGGTTCGAATATTAATATACGACTACAGCGCTCTGTAGTGCCAAACCTTGGTATTCTATTTCGACTTTGATTTTTGATATACGTGGGAAAAACAGGAGGAACGTGCTTGGATGGGCAGGAGTGATTTATTTATGTGACGTGACAAGCTTGAGCATGAACTGGTTAAAAGTACATGTAGATGCACATTTAGCTCTTGTCCAGGGCGTCCAAACGTAAGTTCTGTACTTGCACGGTGGTGACTACACGAGCTTCAATACTACTTAGTACGCGTACCTTCACGCGTTCGGTCACGTGATGGGAGGATCTTGTTTCCCACTGAGCCAGCTCCGTAGAACTCTCCCAGTACCCGCGCCGTACCCGGACCATAACATACGTTCTTTCTACTCATATCCCTGTTATGTCACCCACCACAGAGAAGAAAGTTCGCAGAGATACTCCTGACGATGTGAAGGGCCGCCCAGAACCGACCAACGACGTTCACGTTCTGAGCGAGAGACTTAGTCGAGACCCGCGCTTCAACCCGCCGACCCCGTCTGTCTGGAAACGCGTCGCGCTCCTCATCTTCGTGGTCGTTCTCTTCTGGTTGGCCTTCTCGATGCGTGCGCAGCACCACAAGCCCGCCGTGGTCCACGCTCAGAGGTTAGTTCCCAGCGGTCCGTGTGCAGGGCGAAGTTGACGTGGCGGTGAGGTAGGTACTCGAAGGAGTTCAAGTACAGACCTGCAGCGAGTCCTGTCATCACCGAGCGGTTAAAGGATGGTCGGACGCGGATTAGGGGTGCTATGCCGTCGGTGCGGTGACGGTACGTCTTATTTCACTCATTCGTGGCCAGCAGTTGTTTACAATAAGGCCTGCAGATGCAGATGTCCCGAAGGATGGTTGCATGGACTTTCGTTCTCAATTTATGTGCACATATTTATCATTCTCTTCTTCGGCATGGCCCATTTGGCCTATTTGAATCTCGGATCGAGAATGTTTGAAGGCTCGATTGTCTCTGAATCGTTTCAAGATGGACGGGGCTGACTTCTTGATGTTTCATCCTGGCAGTTAAAATCTGGCTTGCTCTGTGTGTAAGTGAAGTGTGGTATGTCTCAGTTCCTGCCATGTGCACGCGTTCTGTCGTTGCGCACCACATATTGCTAGAGTGGTCCTGCATCCAACGTGGTAATGGTGTCCGAACATTGCCTTCCCTTTTTTTCTAGATTTTTGTACGTTCGTCAACCTCTGCTTAACTGCTCTTACACATATATTTTAAATTATCGTTACGAGAGACATTCATTTATCCCTCCTGGTGTTGACAATCATGTCTCTTTTATGATGCCCTCGATTTGTTTGACTGTATCCTTGTTGAATCTGGGAGCCAGATCATTCCAATTCGCACTGGCATTATGAATTCTGACTCACAGCCTCATCACTTTGTGATCTTAGTCTATAGCGAACATTGAAGCTCCATCTTCAGCTTGAATTTGGCCACGATGGTGCGCAAGGTACTCTTGCACTCGTCAGACTCGGACCTACTACTCCAGCACCTCCGCATTCTGGTCAGCGAGCGAGCTGCCCAGATAGGCAAAGCTGCAGGCGCTGTCAAAGAACTGTCAAACGCTGCTCTTCTCGCTCCTCCACCTAGATCTCTTTCCTTCCGCAACCCTCATCCGTCGCTCTTTCGTTTGTTGTCAAAGCAATTGCAATTCTCGTGTACTCTTTGTTTCTCGAAAAGGCTGGACTCTTTGTGCTGTCTTGTGCCTCACTCTGCTTTCTCCTCGCTGTCTTAGACATTTTCTACTCGGTTCTTTTCTCACTTGTTGTCATCATGCACTTCAATGAGCCCGTTATCGACGACCAAAACCCGTTCTACTGCCCGACCGTGACAGCCATCTCATACTTGGAGACCCTCCGCCGCGAATTGCACGCACCCAGCCGCTACACCACCACCGCCATTCACGAGAAACTACACCCCTCCTTTTCAAAACGACTGGAGCAGTCCATGGACGAGGACGACCTTCTAGATCTCCTCTACCAGCCGATTCCCGCGGCACGCGACAGCCCGGATATCTCCTCTCTGCTGAGCAACAGTCTGCAAAACCCTACGCTGAACTGGGAGCGCAGAACACCTGCCCCGACCTCCGACCAGTACGATCTCCGGCAAGACCACCCGGAGCTGCGAATGAAACGCAAGCGTTCCCACTCGGTGGAGACCTTCAGCGACATGGTCGGCCCGCCTAAACACGAGCGCTCGTTCCAGAGCGTGAACGATGACTCGTTTTATCTGAGCGCGAAGGCGCAGCGGATCTGTTACTTCCCCGATACGAAGGGGGCGTCTTCACCCAGGCACGATGGTTTGGCAATGGAAGGCGATGTTGAGGGCAAGATTCGCGCTCTGGAAGGTACGTCGTCGCCGATACGCGTGTCCCTGGCTACTGCAAGCGCGCTCGTGCATCTGGACACCTGCAGACGAACTGTACGGTCCACATATTGGCACGGAGACACCCCGGGGGCTGAGTGTGCTGATCAACCATCTGGATACGCTCCTCCCCGGGATCAGGCTCAAGGAGCGGCTGTATGCTCTCAAAGATGTCACCCACCAGCATATTGCGGATATGCTCGGTGCCGACGGGCATCTGAACGCTCGCATTCTCAACATCCTGCGCACGTCAGAGGTCAAGTGTCTCGACTTAACCGCGTCGATCATGGACGAAGCCGGTCTCAACCTCGGTGCTAGCGATCTCTTGCATGGTGCGACTCACTCTGTTAAGATTTTCTGCTTCAATTTCTGACTTTGAACCCCATAGTTTTGAAGAAGCCGAACAGCTTCTTGTTCGTCACGGACATCAACCTGAGCGACATCAGTCTGCACGACTTCGACCTTACGCACATTCATCACCTGCCGCGGCTCAAGCGACTCTGGCTCAGCAACACGGGGATTGGAAATGAAGCGTGCGTAGTTCGGCCCCGGTAATCTATTATGTTTTTTGACCATTCCAACAGTGTCTTCCACCTGGTCGCGTTGAAGCGCACGCTCGCGGAGCTCGACCTCGCGCTCAACCCGCACATCGACGACGACGCTATACCAGCGCTGTTCGCACTCCCAAAGCTGCGTTTTGTCTCACTCTTTGACACCAGTGTGCGCATGCCCGGGCTGCGCCGGCTCGCCGCCGCGCGTGGCGGGCGCGCGCTCGATATCGAGGTCCCACGCGCCTGTGAGGAATATGTCGACAGTGCGCCGCCCTCCAACTCACTCGTTACGCTGATCTCACCTAACCATTTCGCATACGTATGTAGATATGCACCGGAAATACGAGCTGCGTACTCTTGCGTCGCTCGTCGTGGACCCCGCGGAGTGCGCTAACCTCTCCCCCACCGCGCTTCGGCGCAATCTCGTGGCGCATGCGGCTTGCAACCCGAAGGTGTTTGTCGGGGGTACCTCAGAGGAAATGGCGGAGCGGCTGGAGAGCATCCTGATGCTGCGCGCGGCGGATCAGCGTGTGCGTGAGATGGTGTGGAAGGGAGGGGCGGAGTCGGATAGGGAGTCAGACGCGGACGTGTCGGTATTCTGAGCTGGGTGGTACAGATTATGTCCGTCGACTTTCACTGCGGCTACGCATGGACAATTCGCATAGTATAGCAAATATTGTCTAGACAAGAAGAGTGTAATGATAATATACTTCGTATTGGAACTTTTGTTGCCGATGGGTTGTTGGCCTGTTAGTTGTGTCAGTCAAAGCCATTGTGAGGGTTTGCAGCATTTCCCGGATCCTTTTTCAATCGGTTGAAGCTTGGGATTGCGCCAGGTCGGTGGCGGAAATAGGAGCTTTCAAGCTCCGCGATGAGGTAGGTAGGTAGGTAGGTATATTACTGGCCTGGGTCCCAGTCAGGAACACCGGGTTGTTACTGTAATAAGTACATGCACGACACGAATTGTGTAATATATGTACTACGAGACAAAGAAAAAGCTTATTACAGCAACGCATTCCGTAGCGCATACCGCTCCGATAGACTCATATGCTTCAGCTAGTGCTCTCGGCCAATGCAGGAGGAACTGCGGGCAGATCAAGGGTTAAAACCTGGCAGGAAAATCATTGCAAAAACCTCGTCAGCAAAAGTGCACAATTGTTACAACGGATTACGACGATTGTAATACTCCGCGGTATGTGGTAACAGATTAGAATGACATTGCAAACCTTCAGAATAATTGGGTCATATCGCAACCTCTGTAATCGTTCCCGATGTATTGCAACCCTCAGTAACGTAGACAATTAATTGCAATGACATCACAATGTGCTACAATGCTATGTGAGGTTGTAAGGGCTTGTAAGGTTGGGCAAATTTTTGTCAAATTACAGGAGCAACTACGAAGGGAGACCCAAAAAAATGGTCAACTGGTAGGTACACGTACGATGTAAAGTCCAGAGAGCGATCTATAGTGATCTACTGTAGGGTTCGGGTTCACCGTTCTTTTGACGCACTCCGAGATGTGCATTGTCTTTGCTTCCCAGCTTGCAGGCCACCTTCGAGTCTCTACTATGTTTACTGCGAGTTCTGCATTCTGTCGCTGTATAGATCCACCGGGAATACATTAATAGGGTCTTGAGGCATCCGGTGCTCCATGTCAAGTTTCTCAATATTGCCGGTAATTAGGGGGGTTCAGTTGTATCTGCGAAAGCCGCTTTCGTTGCTTTCTCAGAAAGCAGCTTACACATGACTTTTGTGTGATCCGGGGATCATGTGCGGACTGAGAGTATATGCTAGCATCAGGAAAAGTCAAATCTGCTTAGCCTCCTTATCTGCCTTAATAAGGAGAAATAAGGCAATCCTTCTTCTTATTCCGTCTTATTCTTCCTTATTTTCCTTATAAAGAGGAAAAAGAAGAAATAAGGAGAAATAAGGAAGAATAAGAAGGAATAAGAAGGAGGATTGTCTTAATTCTCCTTATTAAGGCAGATAAGGAGGCTAAGCAGATTTGACTTTTCCTGATGAGGGTTAGCGATGGGTCCCCGGAGTTTGTGAGGTTTTCCACCGGAAACCCCCGATGTTTCCACTTGAGGAGTTAGCTTTCCCAGATTGGGTCTCCAGCCACCATCGGCAGCCTGGCAAACATTTGCATTTTCCCAACCCTAGCTAACCCTAGTGAGCGATTGCAGTCACAGCTAGAACACAACAACGTGCACATGATGCTCAGGTCATGTGGTCTTAAGCAACAGCGATGAAAAGCGGCTTTTGCAGATATAACTGAACCCCCCTATTATCTTTCCCAGGCTACCTAGCTACACCGCCAAATGGCATATTCCTTTTTTTAACATCTTGCCAGGCGATTTCCCAGGGAGCTCCAATTGAATATCCAACAGACTACTACTCAGCCAACATCCATCAGATGTCCCATCACGGAATGTCCACAGCATGTACCACGTAACATCCAACGGAGATCCCTCACCGCATGTGGAGGCTACAGCTCGGCTTTTCCATATTGCATGCACATATACTCTGGCTCTTTCACAGAATACTTATGGTAAATGGATCATATTTCTGGAATTACTACAGAGGTTATGCTAGCGTTTACAAACTGCCTACAAAACAAAATAATACATAGACAGAAAATTGATTCATGCTGCAAAAGGGAGCCAACTGCTAATAGAATATCTTTGAAGAAGGCCTACTTTGTCTGATAAGAGAACATGTGGCATGTTGGGAATGAAGGATGACTGATAACACTCAGAGAACATCCTGGGGGCAGGAGAGCAGGACGGACACGGCAAGACAAGTGGGAGCAGGGAGATGTGGCAGCGAGGTGAGTTTAGGGCAGGCTGAACTTGACTTTGACTTTCTGCGACCTTGCCCTTGCTGAGCATGCCAGTGTTTGTGTTGTGGCTGGACAGAGATCTTCAGCGGAGAACCTCACCAAAACATCCTGGAAACCTCACACCAGATCTCCGATTGTCATCCAATATAACTCTAGCAGAAATCAGCCGTGTAGAGCTTCTATTGGAGACCGGTGATGAGTGTACACCCGACACAAACACCTAAACCCAACTAAAACAAACAAGACGCAGGGCGATCTGTGTGAGAGGAAAGAGCATCACAACTGTAAAATGATGGAAGTGGGCCCCAGAACCTTGACCTAAGCCAATGGGGGATGCAACCTGTAAGAGAACGCAGGTTCACGATGTAAATGTGAAGTCGAATGACAATCTACATCAAAGTTGCAAAAGTCGGAGAGTGGAAGCTAAAGTCGTGATGCAATCGCCAAACTCATAGGCAAAGATGAACTAAATTGCAAAGGTGAAGGGAACTATCTGTGGAGGTAAAATGCTATAGGGAAATGCAGTATTCACCATCTCGACGAAGTTGCAGTCAGTCTAATGCAAAAGTCAGAGTAAGACTAACACAGATGGTATATCGCTATATCACTATGTCGCTATTGCAGTGTCGCAGTTCGCTATCACAGTTGCAGTACGCAGTCTCGAAGTATCGCAGTCTCGCTATATCGCAGTGTCGCAGTCTTACTATGTTGCAGTGGGTAATATCACAGTTTGAAGTCGCTATCGCAGTAAACACAGTTTCTCAGTGATCTGAAGTGAAGAGGGAAGTCTCCTCCTGGTCTTTGATAATAATTGATGTAGATACAGCAGGTATTTATAGAGGAGGACAAAGGGAGAGAAAATGCAGAAGTCACGAAATGTCGGACGATGGATCCTGACATCAGAAAGAGTCACAATGGCCTAGAACCAATGGAAAAATAGGTAAAGTGAGTGGAGAGGTGAATGTCATACGTTAGCAATGGAGAAGAATGGTAAAGTAGAGGGAAATTGAAAGAAAACATATGCTACTTGTCCTGAACCACATGGAACACTCTAACAGCATCTCCGGTCCAGCATGAAGGTAGGAGTCTTGAAGGGGAAGGTCAAATGATAAAGGGAATGAGATTTGCAAAACCAGGGGGTGCGACCATTGAGCGACACCGATAAGTCAGTGCGATGAACCAGCGAGTCAGCGCGACATTCAGAGAGGTGGTGCGATGTCGGGAAAGTATGGACTAAGAAGAAAATTGGCCAGGGCGCATCGGACGAGACCAAAGGGCAACGGGTAAGAGGTATCCGACAGCGGGGAGATGCAAGAGTGGTGTATGAGTGATGAAAGAATGTCAAATCTCGATGAGAAGTCATGAGGAATCGAGTGAAGTCGTGAGGAATTGAGTACAGTCGAACAAAGTCGCGCAAAGTCAGAAAAGTTCGCAGAATGTCGCGAAAGGGTTGGATGCATCTCGGAGGCTAAGGCATAGAGTAGTGAGGTCTGAGCAATCACTGGAAAATCACATTTTTCAAAGGTCAGAGTCGCAGGGAGCGTATCACCGGTATTACATCTCTTGGAAATTAAGGCATTTGTTCTTCTGAGGCCATCAATCTGAGGTCCCAAAAAAACTATTTGGAGGTCTGATCAATGTTGGCTGAGTGGTGGTCTAATGAACATTATGTTCCAGTTGGGCATGTAATGATCTACCATACCAGTAGTGAAAATCCAAAGCCCTAGGCCCATAGTGATTCTTCCCAATTTGGAAGTAAAGGCGATGATGTAGCTTCTTTCTTTCCATTGCGTGTCATAACCCTGGCATATATAAGGGACAGTGAGTCCCATCTGGTGCCAAATACTCTTCCCTTCTCCTTGTATTCTCCCATCTTACTGATGGCTTCAAGGACAACAACAATCACATGGACAACAATAACAACAACAACAACAACAACAATGATAACAACATCACAGAATTGGTTAATGCCATTGCTGCTCACCCTCTCGCCCATGTCTAACTTCTCCCCTCCTTCTATCGCACTCCAGAAGGATTCTTCTCCAGGATACTTCCTATGAGCCTCGTTTCCGAGATAATGCACTCTTGCTCTTCCACTCCTCGCATGCCTATTCAAGTATAAGAAGTACCACTCATTTGTTCTTTTCTGTCACTAACATCAGGAAAACTCAACTTTTACTTATGGGACTTATTCCGACTTTTTGTCCTTTTTTGCCTTATTTAAGGCCTATAAGTTCCCAAAATTTGACTTTTAAGCCTCCAAGGAAATATGACTTATGGGCTTTTTGCCCTTTTTTACCTTATTTAAGGACCATAAGTGCATTTAAGTCACATAAGGACACCTTTAAGTAAAAGTTGACTTTTCCTGATGAATGCGGCACAAAGAACCTGACTATAATAAAATAATTCATTAGACACGTCATTGCATGGATATGAATACGTATTCATTCCACCACTTGAGAGTAGAATCAGATCACTTTGCCTGAGCGATGTCCTAATAAGATCCAACAGAAACACTGAAGAAAGCTATGGTGTCATTTTGGAACATTACAGTAAATAAGACAATGAGCGTGCAAACCACCGCAATGGTCGCAATGGTCTCGCAACTCTGAAAGAGCAACATGCTGCGCGATACCATCAGGCAGCCTCACATTCATCATTACCATAGTCGGTAAGTATGTCAACATATGTGTTGTGCCATACAATGTCTTACAGCCATTGTGCAGACTGCCAACCTTGTATCTCTCTGTGGTCGCTGCC